TTTGATGGAATCCGAAGTCAGTGAACTCTCAAAAAGCCTCGTGCTATAGGGAGGAGAGCATGTACATATAAGACACATCACCCCCTCTCCGTTGGTCGATGTGAGATCTTACAATCCACCCCCTTAGGGGCTCGACATCCTTGTCGGCACACTCGCACCACACGGCAGAGTGGTTCTGATACCAAATTGTCACATCCCAACCTGGGCTCCACCACATCCCGGGCTTGACTCTGCCGTAGCACAATATTGTCCACTTTGGCCCCCGACCACGCCGTCACGATTTTGTTTCTGGGAACTCACTTGAGAACTTTCTAGCGGGTCACCCATCCTATGATTGTTCTCGCCCGAACTGGCTTAACTTCGGAGTTCAGATGGAAACCGAAGCTAGTGAGCTTCCAAAAGGTCTCGTGCTTATAACATCCCACATCGACCAACAGAGAGGGGATGATGTGTCTTATATGTACATGCCCACCTCTATATAGCACGAGGCCTTTTGGGAACTCATTGGTTTCGGGTTCCATCGGAACTCCGAAGTTAAGCGAGTTCGCGTGAGAGAAATCCTAGGATGGGTGACCCATTGGGAAGTTCTTGTGTGAGTTCCCAAAAACAAAACTGTGAATGCGTGGATGGGGCCCAAAGCAGACAATATTACGCTACGGTGGAGTCAAGCCCGGGATGTGGTGGAGGCCGGGTAGGGATGTGACAGAATGGTATCAGAGCCAATCCTTGGTCGAAAGTGTGCCGACGAGGACATCGGGCCCTTAAGGAGGTGGATTGTAACATCCCATATCAACCAACGAAGAGGGGGTGATATGCCTTATATGTTCATGCCCACCTCCATATAGCACGAGGCATTTTGGGAACTCATTGGCTTTGGGTTCCATCAGAACTCCGAAGTTAAGCGAGTTTGCGCGAGAGCAATCTCAGGATGGGTGACCCACTGAGAAGTTCTCGTGTGAGTTCCCAAAAACAAAACCGTGAGGGCGTGGTCAGGGCCTAAAACGGACAATATCGTGTTACGGCAGAGTCGAGCTTTGGATGTGGTGGAGCCTGGATCGGGAATGTGACATCTAAAGCGAGACTACATAACCCAAAGAAAAAAAGAAAGAAGATTGATTTATTTAGTTAAAAGAAAAAGAAAAGGGAATAAAAGGGGGCAGATTCTAGGGTTTGAGGGGCCATATCTCACATCGGAAAGGAGGTGAGATTGTCAAAAGGGGGAGGGAAGCTGCCGGCAGTGTGGCTTTATTATCCAAACTTTTGCCATGGCTCATAAGCCTCTGTCACCCTCGCTGGTTTTTTTTATTGGGTGCAGTCAGTGTGTATGTGCGTGTATCTGGCTGTCCTCAAGGGAAAGGGATGGGATTAAATTCCCCATTCACTCCTCTCACCACTTTTGAAATTCTTATATATATGTATCCACTCTTTATTGTTGAGATTTGCTTCTCAGTAGTATATAATGTTTCTTTAGTTATATAATGTTTTCTTTAGTTTAACAATGCTTGTCGCTATGTTGACGCAAGTTAATTAACTCACTTAATTAGGACAGAGTGTTCGCTCTTTTTTTTCGTACATTTGATTAGTTTAGCATATAAGGTATTATTGACCATATTTCTCACGATTATGGCATACATGACCAAGACAGTAAGATGAATAAAAATGGTACAAGTACCGTCACTCCTTTAAAATTAACAAGTGCTTGACATATTTAGCTATATCAATTGACGTTAATATGTGGTATGAAGGTTGGATGGTTAAATTGAAGTTGCCGAATAAAGATGGTCGACAGAATGACCAACCTAAATATATTTTGACACACACACAAAAGCATGCACGTATCATGATGTTCTCTTTTTACCAATGCAGTATGTGCTTTGCGTGTAGCCCATGTGAATGAGTTAACCCTAAAAGGTTAAAGTTGTCCGTCCACCAAACATTGCAACATCGATTGGAAAGTAACAACTTTGTCTAGCCATGTTCATCACCATCCTTCCAAAATTCTCATCGATATTATATTTTATATGATAGAAAATGATTTCACACACTGTTTTCTTTTTTATGCACACTTTGATTTATTTCTGATTTTTCGGTCGAATAAAACAATGAAGAAGCAATACACAACAAAAAATGATTAAGGAGAGAAATGATGTGCATAAATCATTTCCTTATATGAATAAGTATGAGAAAATTGAGAAGTAATAATAGTAACTACTGAAAGCTTGAATTTCACATCAAAAAATTAAGCAACTTTACAAAGCTTTATACGAAGTTTGAGTCGCTACTTCTATTTCCATTTAGTATAAGAGGGGAACCTCATTCTTTTTTTCACATATATACTTTCGAGGGATATCCATCGTGGATTAATTAATCTTGGTTATACATTGTCTTAAAGATAATCCAATTTGTCAAAATCATGAGATACGAATGTCTACTTTTCTTAAGATAAATTCCATGCCCTCGTTTCACTTCGACGAAGATTGTCTCTACTTTCATGTGTAGGTTTATGTTAAGAAGACTCTACACAACATCACACTTTCATGTTAAGAATGTCTATAACGAGGCTATGCATTTCAACGATTGGAAAATAATATAGGCTGGGGTTTGACAAAAAAAAAAAAAAAGAATTGGAACATAGAATATTTTACGTCTTCATGTCATCCTTGAGCAAAAAAAAAATATTAGTTTTCTATCACAAATATATCACAAGTGATATTAGTGTATTACTACTCAGTCTACTCTAAGAACTAGTGACAAGTATGAGAGTAGAGGATTTAAACTCGGAACATAGAATTTAGATTGCAAATATATGAATGTTTTATTTAGGGTTCTTTAGAAAAAGGCCCTTGAAACTCTTATTTTCCAAGCAAAAACCCACATAATATTAAACTTCCAAATAAAACCCAAATTTCAAATAGAGTACCATGTAGACAAATATGTAACCAATTATCATCACATATTTACAACTTATGCCACAAAACTCTAGTTATGTCAATAAATATTATTACCCACCCTAATTATGATTAGCAATTAACCCCATATGAAAATTTTACCTTTCTTGTATGATAAATATTAGGAATATAAATATATATATATATATATATATAAATTTAGCTATGTTCATAAACAATTTATGGGCACATTTTTCGTTTGGAAAGAAAAATCCTTTGTACAATCAGTTATTTTGCATCAAATAATAATATTGTTTTATAAAACAACAAAAAACCAATTAATATTCTTTTATGTTGTAGGTAAATTATTTTACCTAGATTATTACATACATTAGGCATTTTTTGTTTGTTATCATATATGCTTGTTAAAAATAATTTATCTATATTTATATTTAAAATATAAGTAAATTAATTTTGAATCAAATAGTATTTATTTTGTAGGTAAATTAAAATAGTAGTTCCATTATTTTGGGAAAGTTAAACAGTGCATAAATAATTTCGTAAAAATTAAACCAAGACAAATTATCTCCATTAAAATAAAACAGTACATATTCGACAAAAACAAAAATAAATAAATAAATAAATAAAATAAAATAGTAGATACATTATTTTCTTATAAGATTAAACAATAGGTAAATTATATTGTAGGTACATTATGTTTGTAATATAAAAAAAGAATTGAAATTCATAAACAAAAAGCAATAGATATATTAATTTTTAATCAAATTTCCTTTATTTGTTGGTGAATTATTTTCATGCATTATTATATATATTGGGCATATTTTACTACTAATAAATATGTGTGAAAAAATTTACCTATATTATCATATAAAATATAGATAAATTTATTTTGAATCAAATAACATTTTTTATTCTATAATTAATTTAATTTTTTTTTTTTGAGTTGAAATGATAGTGACTTTATTAATGTCAAGAAGACGACATACAATAATGCAAGAGTTGAAATGATAGCGACTTCATTAATACATTTCTTTTTATTAATTTCTCCCTTCAAATATGCATAGAATTAAATGTCTACATCAAAACGGTAATTAGGGGTATTTTAGGTATCTAAAAAATGAAAAATGTGTAAAGGCAAACAAAATTAATGAATTTACTTATGTGGAGCCTAGTCATTGGGTTTTATTCAGATAAAAAGACTATGTCGGGTTTTATGTAAAGAAACTTGAGTTTCAGGGGCTAAAGTCATATTTTCAGTATTTATGACATTCCACCGATTGCAAACGTTTCTCAAATATATAATTTCTAATTAGTCCAATATATTTCATAAATTGTCTTCCAAAGAGAATCTCCACACCACATAAATAATATCCTCAACTTTGGAATCTTTATTGATGTAGAAAGCTACATCATAAGAAAATATCCTACTGTAAAAGATTAGACTACCCACACTATTTCTACACATGTTTTTACTTCTCACATAGTCTTATTAGTTTTTATCCATTAATCCTCTTCAGTTTATTTGATTTGACGGCCACAAATTAAGAAGATTACGCAAGAAGTAAAACCCTAGACTATTTGAACTTCTTGTAAAATTACAAAAAATTCTGAGCAAGGTAAATATTTCAAATTGGGGATTCAATAAAAAACAAGAAATTTGAAATTCCAAGAGGGATTTTTTCAGGTGGGGGCCTACACAAACGGGTAGAGGTTGTGGTTGGCAGTTGGGTCATTTCAACAAAAAGCTTTTCCCAAATTCTTTTTCTAATTCTCTATTTTCTTTTTTCCCTTTTTTTTGTTCTTTAATCTTTATATTTATTCTTTTTTTCCTTTAATATTTTATTATTATTTTTTGTCGGTTTATTAAAGAACACAATTAGCCGCTGGCTTTAACGCTTTACAACGCCGGCCTCTCAGCCCCTCAGCCTCCGAGAGTTTTCTCTTCACAAGCGTTTAATCGGTTTCAGAGATTGAATTCGAGTCCTACAGAGCGAGCGTACCAGCAAGTATCGATAGGTTTGTGAAAGAACTAGAGATACAGTGTTGCACTGTATCCTCAAAAGCAAAAGGGAAAGAAAGAGATAAGAAAATATAGCGAATTTCAGGAAAAGGGTTGGTTTTTGTTTCTGTGGAGAGGAAGTAGAGGAGGTTGAAGAGAAGATGATGCAGACGGAGCAGTCTCAGGAGGCGGCTCAGCCGCAGCAGCAGCAGCTGATGTTGCAGAACTCCTCCGGAAGCCTCAGCTTCAGCAGCAACATGTCGAGGGAGGACGAGGAGATGTCAAGGTCGGCGCTTTCCACTTTCAGAGCCAAAGAGGAGGAGATCGAGAGGAAGAAGATGGAGGTCAGAGAGAAGGTTCAGGCTCAGTTGGGTCGTGTGGAAGAGGAGACCAAGCGTTTGGCCACTATTCGTGAGGTTTGTGCCTAAAAAGAAAGGCTTATGCTAATTAAACGATGGTTTTTAAGGGCTTTTTTGTTGTGTATTTTAGGCTAAATCAAAGGGTTAGAAATGATTTTATGCAAAAGAAAATTGTGGGTTTTTAAGGGAATTTAACTCTCTGCAAATTCTGGGTGACAAAAGTTGGAGGAAAAACCTAGATCTCCAGAACATGAAATGAAAATTAATTGGGTTTTTTTTATCAACAATTTTTTCTGGAATTTTTGTTTTTGAATTTTCGGTTATGTATTTACAGAGGCCATGAACTCTTTGGTGGAAGTAATTCCATTTTTTTTTACTAATTTCCAGAATTTTTTTCAAGAGAATTATTTGTTTGTCTCGGCAAATCTGGGGTTCTGTACACAACAAAATATGGAATTTAGCTGAGAAATTTCAACAACAAAGTTTAAACTCTTTGATATGCCAAAAAACAGATTCTCTTCTTTCTCAAAACCCTCAAATTTGTCATATGTTCAGGTTTTATTTGGTCACTTGTTTATGTTTGCGACAAGAATATAAGTCCAAGGATGCCTTGTTGACAATATCTGTGTCCCATGTGCCTCATCTTCTGCTGGTTAAACCAGAAATATAGCCGTTGAATCCATTGCTAGCAATTAGTAGATGATTAATTTCCTTTTTGTCGTAAATTATGGAACTTCCAGGAGCTTGAAGGGCTCTCAGATCCGATGAGGAAGGATGTTTCACAAGTTCGTAAGAAGATCGATGCAATTAACAAAGAGTTAAAGCCACTAGGACATACCTGCCAGAAGAAGGTAACACAACTTGGATTTTTACCACATTCTGATGTTAATGTTTACTGCTATGCATGTGCAATTATGGATCAATTCGTGCGTGCTTGTGATGAATTTTGGGTTTGTAACTTTTCACAGGAAAAGGAATACAGAGATGCACTTGAGGCTTTCAATGAAAAGAACAGAGAAAAAGTGCAGCTTATCACAAAGCTAATGGAGGTTAGTTTGTTAAACAGTTTTTTACTTGGCATAGCTAGGGTTGCAATTTCATGGATGGGTTGAACTTGAATCAGTCTGGCCAGTTCGGAGTTAGAGTAAGCACGGTTGAGCCTGCTTTGACAAATTACCAGTCCTACAAAATTTGGGCTTACCTCCGGTTAGGAGTTCAACCCATCCAAACTCTCAACCGATGCTAGTTATCACTCATTATATTTCGATTCAGTAAAAGCGTACAAAGTGTTTACATAATTCAAGGTTTTGAGATTGTTTTGTTGTCGTGTTACATTTGATGCAGCTGGTGAGCGAAAGTGAGAAGACGAGGATGAAGAAGCTGGAGGAGCTGAGCAAGAACATAGAATCTTTAAAGTGAAGAAATAGCAGCCTATGTGGGTAACTGATGATCTGATTAGGTTTGTGTGATGATGTATTTAAGGTGAGTTTTTTCAATGCTTACATATATGGGTGGTGATTGGCATTTGGTGTAATTTCTAAGTTGGTTTGTTTCATTAATTAGTGTTTGTTAAAAACATTTGGCTGATTTAGGCAGGAAAATACCCTTTAAATTTAAACAGGTTTGTAACTAAAAGCATCTGGCCTTGCATTTTCCTTTAAATTTATCCATGTATCCAAACATTGTACTACACTACTTCCTAGTGTAATGTGGGGTTCTTTGAATTTATTCCTATTTTTTGTTTTATTTTTTTATGGATTGCAAAGGCCATGATATTTATGTAATAATGTGAAGTTTTATGAGTGATTTTGGGACAAATGGAGTGTATTTTGTTCAATTTTTCTTCAGTACTCAGCTCTATACGGAACGATTACATTTTCTACTCCGACCCCCACAACACCATGGTCTTCTTCTCTCCTCTCTTTTCATGGATTCTTGTGACTATAACCTCCATTTGCTGAGATCTCTCCGGGTCTTCAAGAACACCCAACCACGGTGAGTCTATCAAAAAACTCACCATCTCCATTTTCCAAGTTTTCCCTTTTCTCTCCAAATATTGAATGTTTCTGCTCTTCTGCTTGGTTGGTTTGTTTTTTTCATTTTTTTGGGAAAAAAAAAGGTAAAGAAAGGTTTTTATTTTTTTGGGGGGGGTTGATCTGGAGCTTGCATGTGTACGGATTGGATGAGGGAAGAGAAATAAGGTTGAGAGGGAGTTTGTGTTCAGAGAAAATGAGTTGTATGTGGAGTTGAGCCGCTTCTGATATTGATGAAATTACTAGTTTCCCAAGTGCTCCAAGGCATGTCAATGGATGGGAGTAGGATTCTCTCCCCTTCTATTCTCATCCTCTTCCGCCCCCTTCTCTCACACATTGCTTTATTGTCTCTATAAAAAAAAATCAATATAAGATGTTGACGTGGTTTAACCGTAACCGTTCAAGTAGGAGGGGAGGGAAGGGGAGAGAGATTAGGAGGGGAGAGAATCCTCCTCCCAATGGATGCTGGGTTTGCATTTTAGCATTTCATAAGAATTCACCTTCGGATTTTACATGCATTCCCTCTATTCTTCAGTCTGCATGTACCATTTTCAGTCTAATGAATTTAGTCTTATGTTGTCTCTCAGCTTTTGTTGTTTTTCACATTATTGTTCTTTTGGTTGAGGGTTGTCATTATTTGTGTTTGTGTTTATGTTTATGTTTGAGATGTACTAATTGCAGTATTATTTGATTACGGATTTGTAAACACATCTTTAGAATGATTAGCTTGATATTTAGGATTTGGTTGTCTACAATTTTTTTTTTTGGACCTTTTACCCTTTTAAATTTTGCTCCTTCCTCCGACAATTCATAACTTCGCCACTGACTAAAGACAAACACGTATTTTGTTGGAGCTTCACTTGTTTTGGTCTTTTAAAGGAAGAAGAAAGGATATTGCGGTGTACTGAAATACAGCGACATGATATGTTGATTATTAATGTTATATTCTAAAGTATAAATTGGATCGTCTACTCGTAATATAACATGGGGATGTGTTCTAGTATGTTTCAATAATTTTTCTTGATGAAGAGCCTTTGGTTTGCTTTCTATTATGTTACTAGTTGCATGGAAGAGTGCAGTTTGCTTGCTATCCTTAGTGGTCGTGAGCATTACCACTACATAAATTATGATTGGTTTAGTTTAGGTTTTGAGATTTAAGTGGTAGACAAATTTGATCACATTCATTGACAACAATTCATGTGGCGGTAATGCTCATAAAAATGCACTTTGAGTGGAAAAGCTAGGGTTACAAGACAACCATTTCACTGAATATCTTGCAATCTTTAAAACCCAATGCAATTGCTGAAAATTCTATATTGTATCGATGTATCGGACTACATGAAGTAACCGGGTTTAAACATTTTTAACCGTTCAAACATTGGTGCATCCTGTACAGAGATGATGTATAAAACCCCAAAAGGAAGCTTCTTGCAAATAACACAACGGTTAGGTTTAGTCAAGCATTGACCTCTTCCCCGAAGTACAAGCATGGGTTGAAGCATCTGAGGAGGGGAAATGACATCACTTTTTCAAGCAAATTGAGCACGCTAAGTTAGCCATTGCTATACACAAAATACATGCTTCACCTAACACCAAAAAAAATCCAAAAAGTAATGAGTGCTATTATGTCCACTATATTGTCTAATTTTTCACCCACTTTTTAATGAAGGTTTTAGTCACAAAGTTTATTCTATTGCAAGATTACATAGAAGGACATAAGCAAAATATAAAAAAAGTGTTTTTGTTTGGGAACTGAAGTGGCGTAGGCGACTTCGCCTCTTTCTGTATCTCTCAGGCACACCACTGTTCTCACAACCGAATTGAAAACCAAGCGAAAGACCCAAGGTTTAAGTGATGCTTCCCATTGATTGAGTACACACATTATGCCATTTTTAGAATTTAAGGAACGATTCTTGATATGGATGCAAATAGTGGAAAAAATTGAACAAATTACATTCCTTCCTCCAGTTGGGCCAAACGATAGAACCTTAAAAGATGTAAACAGAGTTAGGGATTAGGGTTCTATCTCTGTCATCTCTCTTGCAATTTCCTAAATGGATGTGAATCAATAAACAAATTGATAGATGAATTAGTTTAGAATATCGCTAGTATTTAAAAAAAAATCGCAAATAGTAAGTCATCCTCACTTGGAATGCCAATCGCCTCTCTCGTCTCTTCCAATCCCTTTCATCAATTATGATATATGAATTTCCACGGCTAGCCATAAGGATTTTCCATTGGTGTGCCAAGACTTCCACGGCTAGCCATCTCATTCATGCATTCACTATAACTGCTCCTACACGGCTTCATTAAAATTTGGAAAAGTCCATAGGAAATCTCAAGTATTCCATAATAGTGAAAAACAAATAAGAAAGCAATGAGTGTAATAATGATTATTTTAGACTCTTAACAACAATTTCGTTGTTCAGAAAATTTGAAATAACGACACAACAATCATATCCAAGTAGTGACTACACGTCTACCAGTGTGGTGTAGGCGATGGACTTGCAAAATACAAGAACATATCTAAATCCGTTTACGTAATTTACTACAAGAAAAGAACAATAAATATGATGAAAAGTTGTGAATTGTGATGGAATATGAAGACTCTTAATTCAAAGTCTCTGTTGCATGTGGATTTCAACAACCCATCACAACTAGATACAAGCTGTGTCGACAAAGGACTTGCAAACTTGTAAAAGGGGTTGTGAACAATCACCACTCATTTCGTTTTCCAATAAATCGGTTTCAACCTATGGAATTTAGGCCACTTAGTACTACGGTCTAGTGGTATTCCTCTTTGTTTGTAAGTGAGAGATCTTATGTTCGATTCTCTCTCAAGGCGAGTTTCAACAACATTATTGCTAGCCCATTGTGAGGCTAAACTCACCCCCTCCTTTTAGTGTAGAAAATATCACTTGTTAAAAAAACATAGGGAATTTGGAATTTAAAGTAAAACAAGAAATAAGACTAAATTCAAAACATGAAATAAAGCAAATCCTAATTGAAAGATGCAAACCTAAATCCATAAAAGCAAGGAAACCCAAATATATTCTCACACTTCCCCCTTTTATTATTCTCCAACAGGGTCCAAAACTAGGGTTTACATGGCATATGTTAAATCAGCAAGAAACCAAAGTGGTGTTAATTAGGATTATATTTCATAAAGATGATCATAGTAATCCGAGGAATAGTATGATTGCTTGTGTAAGAAGGAATCACAATTCTTGAGTGAAACTAATTTTAGTCAGACTAGTACACGGATATACCATGATCATCACTATATATAAAAAGGAAAAATAATTTATTTTTTTAAAGTACAACGATATATTACTCCAAGAGGATGTTGGAGTTCGACTAAACCAGATAATGGACAACTTAATTTAGTATCAAATTCACCATTTACGAGATTTGAACCTAAAACTTCTCACTTACAAGTAAAGAGGAATACAATCAGACCGCAGTACTTCAGTGGCGAAAGAAAAAGCACTAAACAGCTATATATATATCTCACAATTAGCAAAACCTTTTCACTTCTCTCTCCCTCTCGTGCATACTATAGTCAATACCGACAATGCTTACACACTATATGCTTACATACATATATGTTATACATGGAAGGACATAAGCAAAATATAAAGAAAGTGTTTTTGTTTGGGAACTGAAGTGGATTTAAGGAACAATTCTTGGTATAGATGCAAATAGTGGGAAAAGGGGAACGAATCACATCCCTTCCTCTAGTCGGGCCAAATGATAAGAACCCCCTAAAAGATGCAAATAGAGTTAGGAATTAGAGCTTCTGTCTCTGTCCATCTCTTTTGCAATTTCGTAAATGCATGCGAATCAGTGAACATATTAATAAATAAATTAGTTGATAATATAGCTAGTATTTAAAAAAAAAAAATACCGCAAATATTAAGTCATGCTCACTTGCATTGCCAATTGCCACTCTCTTTTCTCTTCCAATCCCCTTCATCAATTATATTTATGAATTTCCACCGCTAGCTAATCGGTGTGCAAAGACTTCCACATGCAGACCCTTAATTCCAGTCTACCAGCATGTGTGGTGTAAAATATAACAACATATCCAAATTTGTTTTTCGTATGCAAGTTGATAAGTTGTGAATTGTGATGGAACATGAAGACCCTTAATTTAACAACCCATCACAATCAAGTACTAGCTGTGTCGACAAGGGACCTGCAAACTTGTAAAAGGGGTTGTGAACACCCACCACTCATTTCAGTTACCCTTTTTCCTTTTCTCCATCCGATGACTTTCGTTTTCAGCTCTCCTACCTACATCGATAATCTTTTCCTATAAATTCGATATCGTACTAATTTTAGTAGCTAAACATCTCACCAACAAAGCAAAAAAAAATTGTGTGTAATAATGGATAGCCATTGTCACCTCAGTATTGCTCACTATTTGCTTCTTTTGCTTTTGGTCTCTTCCTGCATGCAGAGTACTACTAAACTCTGTTTCTGTTTGGCTGGTGATGAAATTTCAAGCAGTGTGAAGACAAATTCATGCATTGAGGAAGAAAGACAAGCGCTTCTCGTCTTTAAACAACATCTTGTTGATCATTCTGGTAGGCTTTCGTCTTGGGTGGGTCATGATTGCTGCCAATGGGAAGGTATTTCATGCAACAACAACACTGGTCATGTCGTGAAGATGGACCTCCGGAATCCATATGACTTTTCTGACGATGATGAGTATGAAGAGAGGAGATATGAAAAGAGGAGAAATGCTTCTTTGGGAGGTAAGATAAATGCTTCTCTGTTGAGCTTGAAACATTTAAATTACCTGGACTTGAGCCAGAATTCGTTTGATAGCATTCAAATTCCTAAGTTCATTGGGGAGCTTAAAAGTTTGCAATATCTCAATCTCTCCTATGTGTCATTTAGAGGAGACATTCCCTCTTCTCTTGGTAACCTGTCTAGCCTAAATTTTCTTGATCTCGGGTGGAGCGGGAATGTGTTTGACTTATCTTCCAAAAATTTGAATTGGCTTTCTCACCTCACTTCCCTGAAATACATTAATCTCAATGGCGTTGATCTTAACAGCACAGGAGTCAGTTGGGCATATGATATTAACATGCTTCCTTCATTGTTAGAGTTACATTTATCTTCGTGCCAAATTGAAAGCATTCCACTCTCACTGCAGAGCATTAACTTCCTTCCACTTTCACTACAGAGGATTAACTTCACATCACTGTTGGTCCTTGATATGTCGTCTAATGGCATTAAAAGTTCTTCATTTCCCGGTTGGTTTTTTAATCTTACCAACCTCGTAACACTTGATCTATCCGGGAATGATTTCAGCAATTCTTTTCCAAGTGGATTTTCAAACTTCAAATCTCTGGAAAACCTTCATTTATCTGGTACAGGCTTAAAAGGTCAAATTCCTAAAGTCAGTGGAAATTTGTGCAAGCTAAAAGTCTTAAGTCTTTATGGGAACATCTTTGATGGGGGGATTGAAGAGTTTTGGAGGAGTCTCTCAAATTGTCCAAGTAATACATTAGAGTCATTAGATTTGTCTAATTGCGAGATTGAAAGCCAATTGCCGGTCTTTTTAGGAATGTTTAAAAGTTTGCAAAATCTCAACCTTGCAGAAAACCATCTGTGGGGCTCAATTCCAGATTCCATCGGAAACTTGTCGTCTTTGAGAACACTAAACCTCTTTTTTAATACTTTGTCGGGCTCAATTCCAGATTCCATCGGAAACTTGTCGTCCTTGAAAACACTAAACCTCAGATATAATAAGATGAACGGCTCAATTCCAGAAAGTATTGGACAACTCTGTGAGCTAGTTTCCCTACTTCTGTTTGGTAATTCATGGGAAGGCATTCTAACGGAAGCCCATTTCATAAATCTTACCAGATTACAAGTTTTTGAAGTAGGAAATATAGACCGACCCATGTCCCTCAGTCTCGACGGGGCTTATGACAGGGTTCCTCCTTTCAAGCTCCGTAGAATATGGATCATAAATTGTCAGATAAAACTTGGCTTTTGGGTATGGCTTCAAACTCAAACTAAACTGTCTAATGTTATCCTTCAGGGTAATGGAATCTCGGATTCCATACCAGAGGAATGGTTGTTGAAGATATCTTCCCAACTTAGCGATCTAGACTTGTCTTCCAACCACTTTCATGGAAACTTTCCATCCCATTTGAAATTTCCAAATTCAATGTCTATTGATTTGAGTCATAATCAGTTGGAGGGCCCTCTACCACTTTGGTGTTTCCCTAATGTCGATTTGCTTTATCTAGAAGGCAATTTATTTTCTGGGCCAATCCCCTCAAATATTGACCAAATGATGCCCAAGTTGGAAGAATTGTTACTTGATGAGAATCATTTGAATGGCACTATTCCTCCATCTATTTGTAAGATGCAGAAGTTAAAAATCCTGTCTCTAAGGAGCAATCAGTTTTCGGGAGAACTCCCTCATGCATGGAATATGGAGAGCATTATGGTGTTTTTAGATGTTGGTCAAAACAATCTGTCTGGTAAGATTCCCACTTCATTGGGGGTACTACGTTCCCTGGAAATTTTAAAGCTCAACGACAACAATTTTGGCGGTGAAATTCCTGATGCCTTGCAAAATTGTTCAAGTTTGAGGAGTATTGATCTTGGAGACAACAAGTTATCTGGGAAAATACCTCTATGGATAGGAGGGTCAAACGTATCTAAGTTGTCTAGGCTACGATTACGGTCCAACTATTTTAGTGGATGTATTTCCCAGCAACTGTGCAATCTTCAAGGCCTTCACATCCTCGACCTTAGTAACAACAGCCTTTCAGGTACTATTCCCATGTGTTTGGATAACTTAACTTCGCTAGTCAATGATGATCCTTATGAAGAATATTATAATGGGTATGAGCAAGCCACACTGACACTAAAAGGAGAAGAACTTGTGTACAACACAACTCTGTATCTTGTAAAGAGCATTGATCTTTCATCAAATAATTTAAAAGGTGAAATCCCTGAAGAAATAAGCAGCCTCATTATGTTGGGCACCTTGAATTTGTCCATGAATCAATTAATTGGAAAGATTCCTTCCAAGGTCGGAAACTTGCGTTGGCTCGAAACTCTTGATCTCTCACACAACCACCTTTCGGGACAAATTCCTCAAAGCTTGTCATCTTTAACCTCTTTGTCCCACCTAGACTTGTCTTACAACAACTTGGTTGGAAGAATTCCTACTGGAAACCAACTTCAAACGCTCAATTTTTCGTCCATTTATGTGGGCAATCAATGGTTATGTGGAGTTCCTCTCTCAACTAAGTGCCCTGAAGATGACACTTTTATTGCTAAGGATGCAAAGGAGGAGAATGAAGATGGAAAGGATAAGTTGTGGCTCTATGTCAGCGTGGTATTTGGCTTTATCGTAGGCTTTTGGGGCGTTTGCGGCACATTGATCTTAAAGACATCGTGGAGGTATGCCTATTTTCAATTCTTCGATGACATCAAAGATAAGGTAGCACTGGCAATTGCATTGAAAATGGCTCGTTTCAAAATGTTTTTATTTTGAAGTTGGATTGTGCTAATATATAATGTGATGTTTTTCTCTTTTTACTTTGTGTTTTGGTATTTGCAACTTATGTATTAAATAAAAAAATGTTTCAGTAAGTGTTCCCACAAACAATTATGTAACGGTTATCCATTTAATACAAGAATTCTATCTAGTTTGTACTTATGAATCGCATAATACAATCTACCTATGTAATGTTGCAATTTAACAAAATAACATTACGAAGTAGATAAGTACACTTGTGTATTCTTCTCTTTTACACATGAATGTCATCCAACTCGGCGAGTGGTAGTCCACCTCTACCGCCTTCTCGATGCTGCCAAAACCATACAAAAATGGGAGGAAGAATTGGTGGTTCGATATCGTCGAGGGTTTTCTGGGATTCCTGTTCCTTGCAGAGAGAGAGGTGGGAGAATTCGATGGCGTCTTCTGGGTTCCTGTCCCTTGCCGAGAGAGATGGGAGAGGTATTTGGCGTCTGTTGCAGAGAGAGATTAGGGGTTTTGCACAGAGGGTGGGTGGGCGATTCAATTGAGGAGCTACAAGGATGGGGGCTCCATCTCTATTCTCGCTTGCTGAAACTTTCCGCCCTTCAGGTAATCTCTCAGTTGAAAGCTTCTAATTATTTTTTTTTCATTTCCGCTCTTCAGGTAAATCAGAAAAACGGACTTAGTAAACAAATTGATGAAATTTTTATTTGCGTGCCCTGTTTTTGATTTGTTTGGTTTGGCTTTTAGAGAAATTTGCTGCTACCCTTGATTTTCCAGTGACATTTGTGCAGCCTGCATTTAATCATATGATGATTTATATAAGCTTTTTCAAATCTTTCAAATTGTTTATGTGCAAATGGGGTTGAACGTGTTAATGAGTGGTTGTGTTGTTTGCAGCGAGCTCCGTTCAAGGTAATTTCATTTGTTATAGGCAATTTTGTCAAGATTTCTGGGTTTCTTTTTGCTTCTTCTCTGCTAAATTACTCATCTGGAAGTTAATTTTGTTCAAAGACCAAGTATTGTTCTTCAATTAAGATTTCTGGGTTTTTTTTTTTTTTTTTTTGGTGCTTCTTTTCTTTTAAATTACTCATCTGGATGTTAATTTAGTTCAAAAACTAAGTATTGTTCTTCAATTAATCTTACCAGAAAGCATATGAGAACGTGGCACACTAGTGTTCGATGAAATGTGTCTGAGAATCTGTCAATATGATATATTATAATTCTGACTCTCCTCTTCAGCTCCGGCCCCAGGTGCGTGAAGGTGACGTGGACCTGGTTGACGTTGTCTTCATTCACAGTTCCGGACGACAGTTCTGAACCTCTGGCGATTCCGACTGAGAAAGAGGTCAATAACAGCAAGGTAATGGAATTCAATGTGTTGTGTTTGTTATAGGGGCTGTCCAGATAGCTTAGAATGTGTTTCATGATGCATATGGCTGAAGCGGTTTTGGCTACTTTTTGGATTGCTCATTAATTTTTTTGTTGACCTTGGCTGGTACAAATACATATAAGAAAAGTACTATCCTTTTATCAACTTTTAGTCAGGTTCAAATTTAGAATGGATTTGTATTCATGAGGCATTGGGGTAAAGTGCCTGTGTTCTGTGTTTTGTTGTTATTTTTTCATCCTTTTAAATTGTATTATGGATAAGTGAACACATTTAGCGGATAAATTTCAACAAGAAAGTTTAAACTTTTTGATATGGCATAACCCTCAAACTTGTCATATGGTCAGGTTTTTTGGTCACTTGTTTATGTTTGTGGATGCCTTGTTGAAATTATCTGTGTCCCATGTGCTTCATCTTCTGCTGGTGAAACCAGAAATATAACCGTTGGATCATTTGCTAGCAATTAGTAGAGGGGGATGGGGGCTTCATCTCTATTCTCGCTTGCTGAAACTTTCCGCTCTTCAGGTAATCTCTCAGTTGAAAGCTTCTAATTAATTTTTTTTCATTTAGGTATTTTTTTTTTTATCGATTTATGTATTTTTTGTTCCAGTGAATTCGAAATGAAATCAGAAAAACGGATTTCGTAACAAATATATGAAATTTTTATTTGCATGTCCTGTTTTTGATTTGTTTGGTTTGGAATTATATTATTTTTTGCTTTTTTTTGGCCTGGGCTTTTAGAGAATAAAGTTGCTTGCTGCTACCCTTGATTTTCCAGTGACATTTGTGTAGCCTGCATTTAGTCATATAATGGATGGTGGTGTAAATTCAGTTCTTATAGACAATTTTTTTTTTAAAAAAGATATCTGGGTTTCTTTTTGCTTCTTCTCTGTTAAATTACTCATCTGGAAGTTAATTTTGTTCAAAGACTAAGTATTGTTCTTCAATTAATCTTACAAGAAAGCATATGGGAACGTGGCACACTAGGTGTCCGATGAAATGTGTCTGAGAATCCGTCAATATGATATATTATAATTTTGACCCTCCGCTTCAGCTCCGGCCTCAGGTGCGTGAAGGCGAAGTGGTCCTGGTCGACTGTCTCTCCCTCCACAGTTCTGGACGATGGTTCCGAAGCTCTGGCGATTCCTACTGAGAAAGAGGTCAATAACAAGAAGGTAATGGAATTCAATGTTTTGTGTATTTAGACGTAGGCATTATACATTTTAATTGATGCACATACTTCTAGAGGCATACTTCAAGGCACAGAAATTACGTAGTTTGTAGTCCTGTTAATTTTGAATACTATTATGTATTTCAACATAATAGTGTTCCATTGCACAAAAAGAAAACAGAAAGGAATTGTATGAGTTTCTGATTTTCTTGCAGTTGAAGAGGATCCTGCTGATGCTGAACCTAAATTTAACCCTTTTACTGGATCTGGAAGACGCTTGGATGGGAAGCCTTTGAAATATAAGCCAGCACTAGCTTCTTCCTCAGGATCCAAAGACAAGAAACCTGCAGTCACCAATGGAAACGCACAACCTTCTACAGGATCTAGTTCACAAGCTACCAGTTGTCAGGCTCGGGGAAAACTTGTTTTCGGATCAAATGCCAGTCGCTCTCCAAAGGAGACAAAAAAAGGTACTCTTGCTTCTCTTGTTTCATGACTTCCATCAACTGACTTTGGAATTATTTTACAAACGTTGCCAGTTTGATGTGATGCTGATTGTAAATCACTCTTTATCTATTCAATTCTGCAGGAAGCTGCAAAAGAGACTAAGAAAGAGAAACAGCCGGAAGTGAAAGAAGACCCGAAATTCCAGCCTTTTATCAACTTTTAGTCAGGTTCAAATTTAGAATGCATTTGTACTCATGAGGCATTGGGGTAAAATAGCTAGGGGATAACGTTTTAGTCAGGTACAAATAGCAACTGTTTTTTTTGTTTTTGGTTATTTTTTCATGTAGGGGATAACTTTTTGTTGTTTATTGAAAGGAATATTAGAACACATCCACATCCTATTTTGTCAAATTGTTCTAAAGTGTCTGATGCTGATTTTAGAATTCTCCTGACTTTCTAACTCCAATCTGTGCCAAGAGAACCCAACTAAAGTGGTTCGCCGCTCCATTTATAAATGAAACGAAATTTTTTTCCGAATTGGAGTTAGTTTCTCAATTGGAGTAGGTTTTATAACTAGATTCCAATTAGGATTAATAATCCTTATTGAAGAAGACCTTTATTATGTCTATATAAAGGGGCTATTGTACTAGTTTTGAATTGGGGGGGAGCAAAACAATAAATTGTATACCACTCAAGGGATTAGAGTGAGAGAATATTGTAAAGTGTGTGCGAGAGAAAAGAAAAGAGATAGTGTATTTCTTGTTCCTGTTCTTTCAGGTTTTTCGTCAAGTCCTAGTTCTAGAGATTTGGCAAGATTATTGGTTGTACTTATTATTGATATAGTGAAAGATTGTTGTTGCTGTCCCGTGGACTTAGGCACGTATTGCCGAACCACGTTAATTCTTGGTGTTGATTTGTCTTGGTTATTTGTTTTCGATTTCCGGAGCTTGATCTGTTTTTACCATTCTTAAATGTGATATTCTCAACAACTGTTATATTTAGTACAGCCAATATGGTGCCGTTCAGGTGTTTTTGACTAATCTCTGCAGTTTTTGAATTCATCTGGGGTATTTGTGATTTTGAACGACACTAAAAATTTATGGGCTATAGGAACCGCTTGTTAAGAAAATGGGTCCAAATTCAGAGCTGCATTCTTCTTCCCTCAAAATAAGAAGAAAACGCTTCCTCAACTCCATATTTTGGCACCTCAGGTATATTTGCGTTCTAAAGCCTTTTACTTCTTCCGAATTCTTCAGAGCTATTATTTTACCCATATGTGATTTGTAAAGTGGAAGATTGGATTTCATATGTCTGAGTATTTAGGGTTTTGTACATTGCAAACTTGGGCTTATTGATCCAAATGGCTAGAACAATGTACTCAACAATTTCATATCCTCTTGGGCCAAGGAGAGTATATTACTTGCCAATAAGGAATATACTTCATATAATAGCAATGTCCTGATGTGTGGCATGCTTTAATTAGGGATATTTATGTGTAGTAAGAAAGCCATAGAGAAAGAGAGAGCGAGAGAGAGAGAGAGCCGAGGACACACAAATGACACATGTAAAACATTTATTTCATTGCTTCGTTTTTGGTACAAAAAAACATTTATTGTTAACTAAGGAACCATTTTTATAGATTTATTGAAATATGTAAGAACTTGTTTCTATCCTAACACATTAATTTTGCTCAATAGGAATCCCATAACTGAAATTTTATAGAAATGGTGTAATTGGTCAATCTGAAATTTTGAATTTTAGCCGATGAATGAACTCTTACAAGCTTTCTACTGCATATACACATCTTTTTTGGTTGTTAGATTTTGTTTTTATTTCATTTTTTGGTAAATGCAATGGTTGGTTTTGCAAAGGACTGACCTTTATCTTTTGTAGTTTTACCTTTTTTGGTATCGAGTATTGGTTGGATTTATTTTGTAGATTGACAGGTATTTGTGCGTTATTTGTTTTCAATAATCAGTTTTCGTTATTTGTTTTAAATTTTATTATGGATAAGTGAACACAATTATGAGTATCAACCATTTATCCTCATTCATATTCAAATGTAATTTAATATCGATTTTGTAAGAGTTTTTTTGTCAATAATTTATGAATTTTTGTCAGTAAAACAATTTTCGAGCCGCATTTGGTCCGACGCTAATAATTTTTGTACTGCTGGATAATTATATTTTCTCATTGCGCAGAAAAAAAGTTTGCAGTGTGGGTTTTCTAAATTCAGTCACTTCATTCTCTAATCTCGTAGATCTCCAACTTAAATCCATTTAACTATGTCATTCTTTGTATCATTTTACCGTATTTATTTGAGTTCTGTATTTAAATGTTGTTGACTTTTATTACATGAAGAAAACTGCCATATCCATAGAAAATAAATTTTTGATTTGTGTAGCAATGCATTTGAACGCTACAATATTTTCTGTTTGGGTTTTTTTCCAACTTAATTTGTTTTGGATTTTTGATTTTGAATTTTTGGTTTAATGTATTTACAAATGCCATGAACTCTTTGATGGTAGTATTCCATTTTTTTTTACTGATTCCCAGATTTTTTTTCAAGAGAATTAATTATCTGTTTGTCTCAGCTAACAGAGTAAATCTGGGGTTCTGTACACAACAAAATATGGAATTTAGCTAAGAAATTTCAACAACAAAGTTTAAACTTTTTGATATGGCAAAAAACAGATTCTCTTCTTTCTCAAAACCCTCAAATTTGTCATATGATCAGGGTTTATTTAGTCATTTGATTATGTCTGGGACAAGTATATATGTCCGAGGATGCCTTGTTGAAAATTTATGTACCCCATGTGCTTCATCTTCTGCTGGTTAAACCAGAAATATAGCTGTTGAATCCGTTGCTAGCAATTAGTAGATGATTAATTTCCTTTTTGTCGTAAATTATGGAACTTCCAGGAGCTTGAAGGGCTCTCAGATCCGATGAGGAAGGATGTTTCACAAGTTCGTAAGAAGATCAATGTGATTAACAAAGAGTTAATGTCACTAGGACATACCTGCCAGAAGAAGGTAACACAACTTGGATTTGTACCACATTCAGATGTTAATGTTTACTGCTATGCATATGCAATTATGGATCAATTCATGTCTGTTCGTGATGAATTTCGGGTTTGTAACTTGTCACAGGAAAAGGAATACAGAGATGCACTTGAGGCTTTCAATGAAAAGAACAGAGAAAAAGTGCAGCTTATCACAAAGCTAATGGAGGTTAGTTTGTTAAACAAATTTTTACTTGGCATAGCGGGGTTGCAATTTCATGGATGGGTTGAACTCAAACCAGTCTGGCCAGTTCGGAGTTAGAGTGAGCTGTCTGGCCAGTTCGGAGTTAGAGTGAGCACGGTTGAGCCTGGTTTGACAAATTACCAATCCTACAAAATTTGGGCTTACCTCCGGTTAGGAGTTCAACCCATCCAACCTCTCAACCGATGCTAGTTATCATTCATTATATTTCGATTCAGTAAAAGCGTACATAGTGCTTATATAATTCAACGTTTTCAGATTGTTTTGTTGTCGTGTAACATTTGATGCAGCTGGTGAGCGAAAGTGAGAAGACAAAGATGAAGAAGCTTGAGGAGCTGAGCAAGAACATACAATCATTAAAGTGAAGAAATAGCAGCCTATGTGGGTAACTGATGATCTGATTAGGTTTGTGTGATGATTTATTTAAGGTGAGTTTTTTTTTACGTTTACATATGTGGGTGGTGATTGGCATTTGGTGTAATTTCTAAGTTGGTTTGTTTCATTAATTTGTGCTTGGTAAAAACATTTGGCTGATTTAGGCAGGAAAATAACCTTTAAATTTAAACAGGTTTGTAACTAAAAGCATCTGGCCTTGCATTTTTCTTCTCATTTTTCCATGTATCCAAACACATACTACCCTACTTCCTAGTGTAATGTGGGGTGCTTTGAATTTATTCCTATTCTTTGTTCTAACTTTTTATGGATTGCAAAGGCCATGATATTTATGTAATAATGTAAAGTTTTATGAGTGATTTTGGGACAAATGGAGTGTATTTTGTTCAATTTTTCTTCAGTACTCGGCTCTATACGGAAGGATTGCATTTTCTACTCCTACCCCCACAACACCATGATCTTCTTCTCTCTTTTCATGGATTCTTGTGACTGTAACCTCCATATGCTGAGATCTCTCCCGGTCTTCAAGAACACCATCAACCACGGTCCACTGTGAGAGTATCAAAAAAACCCACCATCCCCATTTTCCAAGTTTTCCCTTTACTCTCTCCAAATATTGAATCTTTCTGCTCTTCTGCTTGTTGGGTTTTGTTTGTTTTTTTCATTTTTTTTGGGGAAAAAAGGTAAAGAAAAGGGTTTTTTTTTTTCTTTTTGTGTTGGGGGGTGGGGAGTTGATCAAGAGCTTGCATGGGTACGGATTGGATCAGGGGAAGAGAAATAAGCTAGAGAGGGAGTTTGTGTTCAGGGAAATGGGTTGTATGTGGAGCTGACAGCTGAGCCACTTCTGAGATTGATGAAATTTCCAGCTTCCAAAGTGCTCCAAGGGCATGTCAATGGTTACTGGGTTTGCATTTTAGCATTTCATAAGAATTCACCTTCGGATTTGACATGCATTCACTCTATTCTTTCAGTCTTCACGTACCCTTTTCAGTCTGATGAATTTATTCTTATGTTGTCTCGCTGCTTTTGATGTTTTTCACGGTATTGTTCTTTTGGTTGGGGGTTGTCGTTATTTGTGTTTGTGTTTATGTTTGAGATGTACCAATTGCAGTATTACCCGATTACGGATGTCTACATTTTTTTGGACCTTTTACCATTTTAAATTTCGCTCATTCCCTGACAATTCCTGACTTAGCCACTGACAGAAGACAAACACGTATTTTGTTGGGGCTTCACTTGTTTGGTCTTTTCAAAGAAAGAAGAAAGGATTATGAGATGTATTGGAATACAGATACATGATATACTGATTCTCACATATTATAGTGCGTGGATTGATTATTAATGTTATATTCTAAAGTATAGATTGGATCTTCTACTCATAATATAACATGTGGATGTGTTCTAGTATGTTTCAATAATTTTTCTTGATGAAGAGCCCTTGGTTTGCTTTCTATTATGGCATGGAAGAGTACATTTTGCTCACGATCCTTAGTGGTCGTGAGCATTACTACTACATTAATTATGATTGGTTCAGTTTAGGTTTTGAGATATAAGTAGGAAGCAAATCTGATCATATTCATTGATAACAATTCATGTGGTGGAAGTGCTCATTAAAATGCACTTTGAGTGGAAAAGCTAGGGTTAGAAGACAACCATTTCACTGAATCTCTTGCAATCTTTAAAACCCAATGCAATTGTCGAATTTTCTGTACTGTGTCGATGTATCGGATTACATCGAATAATTGGGGTTAAACATTTTGCCCTTCAGCTGACTTTGGAATTATATTACAAATGTTGCCAGTTTGATGTGATGCTGATCGTAAATCACTCTTTATCTATTCGGACACGAAAATTTTTGCGTTGTAAGCATACATATTGAAATTTATGTTATAAATTTTTTTGATAAGAAGCAGATGTAAATTAGAATCATACTAATATAGGTATGCTATATGCATAAATTTGATAGTACCATAAGTTCAGAATTAATCTTTAGTGTCATTAAAAAATATACGCAAATTTATATACATAAATTTGGGGTACTGTTGTATTTGGTACAGCCGATATGGTGCCGCTCAGGTGTTTTTTGACTAATCTCTGCAGTTTTTGAATTTAACTGGGTATTTGTGATTTGGAACGACACTAAAATTTTTTATGGGTTATAGGTGTTAACTACCTTGAAATATTTGGGAATTGAAGAGAAAATCAAAAGAAAGATGAACGCAGAGAGCTTGGAGAGAGAGTTTAGAGAGAGAAATACGAGACTTATATTAACGCAGAGAGCTTGGATTACACAGCTACATTTTTATAAGAGAGTCTAATAACTTTAACCAAATACTAACAAACTTACTAACTGTATTGCCGACTTGTACAATCAATTGACTAATCATCTAACTATTGATGTGGAACCGCAGGGTTAGAAAATGGGTCCAAATGCTTCTTGCAAATAACCCAACGGTTAGGTTTAGTCAAAGCAATGACCTCTTCCCCGAAATACAAGTGTAGGTTGAAGCATCTGAGGAGGGGGAATTGACATCACTTTTTCAACTTTTGTCACCACTTTAATCATAATTCAAGCAGATTGAGCACGCTAAGTTAGCCGTTGCTCTACAAAAAATACAGCTTCACCAAACACCGAAAAAGAAACCAAATCAAACAAGGAGTGCTATTATGTCCACTTTATTGTCTAATTTTTTCACCCGCTTTTTAACGAAAATTTTAGTAACAAGTTTATTCTATTGCAAAATTACATAGAAGGACCTAAGTGTTTTTGTTTGGGAATTGAAGTGACATAAGGGACACCACCTCTCTGTATCTCTCCGGTGCACCACCGTCCTCACAACCCAACTCAAAACCAAGTGAAGGACCCAAGGTTTAAGTGCTGCTTCCCTTTGATTGAGCAAACATATTATGCCATTCTTAGGATTTAAGGAACGATTCTTGGTATATACACAAATAGTGAGAAAATAGAACAAATCATGTCCCTTCCTCCAATCGGGCTAAACGGTAAGAACCCTAAAAAGTGCAAATAGAGTTATAGATTAGGCTTCAGTCTCTGTCTATCCTTCTTGCAATTTCGTAAATGCACGTGAATCAGTGAACAAATTAATAGATGAATTAGTTTAGAATATTGCAAGTATTTAAAATAAAAAAAAAGAATACCGAAAATATTAAATCATCCTCACTTGCATTGCCAATTGCCACTCTCTTGTCTCTTCCAATCCCTTTCATCAATTATGATTTATGGATTTCCACGGCTAGACATAAGGATTTTCCACCAAAGACTAATCGGTGTGCAAAGACTTCCACAAGTAGCTAGCCATCTCATTCATGCATTCATAATATCTGCTCCTACAAGGCTTGCAAACTTGTAAATATCCAAGTAGTGACTACCAATCTACCAGCATGTGTGGTGTGAATTATAAGAACATATCCAAATCGGTTTTCGTAAGTAAGTTGATAAGTTGTGAATTGTGATGGAACAAGATGACCCTTAATTCAAAGTCTTTGCTGCGTATGGATTTCCACAACTCATCACAACCAGGTACCAGTTGTGTTGACAAGGGACCTGCAAACTTGTAAATGGGGTTGTGAACAACCGCCACTCATTTCAGTTGCCCTTTTTTCTTTTCTCCATCAGACGACTTTTGTTGTCACTCTCCGGCCTACATCAATAAACATCTCACCAACAAAGCAAAGAAAATAAGAAGAAAATGGATCCAAATTTATGACTTTTACTTCTTCCGATTTCTTTAGAGCTATTATTTTACCCATATGTGATTTGTAAAGTGGAAGATTGGATATCATATGTCTGAGTATTTAGGGTTTTGTACCATGCAAACTTAGAGCTTATTGATCCAAATGGTTAGAACAGTGTACTCAAACAATTTCATATCCTCTTGGGCTAAGGAGAGTATATTACTTGCCAATGAGAAATATACTTCATATAATAGCTATGTGATGATGTGTGGCATGCTTTAATTAGGGATATTTTTGTGTAGTAAGAAAGCCATAGAGAGAGAGTCACATTTTTGTTTTTTTTGGATTTGGTTAGTGTAGTGAATACGCAATGAAAGCCGAGGACAAACAAATGACACATGTAGTTGGGAATTTGTGAGTTACATGCAAAGCACATGGAAAGTAAGCTTTTGTAATGTGTCTAATGGCATAGTCAAAGAGTTGTCCACCTAATGTCTACTCTACAACGATCGTAGAGTAGATCTGTTTGTGTTGAGCATAACTATGATCAATTTGACATGAAATGAAGATAAGTTGGGTTTTTTTTCAACTTTTTTTTTTTTTTTTTTTTTTTTTTTTTTTTTTGGATTTTTGTTTTTGAATTTTTGGGTTATGTATTTTACAAAGGCCATGAACTCTGATGGAAGTAATTCCTTTTTTTTAAACAAATTTCCAGAATTTTTGTAAATCTGGGGTTCTGTGCACAACAAAATATGGAATTTCAACAACAAAGTTTAAACTTTTTGATATGCGATTTCGTAAATGCATGCGAATCAGTGAACATATTAATAGATAAACTAGTTGATAATATAGCTAGTATTTAAAAAAAAAATACCGCAAATATTAAGTCATGCTCACTTGCATTGCCAATTGCCACTCTCTTTTCTCTTCCAATCCCCTTCATCAATTATATTTATGAATTTCCACCGCTAGCTAATCGGTGTGCAAAGACTTCCACATGCAGACCCTTAATTCCAGTCTACCAGCATGTGTGGTGTAAAATATAACAACATATCCAAATTTGTTTTTCGTAAGCAAGTTGATAAGTTGTGAATTGTGATGGAACATGAAGACCCTTAATTCAACAACCCATCACAATCAAGTACCAGCTGTGTCGACAGGGGACCTGCAAACTTGTAAAAGGGGTTGTGAACACCCACCACTCATTTCAGTTACCCTTTTTTCTTTTCTCCATCCGACGACTTTCGTTTTCAGCTTTCCTACCTACATCGATAATCTTTTCCTATAAATTCGATATCGTACTAATTTTAGTAGCTAAACATCTCACCAACAAAGCAAAGAAAAATTGTGTGTAATAATGGATAGCCATTGTCACCTCAGTATTGCTCACTATTTGCTTCTTTTGCTTTTGGTCTCTTCTTGCATGCAGAGTACTACTAAACTCTGTTTCTGTTTGGCTGGTGATGAAATTTCAAGCAGTGTGAAGACAAATTCATGCATTGACGAAGAAAGACAAGCGCTTCTGGTCTTTAAACAGCATCTTGTTGATCATTCTGGTCGGCTTTCGTCTTGGGTGGGTCATGATTGCTGTCGATGGGAAGGTATTTCATGCAACAACAGCACTGGTCAGGTCATGAAGATGGACCTCCGGAATCCATATGACTATTTTTATTATGAAAGGTGGATAAATGCTTCTTTACGAGGTAAGATAAATGCTTCTCTGTTGAGCTTGAAACATTTAAATTACCTGGACTTGAGCCAGAATGTGTTTGATAGCAATCAAATTCCTAAGTTCATTGGGGAGCTTAAAAGTTTGCAATATCTCAATCTCTCCCATGCATCATTTAGAGGAGAGATTCCCTCTTCTCTTGGTAACCTGTCAAGCCTACATTTTCTTGATCTCGGGTGGAGCCAGAATGTGTTTGACTTATCTTCCAAAAATTTGAATTGGCTTTCTCACCTCTCTTCCCTGAAATACATTAATCTCAATGGCGTTGATCTTAGCAGCACAGGAGTCAGTTGGGCATATGATAGTAACATGCTTCCTTCATTGTTAGAGTTACATTTATCTTCGTGCCAAATTGAAAGCATTAACTTCCTTCCACTTTCTCTACAGAGGATTAACTTCACATCACTGTTGGTCCTTGATATGTCGTATAATGGCATTAAAAGTTCTTCATTTCCCGGCTGGTTTTTTAATCTTACCAACCTCGTAACACTTGATCTATCCTGGAATTATTTCAGGGATTCTTTTCCAAGTGAATTTTCAAACTTCAAATCTTTGGAAAATCTTGATTTATCTGGAACAGGCTTAAAAGGTCAAATTCCTAAAGTCAGTGGAAATTTGTGCAAGCTAAAAGTCTTAAGTCTTTCAGGGAACGACTTTGATGGGGGGATTGAAGAGTTTTGGAGGAGTCTCTCAAATTGTCCAAGTAATACATTAGAGTCACTAGATTTGTCTAATTGCAAGATTGAAGGTCAATTGCCGGTCTTTTTAGGAATGTTTAAAAGTTTGCAGAATCTCAACCTGGGAGAAAACAATTTGTTGGGCTCAATTCCAGATTCCATCGGAAACTTGTCGTCCTTGAAAACACTAGACCTCAGTTATAATAAGATGAACAGCTCAATTCAAAAAAGTATTGGACAACTCTATGAGCTAGTTTCCCTACTTCTGCTTGGTAATTCATGGGAAGGCATTCTAACGGAAGCCCATTTCGTAAATCTTACCAGATTACAACATTTTCAAGTAGGAAATATAGACCGACCCATGTCCCTCATTCTCGGCGGGGCTTATGACAGGGTTCCTCCTTTCAAGCTCTTCACAATTTATATCCTAAACTGTCGGATAAGTCCTGGTTTTTGGGTATGGCTTCAAACTCAAACTGAACTGTTTGATGTCAACCTTCGGGGTAATGGAATCTCGGATTCCATACCAGAGGAATGGTTGTTGAAGATATCGTCCCAACTTACCTATCTAGACTTGTCTTACAACCACTTTCATGGAAACTTTCCATCCCATTTGAAATGTCCAAATTTAACGTCTATTGATTTGAGTCATAATCAGTTGGAGGGTCCACTACCACTTTGGTGTTTCCCTAATGTCGATTCCCTTTATCTAGAAGGCAATTTATTTTCTAGGCCAATCCCCTCAAATATTGATCAAATGATGCCCAAATTGCAAGAATTGTTACTTGATGAGAATCATTTGAATGGCACTATTCCTCCCTCTATTTGTAACATGCAGAAGTTAAAAATCCTGTCTCTAAGGAGCAATCAGTTTTCTGGAGAACTCCCTCATGCATGGAATATGGAGAGCATTATGGTGTTTTTAGATGTTGGTCAAAACAATCTGTCTGGTAATATGCCCACTTCATTGGGGGTACTACGTTCCCTGGAAATTTTAAAGCTCAACGACAACAATTTTGGCGGTGAAATTCCTGATGCCTTGCAAAATTGTTCAAGTTTGAGGAGTATTGATCTTGGAGACAACAAGTTATCTGGGAAAATACCTCTATGGATAGGAGGGTCAAACGTATCTAAGTTGTCTAGGGTACGATTACGGTCCAACTATTTTAGTGGATGTATTTCCCAGCAACTGTGCAATCTTCAAGGCCTTCACATCCTCGACCTTAGTCACAACAGCCTTTCAGGTACTATTCCCATGTGTTTGGATAATTTAAAATCTCTGGTCAATGATACTTATGGTAGATCTTATGTTGAGTATTATAAAGGGTTTGAGCAAGCCACACTGACACTAAAAGGAGAAGAACTTGTGTACAACACAACTCTATATCTTGTAAAGAGCATTGATCTTTCATCAAATAATTTAAAAGGTGAAATCCCTGAAGAAATAAGCAGCCTCATTATGTTGGGCACCTTGAATTTATCCATGAATCAATTAATTGGAAAGATCCCTTCCAAGGTCGGAAACTTGCGTTGGCTTGAAACTCTTGATCTCTCACACAACCACCTTTCGGGACAAATTCCTCAAAGCTTGTCATCTTTAACCTCTTTGTCCCACCTGGACTTGTCTTACAACAACTTGTCTGGAAGAATTCCTACTGGAAACCAGCTTCAAACGCTCAATTTTTCGTCCATTTATGTGGGCAATCAATGGTTATGTGGCGTTCCTCTCTCAACTAAGTGCCATGATGACACTTTTATTGCTAAAGATGCAAAGGAGGAGAATGAAGATGGAAAGGATAAGTTGTGGCTCTATGTCAGCGTGGTACTTGGCTTTATCGTAGGCTTTTGGGGCGTTTGCGGTACATTGATCTTAAAGATATCGTGGAGGTATGCCTATTTTCAATTCTTCGATGACATCAAAGATAAGGTAGCACTGGCAATTGCATTAAAAGTGGCTCGTTTCAAAATGTTTTTATTCTGAAATTTGATTGCCCTAATATATAATGTGATGTTTTTTCCCTTCTACTTTGTGTTTTGGTACTTGCAATATATGTATTAAATGAAGAAATCCTTCAGTAAGTGTTCCCACAAACAATTATGTAACGGTTATCCATCTAATACAAGAATTCTATCTAGTTTGTACTTATCAATCTACCTATGTAATGTTGCAATTTAACAAAATAACACTTGAATGTCGTCCAACTCGGCGAGTGGTCGTCCAACTCGGCGAGTGGTAGTCCACCTCCGCCGCCTTCTTGATGCTGCCAAAACCATACAAAAATGGGAGGAAGAATTGGTGGTTCGATATCGTCGAGGGTTTTCTGGGATTCCTGTTCCTTGCAGAGAGAGAGGTGGGAGAATTCGATGGCGTCTTCTGGGTTCCTGTCCCTTGCCGAGAGAGATGGGAGAGGTATTTGGCGTCTGTTGCAGAGAGAGATTAGGGGGTTTGCACAGAGGGTGGGTGGGCGATTCAATTGAGGGGCTAGGGCTAGAGGGATGGGGGCTCCATCTCTATTCTCGCTTGCTGAAACTTTCCGCTCTTCAGGTAATCTCTCAGTTGAAAGCTTCTAATTATTTTTTTTCATTTGGGTTTTTTTTTTCTTTGGATTTATGTATTTTTTTCCCCAGTGAATTCGACATGAAATCAGAAAAACGGACTTAGTAAACAAATTGATGAAATTTTTTTTTGCGTGCCCTGTTTTTGATTTGTTTGGTTTGGGTTTTAGAGAAATTTGCTGCTACCCTTGATTTTCCAGTGACATTTGTGCAGCCTGCATTTAATCATATGATGATTTATATAAGCTTTTTCTTTGCTCTCTTTTTTCAAATCTTTCAAATTGTTTATGTGCAAATGGGGTTGAACGTGTTAATGAGTGGTTGTGTTGTTTGCAGCGAGCTCCGTTCAAGGTAATTTCATTTCTTATAGACAGTTTTGTCAAGATTTCTGGGTTTCTGTTTGCTTCTTCTCTGCTAAATTACTCATCTGGAAGTTAATTTTGTTCAAAGACCAAGTATTGTTCTTCAATTAAGATTTCTGGGTTTTTTTTTTTTTTATTGTTGCTTCTTTTCTGTTAAATTACTCCTCTAGATGTTAATTTAGTTCAAAAACTAAGTATTGTTCTTCAATTAATCTTACCAGAAAGCATATGAGAACAATACTTGTTGACCTTGTTCAAAAACTAAGATTTCTGGGTTTTGGCTACTTTTTGGATTGCTCATTAATTTTTTTGTTGACCTTGGCTGGTACAAATACATATAAGAAAAGTACTATCCTTTTATCAACTTTTAGTCAGGTTCAAATTTAGAATGCATTTGTATTCATGAGGCATTGGGGTAAAGTGCCTGTGTTCTGTGTTTTGTTGTTATTTTTTCATCCTTTTAAATTGTATTATGGATAAGTGAACACATTTAGCTGAGAAATTTCAACAACAAAGTTTAAACTTTTTGATATGGCATAACCCTCAAACTTGTCATATGGTCAGGTTTTATTTGGTCACTTGTTTATGTTTGTGGATGCCTTGTTGAAATTATCTGTGTCCCATGTGCTTCATCTTCTGCTGGTGAAACCAGAAATATAACCGTTGGATCATTTGCTAGCAATTAGTAGAGGGGGATGGGGGCTTCATCTCTATTCTCGCTTGCTGAAACTTTCCGCTCTTCAGGTAATCTCTCAGTTGAAAGCTTCTAATTAATTTTTTTTCATTTAGGTATTTTTTTTTTTATCGATTTATGTATTTTTTGTTCCAGTGAATTCGAAATGAAATCAGAAAAACGGATTTAGTAACAAATATATGAAATTTTTATTTGCGTGTCCTGTTTTTGATTTGTTTGGTTTGGAATTATATTATTTTTTGCTCTTTTTTGGCCTGGGCTTTTAGAGAATAAAGTTGCTTGCTGCTACCTTTGATTTTCCAGTGACGTTTGTGTAGCCTGCATTTAGTCATATAATGGATGGTGGTGTAAATTCAGTTCTTATAGACAATTTTTTTTTTAAAAAGATATCTGGGTTTCTTTTTGCTTCTTCTCTGTTAAATTACTCATCTGGAAGTTAATTTTGTTCAAAGACTAAGTATTGTTCTTCAATTAAAGATTTCTGGGTTTTTTTTGTTGCTTCTTTTCTGTTAAATTACTCATCTGGAAGTTAATTTTGTTCAAAGACTAAGTATTGTTCTTCAATTAATCTTACAAGAAAGCATATGGGAACATGGCACGCTAGGTGTCCGATGAAATGTGTCTGAGAATCCGTCAATATGATATATTATAATTTTGACCCTCCGCTTCAGCTCCGGCCTCAGGTGCGTGAAGGCGAAGTGGTCCTGGTCGACTGTCTCTTCCTCCACAGTTCTGGACGATGGTTCCGAAGCTCTGGCGATTCCGACTGAGAAAGAGGTCAATAACAAGAAGGTAATGGAATTCAGTGTTTTGTGTATTTAGACGTAGGCATTATACATTTTAATTGATGCACATACTTCTAGAGGCATACTTCAAGGCACAGAAATTACGTAGTTTGTAGTCCTGTTAATTTTGAATACTATTATGTATTTCAACATAATAGTGTTCCATTGCACAAAAAGAAAACAGAAAGGAATTGTACGAGTTTCTGATTTTCTTGCAGTTGAAGAGGATCCTGCTGATGCTGAACCTAAATTTAACCCTTTTACTGGATCTGGAAGACGCTTGGATGGGAAGCCTTTGAAATATAAGCCAGCACCAGCTTCTTCCTCAGGATCCAAAGACAAGAAACCTGCAGTCACCGATGGAAATGCACAACCTTCTACAGGATCTAGTTCACAAGCTACCAGTTGTCAGGCTCGGGGAAAACTTGTTTTCGGATCAAATGCCAGTCGCTCTCCAAAGGAGACAAAAAAAGGTACTCTTGCTTCTCTTGTTTCATGACTTCCATCAACTGACTTTGGAATTATTTTACAAACGTTGCCAGTTTGATGTGATGCTGATCGTAAATCACTCTTTATCTATTCAATTCTGCAGGAAGCTGCAAAAGAGACTAAGAAAGAGAAACAGCCGGAAGTGAAAGAAGACCTGAAATTCTAGCCTTTTATCAACTTTTAGTCAGGTTCAAATTTAGAATGCATTGGGGTAAAATAGCTAGGGGATAACGTTTTAGTCAGGTACAGATAGCAACTGTTTTTTTTGTTTTTGGTTATTTTTTCATCTAGGGGATAACTTTTTGTTGTTTATTGAAAGGAATATTAGAACACATCCACATCCTATTTTGTCAAATTGTTCTAAAGTGTCTGATGCTGATTTTAGAATTCTCCTGACTTTCAAGTTTATTGGTTGTACTTATTATTGATATAGTGAAAGATTGTTGTTGCTGTCCCGTGGACTTAGGCACGTATTGCCAAACCACGTTACTTCTTGGTGTTGATTTGTCTTGGTTATTTGTTTTCGATTTCCGGAGCTTGATCTGTTTTTACCATTCTTAAATGTGATATTCTCAACAACTGTTATATTTAGTACAGCCAATATGGTGCCGTTCAGGTGTTTTTGACTAATCTCTGCAGTTTTTGAATTCATCTGGGGTATTTGTGATTTTGAACGACACTAAAAATTTATGGGCTATAGGAACCGCTTGTTAAGAAAATGGGTCCAAATTCAGAGCTGTATTCTTCTTCCCTCAAAATAAGAAGAAAACGCTTCCTCAACTCCATATTTTGGCACCTCAGGTATATTTGCGTTCTAAAGCCTTTTACTTCTTCCGATTTCTTCAGAGCTATTATTTTACCCATATGTGATTTGTAAAGTGGAAGATTGGATTTCATATGTCCGAGTATTTAGGGTTTTGTACAATGCAAACTTGGGCTTATTGATCCAAATGGCTAGAACAATGTACTCAACAATTTCATATCCTCTTGGGCCAAGGAGAGTATATTACTTGCCAATAAGGAATATACTTCATATAATAGCAATGTGTTGATGTGTGGCATGCTTTAATTAGGGATGTTTATGTGTAGTAAGAAAGCCATAGAGAGAGAGAGAGAGAGAGAGAGAGAGAGAGAGAGAGAGAGAGAGAGAGAGAGAGAGAGAGAGAGAGAGAGAGAGAGAGAGCCGAGGACACACAAATGACACATGTAAAACATTTATTTCATTGCTTCGTTTTTTGTACAAAAAAACATTTATTGTTAACTAAGGAACCATTTTTATGGATTTATTGAAATATGTAAGAACTTGTTTCTATCCTAACACATTAATTTTGCTCAATAGGAATCCCATAACTGAAATTTTATAGAAATGGTGTAATTGGTCAATCTGAAATTTTGAATTTTAGCCGATGAATGAACTCTTACAAGCTTTCTACTGCATATACACATCTTTTTTGGTTGTTAGATTTTGTTTTTATTTCATTTTTTGGTAAATGCAATGGTTGGTTTTGCAAAGGACTGACCTTTATCTTTTGTAGTTTTACCTTTTTTGGTATCGAGTATTGGTTGGATTTATTTTGTAGATTGACAGGTATTTGTGCGTTATTTGTTTTCAATAATCAGTTTTCGTTATTTGTTTTAAATTTTATTATGGATAAGTGAACACAATTATGAGTATCAACCATTTATCCTCATTCATATTCAAATGTAATTTAATATCGATTTTGTAAGAGTTTTTTTGTCAATAATTTATGAATTTTTGTCAGTAAAACAATTTTCGAGCCGCATTTGGTCCGACGCTAATAATTTTTGTACTGCTGGATAATTATATTTTCTCATTGCGCAGAAAAAAAGTTTGCAGTGTGGGTTTTCTAAATTCAGTCACTTCATTCTCTAATCTCATAGATCTCCAAATTTAATCCGTTTAACCATGTCATTCTTTGTATCATTTTACCGTATTTATTTGAGTTCTGTATTTAAATGTTGTTGACTTTTATTACATGAAGAAAACTGCCATATCCATAGAAAATAAAATTTTGATTTGTGTAGCAATGCATTTGAACGCTACAATATTTTCTGTTTGGGTTTTTTTCCAACTTAATTTGTTTTAGATTTTTGATTTTGAATTTTCGGTTTAATGTATTTACAAAGGCCATGAACGATCTTTGATGGAAGTATTCCATTTTTTTTACTGATTCCCAGATATTTTTTTCAAGAGAATTAATTATCTGTTTGTCTCAGCTAACAGAGTAAATCTGGGGTTCTGTACACAACAAAATATGGAATTTAGCTAAGAAATTTCAACAAAACAAAGTTTAAACTTTTTGATATGGCAAAAAACAGATTCTCTTCTTTCTCAAAACCCTCAAATTTGTCATATGATCAGGGTTTATTTAGTCATTTGATTATGTCTGGGACAAGTATATATGTCCTCGGATGCCTTGTTGAAAATTTATGTACCCCATGTGCTTCATCTTCTGCTGGTTAAACCAGAAATATAGCCGTTGAATCCGTTGCTAGCAATTAGTAGATGATTAATTTCCTTTTTGTCGTAAATTATGGAACTTCCAGGAGCTTGAAGGGCTCTCAGATCCGATGAGGAAGGATGTTTCACAAGTTCGTAAGAAGATCAATGCGATTAACAAAGAGTTAAAGTCACTAGGACATACCTGCCAGAAGAAGGTAACACAACTTGGATTTTTACCACATTCAGATGTTAATGTTTACTGCTATGCATATGCAATTATGGATCAATTCGTGTCTGGTCGTGATGAATTTCGGGTTTGTAACTTGTCACAGGAAAAGGAATACAGAGATGCAGGCTTTCAATGAAAAGAACAGAGAAAAAGTGCAGCTTATCACAAAGCTAATGGAGGTTAGTTTGTTAAACAAATTTTTACTTGGCATAGCGGGGTTGCAATTTCATGGATGGGTTGAACTCAAACCAGTCTGGCCAGTTCGGAGTTAGAGTGAGCACGGTTGAGCCTGGTTTGACAAATTACCAATCCTACAAAATTTGGGCTTACCTCCGGTTAGGAGTTCAACCCATCCAACCTCTCAACCGATGCTAGTTATCACTCATTCTATTTCGATTCAGTAAAAGCGTACATAGTGCTTATATAATTCAACGTTTTGAGATTGTTTTGTTGTCGTGTAACATTTGATGCAGCTGGTGAGTGAAAGTGAGAAGACAAAGATGAAGAAGCTTGAGGAGCTGAGCAACAACATAGAATCATTAAAGTGAAGAAATAGCTGCCTATGTGGGTAACTGATGATCTGATTAGGTTTGTGTGATGATTTATTTAAGGTGAGTTTTTTTTATGTTTACATATATGGGTGGTGATTGGCATTTGGTGTAATTTCTAAGTTGGTTTGTTTCATTAATTAGTGCTTGGTAAAAACATTTGGCTGATTTAGGCAGGAAAATAACCTTTAAATTTAAACAGGTTTGTAGCTAAAAGCATCTGGCCTTGCATTTTTCTTCTCATTTTTCCATGTATCCAAACACATACTACCCTACTTCCTAGTTTAATGTGGGGTTCTTTGAATTTATTCCTATTCTTTGTTCTAACTTTTTATGGATTGCAAAGGCCATGATATTTATGTAATAATGTAAAGTTTTATGAGTGATTTTGGGACAAATGGAGTGTATTTTGTTCAATTTTTCTTCAGTACTTGGCTCTATACGGAACGATTGCATTTTCTACTCCTACCCCCACAACACCATGATCTTCTTCTCTCTTTTCATGGATTCTTGTGACTGTAACCTCCATTTGCTGAGATCTCTCCCGGTCTTCAAGAACACCATCAACCACGGTCCACTGTGAGAGTATCAAAAAAACCCACCATCCCCATTTTCCAAGTTTTCCCTTTACTCTCTCCAAATATTGAATCTTTCCGCTCTTCTGCTTGTTGGGGTTTTTTTGTTTTTTCATTTTTTTTGGGGAAAAAAGGTAAAGAAAAGGGTTTTTTTCTTTTTTTGTTGGGGGGTGGGGAGTTGATCAAGAGCTTGCATGGGTACGGATTGGATCAGGGGTAGAGAAGCTAGAGAGGGAGTTTGTGTTCAGGGAAATGGGTTGTATGTGGAGCTGACAACTGAGCTGCTTCTGAGATTGATGAAATTTCCAGCTTCCAAAGTGCTCCAAGGGCATGTCAATGGTTGCTGGGTTTGCATTTTAGCATTTCATAAGAATTCACCTTCTGATTTGACATGCATTCCCTCTATTCTTTCAGTCTCCACGTACCCTTTTCAGTCTGATGAATTTATTCTTATGTTGTCTCGCTGCTTTTGATGTTTTTCACGGTATTGTTCTTTTGGTTGGGGGTTGTCGCTATTTGTGTTTGTGTTTATGTTTGAGATGTACTAATTGCAGTATTACCCGATTACGGATGTCTACATTTTTTTGGACCTTTTACCCTTTTAAATTTCGCTCATTCCCTGACAGTTCCTGACCTAGCCACTGACAGAAGACAAACACGTATTTTGTTGGGGCTTCACTTGTTTGGTCTTTTCAAAGAAAGAAGAAAGGATTTTGCGATGTATTGGAATAGAGATACATGATATACTGATTCTCACATATTATAGTGCGTGGATTGATTATTAATGTTATATTCTAAAGTATAGATTGGATCTTCTACTCATAATATAACATGTGGATGTGTTCTAGTATGTTTCAATAATTTTTCTTGATGAAGAGCCTTTGGTTTGCTTTCTATTATGGCATAGAAGAGTACATTTTGCTCACGATCCTTAGTGGTCGTGAGCATTACTACTACATTAATTATGATTGGTTCAGTTTAGGTTTTGAGATATAAGTAGGAAGCAAATCTGATCATATTCATTGATAACAATTCATGTGGTGGTAGTGCTCATTAAAATGCACTTTGAGTGGAAAAGCTAGGGTTAGAAGACAACCATTTCACTGAATCTCTTGCAATCTTTAAAACCCAATGCAATTGTCGAATTTTCTGTACTGTGTCGATGTATCGGATTACATCGAATAATTGGGGTTAAACATTTTGCCCTTCAACTAACTTTGGAATTATATTACAAATGTTGCCAGTTTGATGTGATGCTGATCGTAAATCACTCTTTATCTATTCAATTGTGCAGGAAGCTGCAAAAGATATAGTCAGGTACAAATAGCAACTGGTTTTTTTTTTTTTGGTTATTTTTTCATGTACGGGATAACTTTTTGTTGTTTTTTGAAAGGAATATTAGAACACATCCACACCCTATTTTGTCAAATTGTTCTAAAGTGTCTGATGCTGATTTTAGAATTGTCCTGATTGTAGAACACATCCACATCCACATCCTATTTCATGTACAGGATGCACTTGAGTTTTTTTAGTTTATATTATGACCCTATACAAGGTGCTCGATGAAATAGCTCAACGAAGCTTTTTTAGTTTATATTATGACCCTATTATTTAAAATTCCTAGCTTCGCCACTGATTAGAACACAATGCAATTATCGAAAATTCTATACTTTATCAATGTATCGGATAACCAAATTAAACATTTTTAGCCATTCAAATATTAGTGCATCCTGTACATAGATGTAGTATAAAACCCCAAAAGGAAGCTTCTTGCAAATAACCCAACGGTTAGGTTTAGTCAAAGCAATGACCTCTTCCCTGAAATACAAGTGTAGGTTGAAGCATCTGAGGAGGGGAATTGACATCACTTTTTCAACTTTTGTCACCACTTTAATCATAATTCAAGCAGATTGAGCACGCTTAGTTAGCCGTTGCTCTACAAAAAATACAGCTTCACCTTAACACCAAAAAAGAAGCCAAAACAAATAAGGAGTGCTATTATGCCCACTTTATTGTCTAATTTTTTCACCCATTTTTTAACGAAAATTTTAGTAACAAGTTTATTCTATTGCAAAATTACATAGAAGGACATAAGTGTTTTTGTTTGGGAATTGAAGTGACGTAAGCGACACCGCCTCTCTCTATCTCTCCGGTGCACCACCGTCCTCACAACCCAACTCAAAACCAAGTGAAGGACCCAAGGTTTAAGTGCTGCTTCCCTTTGATTGAGCAAACATATTATGACATTCTTAGGATTTAAGGAATGATTCTTGGTATATACACAAATAGTGAGAAAATACAAATCATGTCCCTTCCTCCAGTCGGGCTAAACGGTAAGAACCCTAAAAAGTGCAAACAGAGTTATAGATTAGGCTTCAGTCTTTGTCTATCCTTCTTGCAATTTCGTAAATGCACGTGAATCAGTGAACAAATTAATAGATGAATTAGTTTAGAATATTGCAAGTATTTAAAATAAAAAAAGAATACCGCAAATATTAAATCATCCTCACCTGCATTGCCAATTGCCACTCTCTTGTCTCTTCCAATCCCTTTCATCAATTATGATATATGGATTTCCACGGCTAGACATAAGGATTTTCCACCAAAGACTAATCGGTGTGCAAAGACTGATTGGTGTGCAAAGACTTCCACAGGTAGCTAGCCATCTCATTCATGCATTCATAATATCTGCTCCTACAAGGCTTGCAAACTTGTAAATATCCAAGTAGTGACTACCAATCTACTAGCATGTGTGGTGTGAAATATAAGAACATATCCAAATCGGTTTTCGTAAGTAAGTTGATAAGTTGTGAATTGTGATGGAACAAGATGACCCTTAATTCAAAGTCTTTGCTGCGTATGGATTTCCACAACCCATCACAACCAAGTACCAGTTGTGTCGACAAGGGACCTGCAAACTTGTAAATGGGGTTGTGAACAACCGCCACTCATTTCAGTTGCCCTTTTTTCTTTTCTCCATCAGACGACTTTCGTTGTCAGCTCTCCGACCTACATCGATAAACATCTCACAAACAAAGCAAAGAAAATAAGAAGAAAATGGATCCAAATTTATGACTTTTACTTCTTCCGATTTCTTTAGAACTATTATTTTACCCATATGTGATTTGTAAAGTGGAAGATTGGATATCATATGTCTGAGTATTTAGGATTTTGTACCATGCAAACTTGAGCTTATTGATCCAAATGGCTAGAACAGTGTACTCAACCAATTTCATATCCTCTTGGGCTAAGGAGAGTATATTACTTGCCAATGAGAAATATACTTCATATAATAGCCATGTGATGATGTGTGGCATGCTTTAATTAGGGATATTTTTGTGTAGTAAGAAAGCCATAGAGGGAGAGTCACATTTTTGTTTTTTTTGGATTTGGTTAGTGTAGTGATTACGCAATGAAAGCCGAGGACAAACAAATGACACATGTAGTTGGGAATTTGTGAGTTACATGCAAAGCACATGGAAAGTAAGCTTTTGTAATGTGTCTAATGGCATAGTCAAAGAGTTGTCCACCTAATGTCTACTCTACAACGATCGTAGAGTAGATCTGTTTGTGTTGAGCATAACTATGATCAATTTAACATGAAATGAAGATAAATTGGGATTTTTTCATTTTTTTTTTTTTTTTTTTGGATTTTTGTTTTTGAATTTTTGGTTTATGTATTTTACAAAGGCCATGCACTCTGATGGAAGTAATTCCTTTTTTTTTAAAACTAATTTCCAGAATTTTTGTAAATCTGGGGTTCTGTGCACAACAAAATATGGAATTTCAACAACAAAGTTTAAACTTTTTGATATGGCCAAAAACAGATTCTTCTTCTTTCTCAAAACCCTCAAATTTGTCATATGGTCAGGTTTTATTTGGTCACTTGTTTATGTTTGCGACAAGAATATAAGTCCAAGGATGCCTTGTTGAAAGTATCTGTGTCCCATTTGTTTCATCTTCTGCTGGTTAATTAGTGTTTGGTAAAAACACTAGTGACAAGTTTAGTGTTTGGTAAAAACATTTGGCTGATTTAGGCAGGAAAAGACCCTTTAAGTTTAAACAGGTTTGTAACTAAAACCATCTGGCCTTGCATTTTCCTTCTGATTTTTCCATGTATCCAATGATATTTATGTAATAATGTAAAGTTTTATGAGGGATTTTGGGACAAATGAAGTGTATTTTGTTCATTTTTTCTTCAGTACTGCGCACTATATACGGAATGATTACATTTTCTACCCTTTCGTGGATTCTTCACCTAACATCAAAAAGTAATGAGTGCTATGATGTCCACAATGTTGTCTAATTTTTGACCCACTTTTTAATGAAGGTTTTAGTGACAAGTTTATTCTATTGCAAGACTACATGGAAGGACATAAGCAAAATATAAAGAAAGTGTTTTTATTTGGGAACTGAAGTGGATTTAAGGAACGATTCTTGGTATAGATGCAAATAATGGGAAAAAGGGAACGAATCACATCCCTTCCTCTTAGTTGATAATATAGCTAGTATTTAAAAAAAAAAATACCGCAAATATTAAGTCATGCTCACTTGCATTGCCAATTGCCACTCTCTTTTCTCTTCCAATCCCCTTCATCAATTATATTTATGAATTTCCACCGCTAGCTAATCGGTGTGCAAAGACTTCCACATGCAGACCCTTAATTCCAGTATACCAGCATGTGTGGTGTAAAATATAAAAACATATCCAAATCTGTTTTTCGTAAGCAAGTTGATAAGTTATGAATTGTGATGGAACATGAAGACCCTTAATTCAACAACCCATCACAATCAAGTACCAGCTATGTCGACAAGGGACCTGCACACTTGTAAAAGGGGTTGTGAACACCCACCACTCATTTCAGTTACCCTTTTTCTTTTCTCCATCCGACGACTTTTGTTTTCAGCTCTCCTGCTTACATCGATAATCTTTTCCTATAAATTCGATATCGTACTAATTTTAGTAGCTAAACATCACACCAACAAAGCAAAGAAAAATTGTGTGTAATAATGGATAGCCATTGTCACCTCAGTATTGCTCACTATTTGCTTCTTTTGCTTTTGGTCTCTTCCTGCATGCAGAGTACTACTAAACTCTATTTCTGTTTGGCTGGTGATGAAATTTCAAGCAGTGTGAAGACAGATTCATGCATTGACGAAGAAAGACAAGCGCTTCTCATCTTTAAACAGCATCTTGTTGATCATTCTGGTCGGCTTTCGTCTTGGGTGGGTCATGATTGCTGTCGATGGGAAGGTATTTCATGCAACAACAGCACTGGTCATGTCGTGAAGATGGACCTCCGGACTCCATATGACGATGAGGATGAAGAGTCGATAAATGCTTCTTTGGGAGGTAAGATAAATGCTTCTCTGTTGAGCTTGAAACATTTAAATTACCTGGACTTGAGCCTGAATTCGTTTGATAGCATTCAAATTCCTAAGTTCATTGGGGAGCTTAAAAGTTTGCAATATCTCAATCTCTCCCATGCGTCATTTAGAGGAGAGATTCCCTCTTCTCTTGGTAACCTGTCAAGCCTAAATTTTCTTGATCTCGGGTGGAATTTTGACTTATCTTCCAAAAATTTGAATTGGCTTTCTCACCTCACTTCCCTGAAATACATTAAGCTCAATGGCATTAACCTTAACAGCACAGGAGTCAGTTGGGCATATGATATTAACATGCTTCCTTCATTGTTAGAGTTACATTTATCTTCGTGCCGAATTGAAAGCATTCCACTCTCACTGCAGAGCATTAACTTCCTTCCACTTTCACTACAGAGGATTAACTTCACATCACTGTTGGTCCTTGATATGTCGCATAATGGCATTAAAAGTTCTTCATTTCCCGGCTGGTTTTTTAATCTTACCAACCTCGTAACACTTGATCTATCCGGGAATGATTTCGGGGATTCTTTTCCAAGTGAATTTTCAAACTTCAAATCTCTGCAAAACCTTGATTTATCTGATACAGGCTTAAAAGGTCAAATTCCTAAAGTCAGTGGAGATTTGTGCAAGCTAAAAGTCTTAAGTCTTTCAGGGAACAACTTTGATGGGGGGATTCAAGAGTTTTGGAGGAGTCTCTCAAATTGTCCAAGTAATACATTAGAGTCACTAGATTTGTCTTATTGCCAGCTTGAAAGCCAATTGCCGGTCTTTTTAGGAATGTTCAAAAGTTTGCAGAATCTCATCCTTGGAGCAAACAATTTGTGGGGCTCAATTCCAGATTCCATCGGAAACTTGTCATCCTTGAGAACACTAACCCTCAATTATAATAATCTGCGGGGCTCAATTCCAGATTCCATCGGAAACTTGTCGTCCTTGAGAACACTATACCTCTTTTTTAATACTCTGTCGGGCTCAATTCCAAATTCCATCGGAAACTTGTCGTCCTTGAGAATACTAGATCTCAGTTATAATAAGATGAACGGCTCAATTCCAGAAAGTATTGGACAACTCTGTGAGCTAGTTTCCCTACTTCTGGTTGGTAATTCATGGGAAGGCATTCTAACGGAAGCCCATTTCATAAATCTTACCAGATTACAAGATTTTGAAGTAGGAAACGTAGACCGACCCACGTCCCTCATTCTCGACGGGGCTTATGACAGGGTTCCTCCTTTCAAGCTCTTCAGAATTTATATCATAAATTGTCGGATAAGTCCTGGTTTTTGGGTATGGCTTCAAACTCAAACTGAACTGTCTGATGTTGCCCTTCTGGGTAATGGAATCTCGGATTCCATACCTGAGGAATGGTTGCTGAAGATATCTGCCCAACTCACCAATCTATACTTGTCTTACAACCACTTTCGTGGAAACTTTCCATCCCATTTGAAATTTCCAAATTTAACGACTATTGATTTGAGTCATAATCAGTTGGAGGGCCCTCTACCACTTTGGTGTTTCCCTAATGTCCTTTCCCTTTATCTAGAAGGTAATTTATTTTCTGGGCCAATCCCCTCAAATATTGACCAAATGATGCCCAAGTTGGAAGAATTGTTACTTGATGAGAATCATTTGAATGGCACTATTCCTCCCTCTATTTGTAAGATGCAGAAGTTAAAAATCCTGTCTCTAAGGAGCAATCAGTTTTCGGGAGAACTCCCTCATGCATGGAATATGGAGAGCATTATGGTGTTTTTAGATGTTGGTCAAAACAATCTGTCTGGTAAGATTCCCACTTCATTGGGGGTACTACGTTCCCTGGAAATTTTAAAGCTCAACGACAACAATTTTGGCAATGAAATTCCTGATGCCTTGCAAAATTGTTCAAGTTTGAGGAGTATTGATCTTGGAGACAACAAGTTATCTGGGAAAATACCTCTATGGATGGGAGGGTCAAACGTATCTAAGTTGTCTAGGCTACGATTACGGTCCAACTATTTTAGTGGATGTATTTCCCAGCAACTGTGCAATCTTCAAGGCCTTCACATCCTCGACCTTAGTCACAACAGCCTTTCAGGTACTATTCCAATGTGTTTGGATAACTTAACTTCGCTAGTCAATGATGATTCTTATGTACACAGTTATGATGGGTATGAGCAAGCCACACTGACACTAAAAGGAGAAGAACTTGTGTACAACACAACTCTATATCTTGTAAAGAGCATTGATCTTTCATCAAATAATTTACAAGGTGAAATCCCTGAAGAAATAAGCAGCCTCATTATGTTGGGCACCTTGAATTTGTCCATGAATCAATTAATTGGAAAGATCCCTTCCAAGGTCGGAAACTTGCATTGGCTCGAAACTCTTGATCTCTCACACAACCACCTTTCGGGACAAATTCCTCAAAGCTTGTCATCTTTAACCTCTTTGTCCCACCTGGACTTGTCTTACAACAACTTGTCTGGAAGAATTCCTACTGGAAACCAGCTTCAAACGCTAAATTTTTCGTCCATTTATGTGGGCAATCAATGGCTATGTGGCGTTCCTCTGTCAACTAAGTGCCCTGAAGATGACACTTTTATTGCTAAGGATGCAAAGGACGAGACTGAAGATGGAAGGGAAAAGTTGTGGCTTTATGTCAGCGTGGTACTTGGCTTTATCGTAGGCTTTTGGGGCGTTTGCGGCACGTTGATCTTAAAGACATCGTGGAGGTATGCCTATTTTCAATTCTTCGAGGACATCAAAGATAAGGTAGCACTTGTAATTGCATTGAAAATGGCTCGTTTCAAAAGATTTTTATTTTGAAGTTGGATTGTGCTAATATATAATGTGATGTTTTTTTCTTTTACTTTGTGTTTTGGTACTTGCAACTTATGTATTAAATAAAAGAATGTTTCAGTAAGTGTTCCCACAAACAATTATGTAACGGTTATCCATTTAATACAAGAATTCTATCTAGTTTGTACTTATCAATCGCATAATACAATCTACCTATGTAATGTTGCAATTTAACAAAATAACATTACGAACTAGATAAGCACACGTGTGTATTCTTCTCTTTTACACTTGAATGTCGTCCAACTCGGCGAGTGGTAGTCCACCTCTACCGCCTTCTCGATGCTGCCAAAACCATACAAAAATGGGAGGAAGAATTGGTGGTTCGATATCGTCGAGGGCTTTCTGGGATTCCTGTTCCTTGCAGAGAGAGAGGTGGGAGAATTCGATGGCGTCTTCCGGGTTCCTGTCCCTTGCCGAGAGAGAGATGGGAGAGGTATTTTGGCGTCTGTTGCAGAGAGAGATTAGGGGGTGGGTCTAGGGTTTGCACAGAGGGTGGGTGGGCGATTCAATTGAGGGGCTAGGGCTAGAGGGATGGGGGCTCCATCTCTATTCTCGCTTGCTGAAACTTTCCGCTCTTCAGGTAATCTCTCAGTTGAAAGCTTCTAATTATTTTTTTTCATTTGGGTATTTTTTTTTCTTTGGATTTATGTATTTTTTATGAAACAAATTGATGAAATCAGAAAAACGGATTTAGTAAACAAATTGATGAAATTTTTATTTGCGTGCCCTGTTTTTGATTTGTTTGGTTCGGCTTTTAGAGAAATTTTTACTTGCTGGTACCCTTGATTTTCCAGTGACATTTGTGCAGCCTGCATTTAATCATATGATGATTTATATAAGCTTTTTCTTTGCTCTCTTTTTTCAAATCTTTCTAATTGTTTATGTGCAATTTTGTCGAGATTTCTGGGAGTTAATTTTGTTCAAAGACCAAGTATTGTTCTTCAATTAAATTACTCATCTGGATGTTAATTTAGTTCAAAAGCTAAGTATTGTTCTTCAATTAATCTTACAAGAAAGCATATGAGAACGTGGCACACTAGTGTTCGATGAAATGTGTCTGAGAATCTGTCAATATGATATATTATAATTTTGACTCTCCTCTTCAGCTCCGGCCCCAGGTGCGTGCAGGCGACGTGGACCTGGTCAACGATGTCTTCATTCACAGTTCCGGACGACAGTTCTGAACCTCTGGCGATTCCGACTGATAAAGAGGTCAATAACAGCAAGGTAACGGAATTCAATGTTTTGTGTTTGTTATAGAGGCATTTTTGCAACAGTGTATCCGAGAATATTTCTAGATAGTCTGTCCAGATAGCTTAGAATGTGTTTCATGATGAATATGGCTGAAGCGGTTTTGGCTACATTTTGGATTGCCCATTAATATTTTTTATTGTTGCTTCTTTTCTGTTAAATTACTCCTCTGGATGTTAATTTAGTTCAAAAACTAAGTATTGTTCTTCAATTAATCTTACCAGAAAGCATATGAGAACAATACTTGTTGACCTTGTTCAAAAACTAAGATTTCTGGGTTTTGGCTACTTTTTGGATTGCTCATTAATTTTTTTGTTGACCTTGGCTGGTACAAATACATATAAGAAAAGTACTATCCTTTTATCAACTTTTAGTCAGGTTCAAATTTAGAATGCATTTGTATTCATGAGGCATTGGGGTAAAGTGCCTGTGTTCTGTGTTTTGTTGTTATTTTTTCATCCTTTTAAATTTTGTTATGGAAAGTGATCACATTTATGAGTGTCAACCATTTATCCTCATTCATATTCAAATGTAATATAATATCGATTTTGTAAGAACTTTTTGTCAATAATTTATGAATTTTTGTCAGTGAAACAATTTTCTAGCAGCATTTGATCGGATGCTAGTAATTTTTGTACTGCTGGATAATTATTTGTTTGTCTCAGCTAACAGAGTAACTATGGGGTTCTGTACACAACAAAATGTGGAATTTAGCCGAGAAATTTCAACAACAAAGTTTAAACTTTTTGATATGGCTAAAAACAGATTCTCTTCTTTCTCGAAACCCTCACATTTGTCTTATGGTCAGGTTTTATGTGGTCACTTGTTTATGCTTGCGACAAGAATACAAGTCCAAGGATGCCTTGTTGAAAATATCTGTGTCCCATGTGCTTCATCTTCTGCTGGTTAAACCAGAAATATAACCGTTGGATCATTTGCTAACAATTAGTAGATGATTAATTTCCCTTTTGTCGTAAATTATGGAACTTCCAGGAGTTTGAAGGGCTCTCAGGTCCAATGAGGAAGGATGTTTCACAAGTTCGTAAGAAAGATGGATGAGATTAAGAAAGAGTTATGGCAACTAGGACATACCTGCCAGAAGAAGGTAACACAACTTGGATTTTTACCACATTTTGGTGTTAATGTTTACTGCTATGCATATGCAATTATGGATAAATTCGTGCGGGTTCATGATGAATTTTGGGTTCGTAACTGGTCACAGGAAAGGAATACAGAGATGCACTTGAGGCTTTCAATGAAAAGAACAGAGAGAAAGTGCAGCTTATCACAAAGCTAATGGAGGTGAGTTTGTTAAACAATTTTTTACTTGGCATAGCTAGGGTAGCAATTTCATGGATGGTTTGAACTCGAGCCAGTCTGGCCAGTTTGGAGTTAGAGTGGGGGCGGTTGTGCCTGCTTTGACAAACTACCAATCCTACAAAATTTGGGCTTACCTCCGGTTAGGAGTTCAACCCGTCTAAACTCTCAACCGATTCAATGTTTTGAGATTGTTTTGTTGTGTTGTTACATTTGATGCAGCTGGTGAGTGGAAGTGGGAAGACGAGGATGAAGAAGCTGGAGGAGCTGAGCAAGAACATAGAATCTTTAAAGTGAAGAAATAGCAGCCTATGTGGGTAACTGATGATCTGATTAGGTTTGTGTGATGATGTGTATAAGGTGACGTTTTTCGATGTTTACATATATGGGTGGTGATTGGCATTTGGTGTAATTTCTAAGTTGGTTTGTTTCATTAATTAGTGTAAAACATTTGGCTGATTTAGGCAGGAAAATACCCTTTAAATTTATTCGGGTTTGTAACTAAAAGCATCTGGCCTTGCATTTTCCTTGTCATTTTTCCATGTATCCAAACACTGTACTATACTACTTCCTAGTGTAATGTGGGGTTCTTTGAATTTATTCCTATTCTTTGTTTTATTTTTTTATCGATTGCAAAGGCCATGATATTTATGTAATAATGTCAAGTTTTATGAGTGATTTTGGGACAAATGGAGTGTGTTTTGTTCAATTTTTCGTTAGTACTCCGCTCTATACGGAACGATTGCTTTTTCTATATGAAAGCCCACTTCATAAATCTTTCCAGATTACAAGATTTTAAAGTAGGAAATATAAACCGACCCATGTCCTTCATTTTCGACGGGGCTTCTGATTCAGTTCCTCCTTTCAAGCTCAAACTGAACTGTTTGATGTTATTCTTAGAGGTAATGGAATCTCGGATTCCATACCAGAGGAATGGTTGTTGAAGATATCTTCCCAACGAACCCAACTATACTTGCCTTACAATCAATTTTGTGGAAACTTTCCATCTCATTTGAAATGGCCAAATCTAATGTTAATTAATTTGAGTCATAATCAGTAGGAGGGCCTATTCCCATTTCGGTGGGCCGCTAATGTACTTGCCCTTTATCTTAAAAGCAATTTATTTTCCGGGCCAATGCCCTCAAATATTGACCAAATGATGCCCGAGTTGCAAATATTGTCACTTGATGAAAATCATTTGAATGACACTATTCCTCCCTCTATTTGTAGCATGCATGAGTTGCAAATGCTGTCTCTAAGGAGCAATCAATTTTCTGGAGAACTTTCTCATGCATGGAGTGTGGAGAGCATAATGGCATTTCTAGATGTTGGTCAAAACAATCTCTCTGGTAAGATTCCCACTTCATTGGGGGTACTAAGTATGCTGGAACTATTAAAGCTCAACGACAACAATTTTGATGGTGAAATTCATGATGCCTTGCAAAATTGTTCGTGGTTGAGAAGTACTGAACTTGGAGACAAGAAGTTATCTGGGAAAATACCTCTATGGATAGGAGGGTCAAACGTATCTAAGTTGTCTAGGCTATGATTACAGTCTAACTATTTTAGTGGACATATTTCCCAACAACTGTGCAATCTTCATGGCTTTGGCATCCTTGACCTTAGTCACAACAACCTTTTAGTTACTATTCCAATGTGTGTGGGTAACTTAAAATCTCTGGTCGATGATAGTTATGATCAATACTCTTATGATGGGGTTGAGCAAGCCACACTGACCGTAAAATGAGAAGAACTTGTGTATAATAGCACTCTATATCTTGTAAAGAGCATTGATCGTTCATCAAATAATTTACAAGGTGAAATCCTTGAAGAAATAAGCAGCCTCATTCTATTGGGCACCATGAATTTGTCCATGAATAAATTGAGTGGAAAGATCCCCTCCAAGGTTGGAAACTTGCGTTGGCTCGAAACTCTTAATCTCTCACACAACCACCTTTTGGGATAGATTCCTCAAAGCTTGTCATCTTTAACCTTTTTGGCCCACTTGAAATTATCTTACAACAACTTGTCCGGTAGAATTCCTTCTGGAAACCAACTTCAAACGCTCAATGTTTCATCCATTTATATGGGCAATACATGGCTATGTAGCGTTCCCCTCTCAACTAAGTGCCCTGAAGATGACTCTTTTGCTGCTAAGGATGCAAAGGACAAGAATGAAGATGGAAAGGATAAGTTGTGGCTTGATGTCAGCATGGTACGTGGCTTTATCGTAGGCTTTGGAACGTTTGCGGCACATTGATCTTAAAGACATCGTGGAGGTATGCCTATTTTCAATTCTTCGATGACATCAAAGATAAAGTAGCACTAGCAATTGCATTGAAAGTGACCCATTTCAAAAGGTTTTTATTCTGAAGTTTGATTGTGCTAATATATAATGTAATGTTTTTCCCTTTCTACTTTGTGTTTTGGTACCTGCAACTTATGTATTAAATAAAAGAATCTTTTAGTAAGTGTTCCCACAAACAATTGTGTAACGGCTGTCCATTTAATACAAGAATTCTATCTAGTTTGTACTTATCAATTGCATAATACAAAATATATATGCAACGTTTATCTGTGTAATGAGATGTGTGAATAGCACATCCTTTAACAAACTAACATTATGAACTAGATAAGCACATGTATGTATTCTTTCCTTTTACACTTGATGTCGTTGAAAACAGCCAATGGTGTGTAGAATTATCAGAGAGACGATCCATACGGCTCACTTCCAACAACATAGATATTGTCCCCAACTTGGTAATTACCACCTGCACAATCTGTCAGGTGTGGGGTTTTATCACAAAAGGTCTCGGTATTAGTTGGAGTGAGATTAAGATATTTAAACTCTTATTTTCTCATTGATACAGTCGACGTGGAACCTAATTAGTGGGTCACACATGGGAGATCCACACATCGACAACCACGTAGAGCCAAGGAAACTCACCCTACACGCGGGGCCAAAGGACCCACTATCATCGCGTGAGGCCAAGGAGACCCACCCATCACGTCGCAGTACATGGGCCGGCTCTCTGGCTCTGATACCATGTAGAATTATCAGAGAGATGAGCCATACGGCCCACTTTCAACAACACTGATATTGTCCCCAACTTGGTAATTACTACCTGCACAATCCGTCAGGTATAGGGTTCTATCACAAAAGGTCTCGGTATTAGTTGGAGTGGGGTTAAGATATTTAAACTTTTATTTTCTCATTGATACAGTCGATGTGGAACCTAATTAGTGGGCCACACGTGGGAGATCCACACATCGACAACCACGTAGAGCAAAGGGAACTCACCCTGCACGCGGGGCCAAAGGACCCACCATCATCACGTGGAGCCAAGGGGACTCACCCATCATGTGGCAGTACAGTATAGACCAGCTCTCTAACTCTGATATCATGTAGAATTATCAGAGAGACGAGGCATACGGCCTACTTTCAACAATACCGATATTATCTCCAACTTGGTAATTACCACATGCACAATCCGTGAGATGTGAAATTTTATCACAAAAGACTTCGGTATTAGCTAGAATGAGATTAAGATATGTAAACTCTTATTTTCTCGGATCAACGTGGAACATTTCCACGTCTCGATGCTGCAAAAGCATACAAAAATGGGAGGGAGACAAGGAGGAAGAATTGGTGGTTCGATATCGTCGAGGGTTTTCTGGTATTCCTGTTCCTTGCAGAGAGAGAGGTGGGAGAATTCGATGGCGTCTTATGGGTTACTGTCCCATGCCGAGAGAGTGATGGGAGATGTATGGGGTAAAGGAGAGGCTTTTCTTCCATTTCTGCGATGCTGCAAAACCATACAAAGTAGGAGGGAGACAAAGAAGAAGAAAAGGAGAAGAAGTTGAACCCTTGAACTGGGAAAAGGAACGAACTTGTAGAGGCGATTGAATTGGGTTTGAAGATTTGAGGGTTTTTTGGCGTCTGTTGCAGAGAGAGATTAGGGGATGGGTCTAGGGTTTGCAGAAAGCGATTCAAGTGAGGGGCTAGGGCTTGAGGGATGGGGCTCCATCTCTGTTCTCGCTTGCAAAAACTTTCCGCTCTTCAGGTAATCTCTCGGTTGAAAGCTTCTAATTAATTTTTTTCATTTGGGTATTTTTTTTTTCTATGGATTTATGTATTTTTTTTCCCCATTGAATTCGAAATGAAATCAGAAAAACGGATTTAGTAAACAAATTGATGAAATTTTTATTTGCGTGCCCTGTTTTTGATTTGTTTGGTTTGGCTTTTAGAGAATAAAGTAGCTTGCTGCTACCCTTGATTTTCCAGTGACATATGATGATTTATTAAGCTTTTTCTTTGCTCTCTTTTTTCGCATCTTTCTAATTGTTTATGTGCAAATGGGGTTGAACGTATTAATGAGTGGTTGTGTTGTTTGCAGCGAGCTCCGTTCAACGTAATTTCAGTTCTTAAAGACAATTTTTTCAAGATTTCTGGGTTTCTTTTTGCTTCTTCTCTGTTAAATTACTCATCTGGAAGTTAATTTTGTTGAAAGACCAAGTATTGTTCTTTAATTAAGATTTCTGGGTTCTTTTTTTTGCTTCTTTTCTGTTAAATTACTCATCTGGATGTTAATTTAGTTCAAAAACTAAGTACTGTTCTTCAATTAATCTTACAAGAAAGCATATGAGAACGTGGCACACTAGTGTTCGATGAAATGTGTCTGAGAATCTATCAATATGATATATTATAATTCTGACTCTCCTCTTCAGCTCCGGCCGCAGGTGCATGAAGGCGACGTGGTCCTGGTCGACGGTGTCTTCCTTCACAGTTCTGGACGACGGTTCTGAACCTCTGGCGATTCCGACTGAGAGAGAGGTCAATAACAACAAGGTAACGGAATTGAATGTTTTGTGTTTGTTATAGAGTCATATTTGCAACAGTATATCAGAGAATATTTCTAGATAGTCTGTCCAAATAGCTTAGAATGTGTTTCATGATGCATATGGCTGAAGCGGTTTTGGCTACTTTTTGGATTGCTCATTAATAGAATGCATTTGTACTCATGAGGCATTGGGGTAAAGTGCCTGTGTTCTGTGTTTTGTTGTTATTTTTTCATCCTTTTAAATTTTGTTATGGATAAGTGATCACATTTATGAATGTCAACCATTTATCCTCATTCATATTCAAATGTAATATAATATCGATTTTGTAAGAATTTTGTCAATAATTTATGAATTTTTGTCAGTGAAACAATTTTCTAGCAGCATTTGGTCGGACGCTAATAATTTTTGTACTGCTGGATAATTATTTGTTTGTCTCTGCTAACAGAGTAAATCTGGGGTTGTGTACACAATAAAATATGGAATTTAGCCAAGAAATTTCAACAACAAAGTTTAAACTTTTTGATATGGCAAAAAACAGATTCTCTTGTTTCTCAAAACCCTCAAATTTGACAGATGGTCAGGTTAGGTTTTATTTGATCACTTGTTTATGTTTGCAACAAGAATATAAGTCAGTATGATATATTATCATTCTGAATCTCCTCTTCAGCTCCGGCCACAGTTGTGTGAAGGTGACATGGTCCTGGTCGACGGTTCGGAAGCTCTGGCGATTCTGACTGAGAAAGAGGTCAATAACAACAAGGTAATGAAATTCAATGTTTTGTGTTTGATATAGAGGCATATTTGCAACTTTGTATCAGATAATATTTCTGGATAGTCTGTCCAGATAGCTTAGAATGTTTCTGCTCTTCTGCTTGGTGGGTTTTGTTTGTTTTTTTTCAGAAGATAAGTGCAATTCTGTCTATTGTTCCTGAAATGTTTGTGTCTCAATGATGATTTCCTGATTCAGAAGGCTTACCTGCATAACAAAAGAGTTCATTTTTGATAAAAATGTAATTATTTGGTGTTTTAAAGGCTCATGAATTTTCTAAATAATCTCACACAACCCTAAACACTAGAAAGTAGAAGCACCATACCTCTCTCTTTGTTTGGGTGAACGTTCACATCAACATGTTCAGGTGGTAACATAATTGACATGTATATGAAGGGTTTTGATGCTTTTGGCAATGTTGCAGCATAAACAACTTCTATAGCTCTCTTCAGATCACTGCAATCTACCGATCTATCTGTGGTTTGAAAGAAAAACGAATAAGAAAACATATCAATGATGTAATTCTGACATCAGTATGTTAAAACAAAATTAGGGGACTACTTATATAAATAGCCTCCAAGGCGTGAAATTAGAGAACTGTCACCTACGATTTACTATAATTTCCTTGTGTTGATATGGCATTGCATGAATAGTTCATACCATTTATAAAAAGCACCATGGTCATCTTCTTCGCAACATAATTGGAATCGGAGATAAAGCCGTCCATCTGAAAAACTGAGCTAGAAGGATCTTTATCTGAAGCTTCCATTTCATCAGACTGCGAGCAACAGACACTCATACTGCAAGGAATCGTAAATTCGTAAATAAATTTAGAAATAATTCAAAATTTAATAAAATGGAATAAATGAGTGCAGAAGGGACTGACGCGTATGCCTTGGCTGTCGTCGGAGACTTGGATGAGTTTGAGGCCGCCGTCCTTGACGACGACGTTGATGGAGGAGGAGCGGGCGTCGAGGCTGTTCTCGACGAGCTCTTTGACGGCGGAGACAGGGCGTTGGATGACCTCGTCGGCAGCGATTCGGTTCACCAGAGACTCTTCTAGGAGGTGAATTTTGGGAGGCTCCGTCGCGACTTGCTCTTCTTCTTCTGCTTCAATTTCCATTTCCGTTGCACTGCCAAAATTTCTATTTTCGTTTGGAAGCGCCAAATTTTCCCGGCACCGTCAAAATGAAGAAGAAACGAGTTATTTATTATTATTATTATTTTTTTTTTTTGGTTCAATAGAGGAGAGTAAAATTAGGTTAAGAATTGCGTTGCCATTTAATATTACGGTGAATAGTATTTTTCTTTATTTATAAGTGAGAAATTTTAGATTCGATTATTACCAATAACAAGTTTAAACTAGGTTATTATGGCTAGATCAATGTGAGACTTCATTCTTCTACTTGTTTGTTCAAAAATGAAAGAATCACATTACGAAAATATACATAAGTGTACTAACAGTGAAAGAGGTATATTTGAGATATAAAAATTATATTTACATTTCATAAGTTTTTGGTAATAGCATCTATGGTAGACAAAAAGAACACTAAAAAATGTCGACAAGAGGCAAGAGTTTGGTCGAGATAACCTACAAAACACGATAAACTCGAGTTACTCTATTCATTAGCCACAAAATTTCATCTTAGAATAAACACGGCAAAGTTCACAACTTTAAATAATGTGTAAAAATTCGTCAAAAGTGTGCACTAATTCACCAAGAGTGTAGTTGTTGCTCGCACCTACAATTCTAAGATATCTAAATGTGAATTTTCTCAATTATAGGTTAAATAAATGATTTGAAGCTCGCCTTCACGGTAAATAAATGAGTAATTCTCCTTTTATTGTTCTAAAATTTTTCAAAATTTGATCATTTTTCATACAAGTTTAATTTTTTTGGTACTTTTGTACTTCCGTTTGTTTGTTTTGTCAAATGCTTTGTTAATTAATGAAGTGGCATGGCTTTAGTTGATGATGCTATCATGTCATCAATTAACAAAAATATTAATGATCAGGTAAACAAAAGTTAGGTTTTTACCTAAAACATGTAACCTCACAAAGGAATTTCTTTACATCCCACACTAAATGAGATTTTGTTGATGTACGAGTTAAATTATGGACATGGCCTGTGAGATTTTATCTTCAAAGGCACCAGTTCGAGTAATAGTAAAACCACCTTCTTCGTTTTGCAAGTAATAGTGGATTACTCACACTACTACAAAATTAGCTTAATGTGTTGGAGAGTGGTGGTAGTTTATACGATATAGTGTCGAATAAAGGGTAAAGAAAAGGTTTTTTTTTTTTTTTTTTTTTTTTTTTTTTGTGGGGGGGGGGGGGGGGTGTTGATCTGGAGCTTGCATGTACACGGATTGGTCAGGGAAGAGAAATAAGGTTGAGAGGGAGTTTGCGTTGAGAGAAAATGAGTTGTATATGGAGTCTGAGATTGATGAAATTACCAGTTTCCCAAGTGCTCCAAGGGCATGTCAATGGATGGGAGTAGGATTTTCTCCCCTTCTATTACTACAAAACAAAGTGTCATTAGCAAGGGTCAAATGCCGTCGAAAAAAACATTTTTCCGTCACAAATACTTATTGCCGCAAATAGTAAGTGATCCTCACTTGGATTGCCAATCGCCTCTCTATCGTCTCTTCCAATCCCTTTCATCAAGTATGATATATGAATTTCCACGGCTAGCCATAAGGATTTTCCACCAAAGACTAATTGGTGTGCCAAGACTTCCACAGCTAGCCATCTCATTCATGCATTCACTATATCTGCTCCTACACGGCTTCATTAAAATTTGGAAAAGTCCATAGGAAATCTCGTGCATTTCTTATTTGTGAAAAAAAAAATAAGAAAGCAACGAGTGTAACAATGACTGTTTTAGACTGTTAACAACAATTTCACCGTTTAGAAAAATTGTAAATAATGACACAATAGTCATATCCAAGTAGTGACTACCAGTCTACCAGCATGTGTGGTGTAGGCGATGGACTTGCAAACTTGTTCAACCCGACAAAGCTAAATCCGTTTTCGTAATTTACCATAAGAAAAGAACAGTAAAGAAGGTGATAAGTTGTCAATTGTGATAGAACATGAAGACCCTTAATTCAAAGTCTCCGCTGCATATGGATTTCTACAACCTGTCACAACCAGGTACCAGTTGTGTCAACAAAGGACTTGCAAACTTGAAAAAGGGGTTGTGAACATCCGCCACTCATTTCGTTTTCCAATAAATCGGTTTTTTAAGATAGGGAATTTAGGCTACTTAGTACTACAGTCTATTGGTATTCCTTTTCACTTGTAAGTGAGAGGTCTTATGTTCAATTCTCGTCCAAGGTGAGTTTGAACCACATTATTACTAGCTTATTGTGAGGCTAAGCCCACCCCCTCCCTTTAGTGTAGATAATATCAATTGTTAAAAAATAAATAAATAAATAAAAAAGAAAAAAAGAAGGACATAGGGAACTTGGAATTTAAAGGAAAACAAGAAACAAGACTAAATTCAAAACAGGAAATAAAGCACATCCTAATTGAAAGATGCAAACCTAAATCCATAAGAGCAAGGAAAGCTAAATATGTTCTCACACTTTCCGCTTTTATTATTCTCCAACAGGGTCCAAAACTAGGGTTTACATGGCATATGTTAAATCAGGAAGAAACCAAAGTGGTGTTAATTAGGATTATATTTCATAAAGATGATCATTGTAATCCTAGGAATAGTATGATTACTTGTGTAAGAAGGAATCACAATTCTTGAGTGAAACTAATTTTAGTCAGACTAGTACACGGATATACCATGATAATCACTATATATAAAAATGAAAAGTAATTTATTTTTTTAAGTACAACAATATATTTTAGACTAAGAGGATGGTGTAGTTCGGCTAAATCAGACAATAGGCAACCTAATTTAGTATCAAATTTGTCATTCACGAGATTCGAACCTAAAACTTCTTACTTACAAGTGAAGAGAAATACAACCAGACCGTAATACTTCAGTGGCAAAAGAAAAAGTACTTAACAACTATATATATCTCACAATTAGCAAGACCTTTTCACATCTCTCTCCCTCTCGTGCGTACCATAGTCAATACCGACAACGCTTACACAGTATATGTTATACATACTATTTGGATATGTTCTAGTTTGTTTCAATAATTTTTCTTGATGAAGAGTCTTTCGTTTGCTTTCTATTATGTTACTAGTTGCATGGAAGAGTGCAAATTGCTCGCTATCTTTCAATGGTCATGACCATTATCATTTACCATTTATATTAATTGCGATTGAATTAGTTTAAGTTTTGAGATTTAAGTAGTAAACAAATCTGATCACATTCATCAACAATAATTCATGTGGTGGTAAATGCACATAAAAATGCACTTTGAGTGGAAAAATTAGGGTTAGAAGAAAACTATTTCACTGAATCTCGTGCAATCATTAAAACCACTGGCGAAGCTAGTATGGGGTCATTGGTTACCCTTGACCCCAATAACTTTAAAAACTTCATGTAAATTTGTTTTTGTATTGTATATGACCCTTATAAACAACTAATGCAAACTAAATTACAACCTCCTTCTTCTACTTGTTCTATCACATTTGTCTTCATTTTCTCTTTTCTTGTGCGATCTATTGTGCGCACCATGTGCTCGATGAAATACCTTAGTTAAAAAACCTTGCCAACCTTCAATATTACTCCACAATATCATGGACCCACCCTCTAAAAGCTACAAACAATAGTAGTTGTCAACATATGTTGACATAAACTTTCAACATATGTTGACATGAATTGGCAGGTACCTACTAGGTGCTCGATGAAATAGCTCAATAAAGCTTTTTTTAGTTGATATTATGACCCTATTATTTAAAAATCCTAACTTCACCACTGATTACAACACAATGCAATTGTAAAAAATTCTATACTTTATCGATGTATCAGATAACTAATTACAACATATGGATTTTCCACCAAAGACTAATCGGTGCGCAAAGACTTCCACTGATTATAACATATGGACTTTCCACCAAAGACTAATCGGTGTGCAAAGACTTCCACATGTAGTTAGCCATCTCATTCATGCATTCATAATATCTGCTCCTACACGACTTGCAAACTTTTAAATATCCAAGTAGTGACTACGAGTCTACCAGCATGTGTGGCGTAAAATATAAGAACATATTCATATCGGTTTTCGTAAGTAAGTTGATAAGTTGTGAATTGTAATGGAACATGAAGACCATTAATTCAAAGTTTTTGCTGCATATGGATTTCCACAACCCATCACAACCAGGTACCAGTTTTGTCGACAAGGGACCTGAAGACTTGTGATGGAACATGAAGACCCTTAATTTTTTTCATTTGGGTGATTTTTTTTCAAATTGTGATTTGTGATGGAACATGAAGACCTGAAGTCTTGCAAACTTGTAAATATCCAAGTTGTGAATTGTGATGGACCCATCAAATTGTATATTTGTGTTCTAAAGCCTTTTACTTCTTTCGATTTCTTTACAGCTATTATTTTACCCATATGTGATTTGTAAAGTGGAAGATTCGGTTTCATATGTCTGAGTATTTAGGGTTTTGTACCATGCAAACTTGAGCTTATTGATCCAAATGGCTAGAACAGTGTACTCAACCAATTTCATATCCTCTTGGGCTAAGGAGAGTATATTACTTGCCAATGAGAAATATACTTCATATAATAGCAATGTGATGATGTGTGGTATGCCTTAATTAGGGATATTTTTGTGTAGTAAGAAAGCCATAGAGAGAGAGTCACATTTTTGTTTTTTTTGGATTTGCTTACTGTAGTGATTATGCAATGAAAGCCAAGGACAAACAATTACATGCAAAGCACATGGAAGGTAAGCTTTTGTAATGTATCTAATGGCATAGTCAAAGAGTTGTCCATCTAATGTCTACTCTACAACGATTGTAGAGTAGATCTATTTGTGTTCAGTAAAACTATGATCAATTTACATGAAATGAAGATAAATTGGTTTTTTTTTCAACTTAATATTTTTTTTTTGGATTTTTGTTTTTGAATTTTTGGTTTATGTATTTTACAGAGGTCATGAACTCTGATGGAAGTAATTCCCTTTTTTTAAACTAATTTCCAGAATTTTTGTAAATCTGGGGTTTTGTGCACAACAAAATATGGAATTTCAACAACAAAGTTTAAACTTTTTGATATGGCCAAAAACAGATTCTTCTTCTTTCTCAAAACCCTCAAATTTGTCACATGGTCAGGTTTTATTTGGTCACTTGTTTATGTTTGCAACAAGAATACAAGTCCAAGGATGCCTTGTTGAAAATATTTGTGTCCCATTTGTTTCATCTTCTGCTGGTTAAGCCAGAAATATAGCCGTTGAATCGGTTGCGAGCAATTAGTAGATGATTAATTTTCTTTTTGTCGTAAATTATGTAACTTCTAGGAGCTTGAAGGGCTCTCAAATCAGATGAGGAAGGATGTTTCACAAGTTCGTAAGAAGATCGATGCGATTAACAAAGAGTTAAGGTATCATTTGGTATGCAGACGGGACGGGACGAAACGGAATGGGACGGGACGGGACGAGACAGGACGGAATGGAACGGAACGGAGTGGGAGCAAAGATGCCCTCGGATGGAAACAAGGAGGAAGAAGAAGGAGACGGAGAGGTTATAATTTTGTGTTCCACGGATGTGGAATGAGTCGTTCCAGGGGGGTGAGGCAGAACAAAAATTCACCTAAAACTCGTCCCGTGGAACAGCTCGTTCCACCCGTTTTAGGCACACCAAACGTGGGACGGAACGTTTTGTCCCACTCTGTTCCGTCCCGTCCCACGTACCAAACGGTACCTAAAGCCACTAGGACATACCTGCCAGAAGAAGGTAACACAACTGAGGTTTTACCCTATTCTGATGTTAATGCAATTATGGCTCAATTCGTTCGTGTTTGTGATGAATTTTGGGTTTTTAACTTGTCACTGGAAAAGAAGTACCGAGATGCACTTGAGTTTTTCAATGAAAAGAACAGAGAAAAAGTGCAGCTTATCACAAAGCTAATGGAGGTTAGTTTGTTAGACAATTGTTTACTTGGCATAGCTAGGGTTGCAATTTCATGGATGGGTTGAACCCGAACCAGTCTGGCTAGTCCGGAGTTAGAGTGAGCATGGTTGAGCCTGCTTTGACAAATTACCAATCCTAAAAAATTTGGGCTTACCGCCGGTTAGGAGTTCAACCTGTCCAAACTCTCAACCGATGCTGCTTATCTCTCATTCTATTTAGTAAAAGTGTAGAAAGTGTTTATATAATTCAACGTTTTGAGATTGTTTTGTTACAGTGAAAGTGAAAGTGAGAAGACGAGGATGAAGAAGCTGAGAGCAAGAACATGGATTTGTTACAGTGAAGAAGTAGCAGCCTTTGTGGGTAACTGATGATCTGATTAGGTTTGTGTGATGATGTGTATAAGGTGACGTTTTTCGATGTTTACATATATGGGTGGTGATTGGCATTTGGGGTAATTTCTAAGTTGGTTTGTTTCATTAATTAGTGTTTGGTAAAAACATTTGGCTGATTTAGGCTGGAAAAGACCCTTTAAGTTTAAACAGGTTTGTAACTAAAAGCATCTGGCCTTGCATTTTCCTTTTGATTTTTCCATGTATCCAATGATATTTATGTAATAATGTAAAGTTTTATGAGGGATTTTGGGACAAATGGAGTGTATTTTGTTCATTTTTTCTTCAGTACTGCGCACTATATACAGAATGATTACATTTTCTACCCTTTTGTGGATTCTTCACCTAACACCAAAAAGTAATGAGTGCTATTATGTCCACAATGTCGTCTAATTTTTGACCCACTTTTTAATGAAAGTTTTAGTGACAAGTTTATTCTATTGCAAGACTACATGGAAGGACATAAGCAAAATATAAAGAAAGTGTTTTCGTTTGCGAACTGAAGTGGATTTAAGGAACATTTCTTGGTATAGATGAAAATAGTGGGAAAAAGGGAACGAATCACATCCCTTCCTCTAGTCGGACCAAACGATAAGAACCTCCTAAAAGATGCAAATAGAGTTAGGGATTAGAGCTTCTGTCTCTGTCCATCTCTTTTACAATTTCGTAAATGCATGTGAATCAGTGAACATATTAATAGATAAATTATTTGATAATATAGCTAGTATTTAAAAAAAATAAAATACCGCAAATATTAAGTCATGCTCACTTGCATTGCCAATTGCCACTCTCTTTTCTCTTCCAATCCCCCTCGTCAATTATATTTATGAATTTCCACCGCTAGCCATAGGGATTTTCCACCAAAGACTAATCGGTGTGTAACGACTTCCACATGCAGACCCTTAATTCCAGTCTACTAGCATGTGCGGTGTAAAATATAACAACATATCCAAATCTGTTTTTCGTAAGCAAGTTGATAAGTTGTGAATTGTGATGGAACATGAAGACCCTTAATTCAACAACCCATCACAATCAAGTACCAGCTGTGTCGACAAGGGACCTGCAAACTTGTAAAAGGGGTTGTGAACACCCACCACTCATTTCAGTTACCCTTTTTTCTTTTCTCCATCCGACGACTTTCGTTTTCAGCTCTCCTGCCTACATCTATAATCTTTTCCTATAAATTCGATATCGTACTAATTTTAGTCGCTAAACATCTCACCAATAAAGCAAAAAAAAATTGTGTGTAATAATGGATAGCCATTGTCACCTCAGTATTGCTCACTATTTGCTTCTTTTGGTCTCTTCCTGCATGCAGAGTACTACTAAACTCTGTTTCTGTTTGGCTGGTGATGAAATTTCAAGCAGTGTGAAGACAAATTCATGCATTGATGAAGAAAGACAAGCGCTTCTCGTCTTTAAACAACATCTTGTTGATCATTCTGGTAGGCTTTCGTCTTGGATGGGTCATGATTGCTGCCAATGGGAAGGTATTTCATGCAACAACAGCACTGGTCATGTCGTGAAGATGGACCTCCGGCATCCATATGACTTTTTTGACGATGATGAGTATGAAGAGTGGAGAAATGCTTCTTTGGGAGGTAAGATAAATGCTTCTCTGTTGAGCTTGAAACATTTAAAATTTTCCCAACTCACCCAACTAGACTTGTCTTACAACCAATTTCGTGGAAATTTTCCATCTGATTTGAAATTTCCAAATTTAATATATATTGACTTGAGTCATAATCAGTTGGAGGGCCCACTACCACTTCGGCGTTTCCCTAATGTCGAATACGTTTCTCTAGAAGGCAATTTATTTTCCGGGCCAATCTCCTCAAATATTGACCAAATGATGCCCAAATTGCAAGAATTGTTACTTCATGAGAATCATTTGAATGGCACTATTCCTCCCTCTATTTGTAACATGCAAAAGTTACAAATCCTGTCTCTAAGGAGCAATCAGTTTTCTGGAGAACTCCCTCATGCATGGAATATGAAGAGCATTATGGTGTTTTTAGATGTTAGTCAAAACAACCTGTCTGGTAATATTCCCACTTTATTGGGGGTACTACGTTCCCTGGAAATTTTAAAGCTCAATGACAACAATTTTGGCGGTGAAATTCCTGATGCCTTGCAAAATTGTTCAAGTTTGAGGAGTATTGATCTTGGAGACAACAAGTTATCTGGGAAAATACCTCTATGGATAGGAGGGTCAAACGTATCTAAATTGTCTAGGGTACGATTACGGTCCAACTATTTTAGTGGATGTATTTCCCAGCAACTGTGCAATCTTCAAGGCCTTCACATCCTCGACCTTAGTCACAACAGCCTTTCAGGTACTATTCCCATGTGTTTGGATAACTTAACTTCGCTAGTCAATGATGATTCTTATGAACACAAGTATTATGACTTTGAGCAAGCCACACTAACACTAAAAGGAGAAGAACTTGTGTACAACACAACTCTATATCTTGTAAAGAGCATTGATCTTTCATCAAATAATTTACAAGGTGAAATCCCTAAAGAAATTAGCAGCCTCATTCAACTGGGCACCTTGAATTTGTCCAAGAATCAATTGACTGGAAAGATCCCTTCTAAGGTCGGAAACTTGCATTGGCTCGAAACTCTTGATCTCTCACACAACCACCTTTCGGGACATATTCCTCAAAGCTTGTCATCTTTAACCTTTTTGTCCCACCTGGACTTGTCTTACAACAACTTGTCTGGAAGAATTCCTTCTGGAAACCAGCTTCAAACACTAAATTTTTCGTTCATTTATGTGGGCAATCAATGGCTATGTGGTGTTCCTCTCTCAACTAAGTGCCCTGAAGATGACACTTTTACTGCTAAGGATGCAAAGGACGAGAATGAAGATGGAAAGGATAAGTTGTGGCTCTATGTCAGCATGGTACTTGGCTTTATCGTAGGCTTTTGGGCCGTTTGCGGCACGTTGATCTTAAAGACATCGTGGAGGTATGCCTATTTTCAATTCTTCGATGACATCAAAGATAAGGTAGCACTAGCAATTGCATTGAAAGTGGCTCATTTCAAAAGGTTTTTATTCTGAAGTTTGATTGTGCTATTATATAATGTAATGTTTTTCCTTTCTACTTTGTGTTTTGGTACCTGCAACTTATGTATTAAATAAAAGAATCTTTCAATAAGTGTTCCCACAAACAATTATGTAACGGCTGTCCATTTAATACAAGAATTCTATCTAGTTTGTACTTATGAATCGCATAATACAATCGCATAATACAAGAATTTAACAAAATAACATTACGAAGTAGATAAGCACACGTGTGTATTCTTCTCTTTTACACTTGAATGTCGTCGAACTCGGCGAGTGGTAGTCCACCTCTACCGCCTTCTCGATGCTGCCAAAACCATACAAAAATGGGAGGAAGAATTGGTGGTTCGATATCGTCGAGGGTTTTCTGGGATTCCTGTTCCTTGCAGAGAGAGAGGTGGGAGAATTCGATGGCGTCTTCCGGGTTCCTGTCCCTTGCCGAGAGAGAGATGGGAGAGGTATTTTGGCGTCTGTTGCAGAGAGAGATTAGGGGGTGGGTCTAGGGTTTCCACAGAGGGTGGGTGGGCGATTCAATTGAGGGGCTAGGGCTAGAGCGATGGGGGCTCCATCTCTATTCTCGCTTGCTGAAACTTTCCGCTCTTCAGGTAATCTCTCAGTTGAAAGCTTCTAATTATTTTTTTTCATTTCGGTATTTTTTTTTTCTTTGGATTTATGTATTTTTTTTCCCCAGTGAATTCGAAATGAAATCAGAAAAACGGATTTAGTAGGCTTTTGGGGCGTTTGCGGCACGTTGATCTTAAAGACATCAGAAAAACGGATTTAGTAAACAAATTGATGAAATTTTTATTTGCGTGCCCTGTTTTTTATTTGCGTGCATTTAATCATATGATGATTAAATGGGGTTGAACGTATTAATGAGTGGTTGCGTTTATATAAGCTTTTTCTTTGCTCTCTTTTTTCAAATCTTTCTAATTGTTTATGTGCAAATGGGGTTGAACGTATTAATGAGTGGTTGCGTTGTTTGCAGCGAGCTCCGTTCAAGGTTATTCCATTTCTTATAGACAATTTTGTCAAGATTTCTGGGTTTCTTTTTGCTTCTTCTCTGCTAAATTACTCATCTGGAAGTTCAAAGACCAAGTATTGTTCTTCAATTAAGATTTCTGGGTTTTTGTTTTTTTTTTTTTTTTGTTGCTTCTTTTCTGTTAAATTACTCATCTGGATGTTAATTTAGTTCAAAAGCTAAGTATTGTTCGATGAAATGTGTCTGAGAATCTGTCACTATGATATATTATAATTCTGACTCTCCTCTTCAGCTCCGGCCCCAGGTGCGTGAAGGTGACGTGGACCTGGTCGACGGTGTCTTCATTCACAGTTCCGGACGACAGTTCTGAACCTCTGGCGATTCCGACTGAGAAAGAGGTCAATAACAACAAGGTAACGGAATTCAATGTTTTGTGTTTGTTAGAGAGGCATTTTTGCAACAGTATATCAGAGAATATTTCTAGATAGTCTGTCCAGATAGCTTAGAATGTGTTTCATGATGCATATGGCTGAAGCGGTTTTGGCTACTTTTTGGATTGCTCATTAATTTTTTTGTTGAGCTTGGCTGGTACAAATACATATAAGAAAAGTACTATCCTTTTATCAACTTTTAGTCAGGTTCAAATTTAGAATGGATTTGTATTCATGAGGCATTTTTTCATATGGTAAAGTGCCTGTGTTCTGTGTTTTGTTGTTATTTTTTCATCCTTTTAAATTGTATTATGGATAAGTGAACACATTTAGCTGAGAAATTTCAACAACAAAGTTTAAACTTTTTGATATGGCATAACCCTCAAACTTGTCATATGGTCAGGTTTTTTGGTCACTTGTTTATGTTTGTGGATGCCTTGTTGAAATTATCTGTGTCCCATGTGCTTCATCTTCTGCTGGTGAAACCAGAAATATAACCGTTGGATCATTTGCTAGCAATTAGTAGAGGGGGATGGGGGCTTCATCTCTATTCTCGCTTGCTGAAACTTTCCGCTCTTCAGGTAATCTCTCAGTTGAAAGCTTCTAATTAATTTTTTTTCATTTACGTATTTTTTTTTATCGATTTATGTATTTTTTGTTCCAGTGAATTCGAAATGAAATCAGAAAAACGGATTTAGTAACAAATATATGAAATTTTTATTTGCGTGTCCTGTTTTTGATTTGTTTGGTTTGGAATTATATTATTTTTTTTTTTGGCCTGGGCTTTTAGAGAATAAAGTTGCTTGCTGCTACCCTTGATTTTCCAGTGACATTTGAGTAGCCTGCATTTAGTCATATAATGGATGGTGGTGTAAATTCAGTTCTTATAGACAATTTTTTTTTTAAAAAGATATCTGGGTTTCTTTTTGCTTCTTCTCTGTTAAATTACTCATCTGGAAGTTAATTTTGTTCAAAGACTAAGTATTGTTCTTCAATTAAAGATTTCTGGGTTTTTTTTGTTGCTTCTTTTCTGTTAAATTACTCATCTGGAAGTTAATTTTGTTCAAAGACTAAGTATTGTTCTTCAATTAATCTTACAAGAAAGCATATGGGAACGTGGCACACTCGGTGTCCGATGAAATGTGTCTGAGAATCCGTCAATATGATATATTATAATTTTGACCCTCCGCTTCAGCTCCGGCCTCAGGTGCGTGAAGGCGAAGTGGTCCTGGTCGACTGTCTCTTCCTCCACAGTTCTGGACGATGGTTCCGAAGCTCTGGCGATTCCGACTGAGAAAGAGGTCAATAACAACAAGGTTATTTCATCCTTTTAAATTGTATTATGGATAAGTGAACACATTTAGCTGAGAAATTTCAACAACAAAGTTTAAACTTTTTGATATGGCATAACCCTCAAACTTGTCATATGGTCAGGTTTTATTTGGTCACTTGTTTATGTTTGTGGATGCCTTGTTGAAATTATCTGTGTCCCATGTGCTTCATCTTCTGCTGGTTAAACCAGAAATATAACCGTTGGATCATTTGCTAGCAATTAGTAGATGATTAATTTCCTTTTTGTTGTAAATTATGGAACTTCCAGGAGCTTGAAGGGCTCTCGGGTCCAATGAGGAAGGATTTTTCACAAGTTCGTAAGAAAGATCGCTGCGATTAACAAAGAGTTAGAGCCACTAGGACATACCTGCCAGAAGAAGGTAACACAACTTGGATTTTTACCACATTTTGGTGTTAATGTTTACTGCTATGCATATGCAATCATGGATCAATTCGTGCGGGTTCATAATGAATTTTGGGTTCGTAACTTGTCACAGGAAAAAGAATACAGAGATGCACTTGAAGCTTTCAATGAAAAGAACAGAGAGAAAGTGCAGCTTATCACAAAGCTAATGGAGGTTAGTTTGTTAAACAATTTTTTACTTGGCATAGCTAGGGTTGCAATTTCATGGATGGTTTGAACTCGAACCAGTATGGCCAGTTTGGAGTTAGAGTGGGCTTACCAATCCTACAAAATTTGGGCTTACCTCCGGTTAGGTGTTCAACCTGTCCAAACTCTCAACCGATGCTAGTTATCACTCATTATATTTCGATTCAGTAAAAGCGGACAAAGTGTTTACATAATTCAAGGTTTTGAGATTGTTTTGTTGTCGTGTTACATTTGATGCAGCTGGTGAGTGAAAGTGAGAAGACAAGGATGAAGAAGCTGGAGGAGCTGAGCAAGAACATAGAATCGTTAAAGTGAAGAAATAGCAGCCAATTTGGGTGACTGATGATCTGATTAGGTTTGTGTGATGATGTATACAGCACAGGAGTCAGTTGGGCATATGATATGAACATGCTTCCTTCATTGTTAGAGTTACATTTATCTTCGTGCCAAATTGAAAGCATTCCACTCTCACTGCAGAGCATTAACTTCCTTCCACTTTCACTACAGAGGATTAACTTCACATCACTGTTGGTCCTTGATATGTCGTATAATGGCATTAAAAGTTCTTCATTTCCCGGCTGGTTTTTTAATCTTACTAACCTCGTAACACTTGATCTATCCGGGAATGATTTCAGGGATTCTTTTCCAAGTGAATTTTCAAACTTCAAATCTCTGGAAAACCTTCATTTATCTGATACAGGCTTAAAAGGTCAAATTCCTAAAGTCAGTGGAAATTTGTGCAAGCTAAAAGTCTTAAGTCTTTCATGGAACAACTTTGATGGGGGGATTTAAGAGTTTTGGAGGAGTCTCTCAAATTGTCCAAGTAATTCATAAGAGTCACTAGATTTGTCTTGTTGCCAGCTTGAAAGCCAATTGCTGGTCTTTTTAGGAATGTTAAAAAGTTTGCAGAATCTCAACCTTGGAGAAAACAATTTGTGGGGCTCAATTCCAGATTCCATCGGAAACTTGTCCTTGAGAACACTATACCTCTTTTCTAATAATTTGTGGGGCTCAATTCCAGATTCCATCGGAAACTTGTCGTCCATAAGAACACTAGACCTCAGTTATAATAAGATGAACGGCTCAATTCCAGAAAGTATTGGACAGCTCTATGAGCTAGTTTCCCTACTTCTGCTTGGTAATTCATGGGAAGGCATTCTAACGGAAGCCCATTTCATAAATCTTGCCAAATTACAAGATTTTGAAGTAGGAAACATAGACCGACCCACGTCCCCCATTCTCGACGGGGCTTATGACAGGGTTCCTCCTTTCAAGCTCTTCAGAATTTTGATCATAAATTGTCGGATAAGTCCTAGTTTTTGGGTATGGCTTCAAACTCAAACTGAACTGTCTGAAGTTATCCTTCGGGGTAATGGAATCTCGGATTCCGTACCAGAGGAATGGTTGTTGAAGATATCTTCCCAACCTACCAATCTAGACTTGTCTTACAATCACTTTCATGGAAACTTTCCATCCCATTTGAAGTTTCCAAATTTAACGTCTATTGATTTGAGTCATGACTCATAATCAGTTGGAGGGCCCTCTACCACTTTGGTGTTTCCCTAATGTCGATTCCCTTTATCTAGAAGGCAATTTATTTTCTGGGCCAATCCCCTCAAATATTGACCAAATGATGCCCAAATTGCGAGAATTGTTACTTGATGAGAATCATTTGAATGGCACTATTCCTCCCTCTATTTGTAACATGCAGAACTTACAAATCCTATCTCTAAGGAGCAATCAGTTTTCTGGAGAACTCCCTCGTGCATGGAATATGGAGAGCATTATGCTGTTTTTAGATGTTGGTCAAAACAATCTGTCTGGTAATATTCCCACTTCATTGGGGGTACTACATTCCCTGGAAAATTTAAAGCTCAACGACAACAATTTTGGCGGTGAAATTCCTGATGCCTTGCAAAATTGTTCAAGTTTGAGGAGTATTGATCTTGGAGACAACAAGTTATCTGGGAAAATACCTCTATGGATAGGAGGGTCAAACGTATCTAAGTTGTCTAGGGTACGATTACGGTCCAACTATTTTAGTGGATGTATTTCCCAGCAACTGTGCAATCTTCAAGGCCTTCACATCCTCGACCTTAGTCACAACAGCCTTTCAGGTACTATTCCCATGTGTTTGGATAACTTAACTTCGCTAGTCAATGATGATTCATATGAACACGATTATGATGTGTGTGGAGCAAGCCACACTGACACTAAAAGGAGAAGAACTTGTGTACAACAGAACTCTATATCTTGTAAAGAGCATTGATCTTTCATCAAATAATTTACAAGGTGAAATCCCTAAAGAAATAAGCAACCTCATTCAATTGGGCACCTTGAATTTGTCCAAGAATCAATTGACTGGAAATATCCCCTCTAAGGTCGGAAACTTGCATTGGCTCGAAACTCTTGATCTCTCACACAACCACCTTTCGGGACAAATTCCTCAAAGCTTGTCATCTTTAACCTCTTTGTCCCACCTGGACTTGTCTTACAACAACTTGTCTGGAAGAATTCCTACTGGAAACCAGCTTCAAACGCTAAATTTTTCGTCCATTTATGTGGGCAATCAATGGCTATGTGGCATTCCTCTCTCAACTAAGTGCCTTGGAGATGACACTTTTACTGCTAAGGATGCAAAGAACGAGAATGAAGATGGAAATGATAAGTTGTGGCTCTATGTCAGCGTGGTACTTGGCTTTATCATAGGCTTTTGGAGCGTTTACGGGACGTTGATCCTTAGCAAAGAACGAGAATGAAGATGGAAATGATAAGTTGTGGCTCTATGTCAGCGTGGTACTTGGCTTTATCGTAGGCTTTTGGAGTGTTTGCGGGACGTTGATCTTAAAGACATCATGGAGGTATGCCTATTTTCAATTCTTCGATGACATCAAAGATAAGGTAGCACTAGCAATTGCATTGAAAGTGGCTCGTTTCAAAATGTTTTTATTCTGAAGTTTGATTGTACTAATATATAATGTGATGTTTTTCTCCTTCTACTTTGTGTTTTGATACTTGCAACTTATGTATTAAATAAAAGAATATGTCAGTAAGTGTTTCCACAAACAATTATGTAACCGCTGTCCGTTTAATACAAGAATTCTATCTAGTTTGTACTTATGAATCGCATAATACAATCTACCTATGTAATGTTGCAATTTAACAAAATAACATTACGAACAAAATAACATTTGTGCAGCCTGCATTTAATCATATGATGATTAAATGGGGTTGAACGTATTAATGAGTGGTTGCGTTTATATAAGCTTTTTCTTTGCTCTCTTTTTTCAAATCTTTCTAATTGTTTATGTGCATATGGGGTTGAACGTGTTAATAAGTGGTTGTGTTGTTTGCAGCGAGCTCCGTTCAAGGTAATTTCATTTCTTATAGACAGTTTTGTCAAGATTTCTGGGTTTCTTTTTGCTTCTTCTCTGCTAAATTACTCATCTGGAAGTTAATTTTGTTCAAAGACCAAGTATTGTTCTTCAATTAAGATTTCTGGGTTTTTTTTTTTTTTATTGTTGCTTCTTTTCTGATAAATTACTCCTCTGGATGTTAATTTAGTTCAAAAACTAAGTATTCTTCTTCAATTAATCTTACCAGAAAGCATATGAGAACAATACTTGTTGACCTTGTTCAAAAACTAAGATTTCTGGGTTTTGGCTACTTTTTGGATTGCTCATTAATTTTTTTTGTTGACCTTGGCTGGTACAAATACATATAAGAAAAGTACTATCCTTTTATCAACTTTTAGTCAGGTTCAAATTTAGAATGCATTTGTATTCATGAGGCATTGGGGTAAAGTGCCTGTGTTCTGTGTTTTGTTGTTATTTTTTCATCCTTTTAAATTGTATTATGGATAAGTGAACACATTTAGCTGAGAAATTTCAACAACAAAGTTTAAACTTTTTGATATGGCATAACCCTCAAACTTGTCATATGATCAGGTTTTATTTGGTCACTTGTTTATGTTTGTGGATGCCTTGTTGAAAATATCTGTTTATGTTTGTGGTCACTTTTTCCAACTTAATTTGTTTTGCATTTTTGATTTTGAATTTTCGGTTTAATGTATTTACAAAGGCCATGAACTCTTTGATGGAAGTATTCCATTTTTTTTACTGATTCCCAGATTTTTTTTCAAGAGAATTAATTATCTGTTTGTCTCAGCTAACAGAGTAAATCTGGGGTTCTGTACACAACAAAATATGGAATTTAGCTAAGAAATTTCAACAACAAAGTTTAAACTTTTTGATATGGCAAAAAACAGGTTCTCTTCTTTCTCAAAACCCTCAAATTTGTCATATGATCAGGGTTTATTTAGTCATTTGATTATGTCTGGGACAAGTATATATGTCCGAGGATGCCTTGTTGAAAATTTATGTACCCCATGTGCTTCATCTTCTGCTGGTTAAACCAGAAATATAGCTGTTGAATCCGTTGCTAGCAATTAGTAGATGATTAATTTCCTTTTTGTCGTAAATTATGGAACTTCCAGGAGCTTGAAGGGCTCTCAGATCCGATGAGGAAGGATGTTTCACAAGTTCGTAAGAAGATCAATGCGATTAACAAAGAGTTAAAGTCACTAGGACATACCTGCCAGAAGAAGGTAACACAACTTGGATTTTTACCACATTCAGATGTTAATGTTTACTGCTATGCATATGCAATTATGGATCAATTCGTGTCTGTTCGTGATGAATTTCGGGTTTGTAACTTGTCACAGGAAAAGGAATACAGAGATGCACTTGAGGCTTTCAATGAAAAGAACAGAGAAAAAGTGCAGCTTATCACAAAGCTAATGGAGGTTAGTTTGTTAAACAAATTTTTACTTGGCATAGCGGGGTTGCAATTTCATGGATGGGTTGAACTCAAACCAGCCTGGCCAGTTCGGAGTTAGAGTGAGCACGGTTGAGCCTGGCTTGACAAATTACCAATCCTACAAAATTTGGGCTTACCTCCGGTTAGGAGTTCAACCCATCCAACCTCTCAACCGATGCTAGTTATCACTCATTATATTTTGATTCAGTTAAAGCGTACATAGTGCTTATGTAATTCAACGTTTTGAGATTGTTTTGTTGTCGTGTAACATTTGATACAACTGGTGAGCGAAAGTGAGAAGACAAAGATGAAGAAGCTTGAGGAGCTGAGCAACAACATAGAATCATTGAAGTGAAGAAATAGCAGCCTATGTGGGTAACTGATGATCTGATTAGGTTTGTGTGATGATTTATTTAAGCTGAGTTTTTTTTATGTTTACATATATGGGTGGTGATTGGCATTTGGTGTAATTTCTAAGTTGGTTTGTTTCATTAATTAGTGCTTGGTAAAAACATTTGGCTGATTTAGGCAGGAAAATAACCTTTAAATTTAAACAGGTTTGTAACTAAAAGCATCTGGCCTTGCATTTTTCTTCTCATTTTTCCATGTATCCAAACACATACTACCCTACTTCCTAGTGTAATGTGGGGTTCTTTGAATTTATTCCTATTCTTTGTTCTAACTTTGTATGGATTGCAAAGGCCATGATATTTATGTAATAATGTAAAGTTTTATGAGTGATTTTGGGACAAATGGAGTGTATTTTGTTCAATTTTTCTTCAGTACTCGGCTCTATACGGAACGATTGCATTTTCTACTCCGACCCCCACAACACCATGATCTTCTTCTCTCTTTTCATGGATTCTTGTGACTGTAACCTCCATTTGTTGAGATCTCTCCCGGTCTTCAAGAACACCATCAACCACGGTCCACTGTGAGAGTATCAAAAAAACCCACCATCCCCATTTTCCAAGTTTTCCCTTTACTCTCTCCAAATATTGAATCTTTCTGCTCTTCTGCTTGTTGGGTTTTGTTTGTTTTTTTCATTTTTTTTGGGGAAAAAAGGTAAAGAAAAGGGTTTTTTTTCTTTTTGTGTTGGGGGGTGGGGAGTTGATCAAGAGCTTGCATGGGTACGGATTGGATCAGGGGAAGAGAAATAAGCTAGAGAGGGAGTTTGTGTTCAGGGAAATGGGTTGTATGTGGAGCTGACAGCTGAGCTGCTTCTAAGATTGATGAAATTTCCTGCTTCCAAAGTGCTCCAAGGGCACGTCAATGGTTGCTGGGTTTGCATTTTAGCATTTCATAAGAATTCACCTTCTGATTTGACATGCATTCCCTCTATTCTTTCAGTCTCCACGTACCCTTTTCAGTATGATGAATTTATTCTTATGTTGTCTCGCTGCTTTTGATGTTTTTCACGGTATTGTTCTTTTGGTTGGGGGTTGTCGCTATTTGTGTTTGTGTTTATGTTTGAGATGTACTAATTGCAGTATTACCCGATTACGGATGTCTACATTTTTTTGGACCTTTTACCCTTTTAAATTTCGCTCATTCCCTGACAATTCCTGACTTAGCCACTGACAGAAGACAAACACGTATTTTGTTGGGGCTTCACTTGTCTGGTCTTTTCAAAGAAAGAAGAAAGGATTTTGCGATGTATTGGAATACAGATACATGATATACTGATTCTCACATATTATAGTGCGTGGATTGATTATTAATGTTATATTCTAAAGTATAGATTGGATCTTCTACTCATAATATAACATGTGGATGTGTTCTAGTATGTTTCAATAATTTTTCTTGATGAAGAGCCTTTGGTTTGCTTTCTATTATGGCATGGAAGAGTACATTTTGCTCACGATCCTTTGTGGTCGTGAGCATTACTACTACATTAATTATGATTGGTTCAGTTTAGATTTTGAGACATAAGTAGTAAATAAATCTGATCATATTCATTGATAACAATTCATGTGGTGGTAATGCTCATTAAAATGCACTTTGAGTGGAAAAGCTAGGGTTAGAAGACAACCATTTCACTGAATCTCTTGCAATCTTTAAAACCCAATGCAATTGTCGAATTCTGTACTGTGTCGATGTATCGGATTACATCGAATAATTGGGGTTAAACATTTTGCCCTTCAACTAACTTTGGAATTATATTACAAATGTTGCTAGTTTGATGTGATGCTGATCGTAAATCACTCTTTCTCTATTCAATTCTGCAGGAAGCTGCAAAAGATATAGTCCGGTACAAATAGCAACTGTTTTTTTTTTTTTTTTTTTTTTTTTGTTATTTTTTCATGTAGGGGATAACTTTTTGTTGTTTGTTGAAAGGAATATTAGAACACATCTACACCCTATTTTGTCAAATTGTTCTAAAGTGTCTGATGCTGATTTTAGAATTCTCCTGACTTTCTAACTCAAATCTGTGCCAAGAGAACCCATGTATGAAGTATTAGTGAATTATTTGTAATTTACGAAACGACACGAAAATTTTTGCGTTGTAAGCATACATATTGAAATTTATGTTATAAATTTTTTTGATAAGCAGCAGATGAAAATTAGAATCATACTAATATAGGTATGCTATATACATAAATTTGATAGTACCATAAGTTCAGAATTAATCTTTAGTGTCATTAAAAAATTTACTTAAATTTATATACATAAATTTGATACCACCATAAAATTTGGGGTACTGTTGTATTTGGTACAGCCGATATGGTGCCGCTCGGGTGTTTTTTGACTAATCTCTACAGTTTTTTAATTTAACTGGGTATTTGTGATTTTGAACGACACTAAAATTTTTTATGGGTTATAGGTGTTAACTACCTTGAAATATTTGAGAATTGAAGAGAAAATCAAAAGAAAGATGAACGCAGAGAGCTTGGAGAGAGAGTTTAGAGAGAGAAATATGTGACTTGTATTAATTAAAAAGAAAGATTACACAGTTACGTTTTTATAAGAGAGTCTAACAACTCTAACCAAATACTAACAAACTTACTAACTGTATTGCCGACTTGTACAATCAATTGACTAATCATCTAACTATTGGTGTGGAACCGCAGGGTTAGAAAATGGGTCCAAATGCTTCTTGCAAATAACCCAACGGTTAGGTTTAGTCAAAGCAATGACCTCTTCCCCAAGGAGGGGAATTGACATCACTTTTTCAACTTTTGTCACCACTTTAATCATAATTCAAGCAGATTGAGCACGCTAAGTTAGCCGTTGCTCTACACAAAAAATACAGCTTCACTTTATTGTCTAATTTTTTCACCCACTTTTTAACGAAAATTTTAGTAACAAGTTTATTCTATTGCAAAATTACATAGAAGGACATAAGTGTTTTTGTTTGGGAATTGAAGTAACATAAGCGACACCACCTCTCTGTATCTCTCCGGCGCACCACTGTCCTCACAACCCAACTCAAAACGAAGTGAAGGACCCAAGGTTTAAGTGCTGCTTCCCTTTGATTGAGCAAACATATTATGCCATTCTTAGGATTTAAGGAACGATTCTTGGTATATACACAAACAGTGAGAAAATAGAACAAATCATGTCCCTTCCTCCAGTCGGGCTAAACGATAAGAACCCTAAAAAGTGCAAACAGAGTTATAGATTAGGCTTCAGTCTCTGTCTATCCTTCTTGCAATTTCGTAAATGCATGTGAATTAGTGAACAAATTAATAGATGAATTAGTTTAGAATATTGCAAGTATTTAAAATAAAAAAAGAATACCGCAAATATTAAATCATCCTCACCTGCATTGCCAATTGCCACTCTCTTGTCTCTTCCAATCCCTTTCATCAATTATGATTTATGGATTTCCACGGCTAGACATAAGGATTTTCCACCAAAGACTAATCGGTGTGCAAAGACTTCCACAGGTAGCTAGCCATCTCATTCATGCATTCATAATATCTGCTCCTACAAGGCTTGCAAACTTGTAAATATCCAAGTAGTGACTACCAATCTACCAGCATGTGTGGTGTGAATTATAAGAACATATCCAAATCGGTTTTCGTAAGTAAGTTGATAAGTTGTGAATTGTGATGGAACAAGATGACCCTTAATTCAAAGTCTTTGTTGCGTATGGATTTCCACAACCCATCACAACCAGATACCAGTTGTGTTGACAAGGGACCTGCAAACTTGTAAATGGGGTTGTGAACAACCGCCACTCATTTCAGTTGTCCTTTTTTCTTTTCTCCATCAGACGACTTTCGTTGTCACTCTCCGGCCTACATCGATAAACATCTCACCAACAAAGCAAAGAAAATAAGAAGAAAATGGATCCAAATTTATGACTTTTACTTCTTCCGATTTCTTTAGAGCTATTATTTTACCCATATGTGATTTGTAAAGTGGAAGATTGGATATCATATGTCTGAGTATTTAGGGTTTTGTACCATGCAAACTTGAGCTTATTGATCCAAATGGTTAGAACAGTGTACTCAAACAATTTCATATCCTCTTGGGCTAAGGAGAGTATATTACTTGCCAATGAGAAATATACTTCATATAATAGCTATGTGATGATGTGTGGCATGCTTTAATTAGGGATATTTTTGTGTAGTAAGAAAGCCATAGAGAAAGAGTCACATTTTTGTTTTTTTTGGATCAGTGAACGTATTCATAAATAAATTAGTTGATAATATAGCTAGTATTTAAAAAAAAAAATACCGCAAATATTAAGTCATGCTCACTTGCATTGCCAATTGCTACTCTCTTTTCTCTTCCAATCCCCTTCATCAATTATATTTATGAATTTTCACCGCTAGCTAATCGGTGTGCAAAGACTTCCACATGCAGACCTTTAATTCCAGTCTACCAGCATGTGTGGTGTAAAATATAACAACATATCCAAATCTGTTTTTCGGAAGCAAGTTGATAAGTTGTGAATTGTGATGGAACATGAAGACCCTTAATTCAACAACCTATCACAATTAAGTACCAGCTGTGTCGACAAGGGACCTGCAAACTTGTAAAATGGGTTGTGAACACCCACCACTCATTTCAGTTACCCTTTTTTCTTTTCTCCATCCGACGACTTTCGTTTTCAGCTCTCCTACCTACATCGATAATCTTTTCCTATAAATTCGATATCGTACTAATTTTAGTAGCTAAACATCTCACCAACAAAGCAAAAAAAAAATTGTGTGTAATAATGGATAGCCATTGTCACCTCAGTATTGCTCACTATTTGCTTCTTTTGCTTTTGGTCTCTTCCTGCATGCAGAGTACTACTAAACTCTGTTTCTGTTTGGCTAGTGATGAAATTTCAAGCAGTGTGAAGACAGATTCATGCATTGACGAAGAAAGACAAGCGCTTCTCATCTTTAAACAGCATCTTGTTGATCATTCTGGTCGGCTTTCGTCTTGGGTGGGTCATGATTGCTGTCGATGGGAAGGTATTTCATGCAACAACAGCACTGGTCATGTCGTGAAGATGGACCTTCGGAATCCATATGACTTTTATGGCTCTTTTTATTATGAAAGGTGGATAAATGCTTCTTTGCAAGGTACGATAAATGCTTCTCTGTTGAGCTTGAAACATTTAAATTACCTGGACTTGAGCCAGAATGTGTTTGATAGCATTCAAATTCCTAAGTTCATTGGGGAGCTTAAAAGTTTGCAATATCTCAATCTCTCCTATACGTCATTTAGAGGAGAGATTCCCTCTTCTCTTGGTAACCTGTCAAGCCTAAATTTTCTTGATCTCGGGTGGAGCGGGAATGTGTTTGACTTATCTTCCAAAAATTTGAATTGGCTTTCTCACCTCACTTCCCTGAAATACATTAATCTCAATGGCATTAACCTTAACAGCACAGGAGTCAGTTGGGCATATGATATTAACATGCTTCCTTCATTGTTAGAGTTACATTTATCTTCGTGCCAAATTGAAAGCATTCCACTCTCACTGCAGAGCATTAACTTCCTTCCACTTTCACTACAGAGGATTAACTTCACATCACTGTTGGTCCTTGATATGTCGTCTAATGGCATTAAAAGTTCTTCATTTCCCGGCTGGTTTTTTAATCTTACCAACCTCGTAACACTTGATCTATCCGAGAATGATTTCTGGGATTCTTTTCCAAGTGAATTTTCAAACTTCAAATCTCTGGAAAACCTTCATTTATCTGATACAGGCTTAAAAGGTCAAATTCCTAAAGTCAGTGGAAATTTGTGCAAGCTAAAAGTCTTAAGTCTTTCATGGAACAAATTTGATGGGGGGATTGAAGAGTTTTGGAGGAGTCTCTCAAATTGTCCAAGTAATACATTAGAGTCACTAGATTTGTCTAATTGCCAGCTTGAAAGCCAATTGCCGGTCTTTTTAGGAATGTTCAAAAGTTTGCAGAATCTCATCCTTGGAGAAAACAATTTGTGGGGCTCAATTCCAGATTCCATCGGAAACTTGTCATCCTTGAGAGCACTAGCCCTCAATTCTAATAATTTGTCGGGCTCAATTCCAAATTCCATCGGAAACTTGTCGTCCTTGAGAACACTAGATTTCAGTGATAATAAGATGAACGGCTCAATTCCAGAAAGTATTGGACAACTCTATGAGCTAGTTTCCCTACTTCTGCTTGATAATTCATGGGAAGGCATTCTAACGGAAGCCCATTTCATAAATCTTACCAGATTACAAGATTTTGAAGTAGGAAATATAGACCGACCCACGTCCCTCATTCTCGATGGGGCTTATGACAGGGTTCCTCCTTTCAAGCTCTTCAGAATTTTGATCATAAATTGTCGGATAAGTCCTGGTTTTTGGGTATGGCTTCAAACTCAAACTGAAATGTCTATAGTTAACCTTATGGGTAATGGAATCTTGGATTCCATACCAGAGGAATGGTTGTTGAAGATATCTTCCCAAGCTAGCTTTCTAGACTTGTCTTACAATCACTTTCATGGAAACTTTCCATCCCATTTGAAGTTTCAAAATTTAACGTCTATTGATTTGAGTCATAATCAGTTGGAGGGTCCACTACCACTTTGGTGTTTCCCTAATGTCGATTCCCTTTATCTAGAAGGTAATTTATTTTCTGGGCCAATCCCCTCAAATATTGACCAAATGATGCCCAAGTTGGAAGAATTGTTACTTGATGAGAATCATTTGAATGGCACTATTCCTCTTTCTATTTGTAAGATGCAGAAGTTAAAAATCCTATCTCTAAGGAGCAATCAGTTTTCAGGAGAACTCCCTCATGCATGGAATATGGAGAACATTATGGTGTTTTTAGATGTTGGTCAAAACAATCTGTCTGGTAAGATTCCCACTTCATTGGGGGTACTACGTTCCCTGGAAATTTTAAAGCTCAACGACAACAATTTTGGCGGTGAAATTCCTGATGCCTTGCAAAATTGTTCAAGTTTGAGGAGTATTGATCTTGGAGACAACAAGTTATCTGGGAAAATACCTCTATGGATAGGAGGGTCAAACGTATCTAAGTTGTCTAGGCTACGATTACGGTCCAACTATTTTAGTGGATGTATTTCCCAGCAACTGTGCAATCTTCAAGGCCTTCACATCCTCGACCTTAGTCACAACAGCCTTTCAGGTACTATTCCCATGTGTTTGGATAACTTAACTTCGCTAGTCAATGATGCTTCTTATGAACACCGTTATGATTACTTTGAGCAAGCCACACTGACACTAAAAGGACAAGAACTTGTGTACAACACAACTCTGTATCTTGTAAAGAGCATTGATCTTTCATCAAATAATTTACAAGGTGAAATCCCTAAAGAAATAAGCAGCCTCATTCAATTGGGCACCTTGAATTTGTCTAAGAATCAATTGACTGGAAAGATCCCCTCTAAGGTCGGAAACTTGCATTGGCTCGAAACTCTTGATCTCTCACACAACCACCTTTCGGGACAAATTCCTCAAAGCTTGTCATCTTTAACCTCTTTGTCCCACCTGGACTTGTCTTACAACAACTTGTCTGGAAGAATTCCTACTGGAAACCAGCTTCAAACGCTCAATTTTTCGTCCATTTATGTGGGCAATCAATGGCTATGTGGGGTTCCTCTCTCAACTAAGTGCCCTGAAGATGACACTTTTACTGCTAAGGATGCAAAGGATGAGAATGAAGATGGAAAGGATAAGTTGTGGCTCTATGTCAGCGTGGTACTTGGCTTTATCGTAGGCTTTTGGGGCGTTTGCGGCACGTTGATCTTAAAGACACCGTGGAGGTATGCCTATTTTCAATTCTTCGATGACATCAAAGATAAGGTAGCACTAGCAATTGCATTAAAAGTGGCTCGTTTCAAAAAGTTTTTATTCTGAAGTTTGATTGCCCTAATATATATTGTGATGTTTTTCCCCTTCTACTTTATGTTTTGGTACTTGCAACATATGTATTAAATAAAAGAATCCTTCAGTAAGTGTTCCCACAAACAATTATGTAACGGTTATCCATGTAATACAAGAATTCTATCTAGTTTGTACTTATGAATCGCATAATACAATCTACCGATGTAATGTTGCAATTTAACAAAATAACATTACGAAGTAGATAAGCACACGTGTGTATTCTTCTCTTTTACACTTGAATGTCGTCCAACTCGGCGAGTGGTAGTCCACCTCTACCGCCTTCTCGATGCTGCCAAAACCATACCAAAATGGGAGGAAGAATTGGTGGTTCGATATCGTCGAGGGTTTTCTGGGATCCTGTTCCTTGCAGAGAGAGAGGTGGGAGAATTCGATGGCGTCTTCCGGGTTCCTGTCCCTTGCCGAGAGAGAGATGGGAGAGGTATTTTGGCGTCTGTTGCAGAGAGAGATTAGGGGGTGGGTCTAGGGTTTGCACAGAGGGTAGGTGGGCGATTCAATTGAGGGGCTCCATCTCTATTCTCGCTTGCTTAAACTTTCCGCTCTTCAGGTAATCTCTCAGTTGAAAGCTTCTAATTTTTTTTTTTTTCATTTGGTATTTTTTTTCTTTGGATTTATGTATTTTTTCCCCAGTGGATTCGAAATGAAATCAGAAAAACGGATTTAGTAAACAAATTGATGAAATTTTTATTTGCGTGCCCTGTTTTTTATTTGTTTGGTTTGGCTCATAGAGAAATTTTTACTTGCTGCTACCCTTGATTTTCCAGTGACATTTGTGCAGCCTGCATTTAATCATATGATGATATATATAAGCTTTTTCTTTGCTCTCTTTTTTCAAATCTTTCTAATTGTTTATGTGCAATTTTGTCGAGATTTCTGGGAGTTAATTTTGTTCAAAGACCAAGTATTGTTCTTCAATTAAGATTTCTGGGTTTTTTTTTTTGTTGCTTCTTTTCTGTTAAATTACTCATCTGGATGTTAATTTAGTTCAAAAGCTAAGTATTGTTCTTCAATTAATCTTACAAGAAAGCATATGAGAACGTGGCACACTAGTGTTCGATGAAATGTGTCTGAGAATCTGTCAATATGATATATTATAATTTTGACTCTCCTCTTCAGCTCCGGCCCCAGGTGCAGGCGACGTGGACCTGGTCAACGATGTCTTCATTCACAGTTCCGGACAACAGTTCTGAACCTCTGGCGATTCCGACTGAGAAAGAGGTCAATAACAGCAAGGTAACGGAATTCAATGTTTTGTGTTTATTATAGAGGCATTTTTGCAACAGTATATCAGAGAATATTTCTAGATAGTCTGTCCAGATAGCTTAGAATGTGTTTCATGATGCATATGGCTGAAGCGGTTTTGGCTACTTTTTGGATTGCTCATTAATTTTTTTGTTGAGCTTGGCTGGTACAAATACATATAAGAAAAGTACTATCCTTTTATCAACTTTTAGTCAGGTTCAAATTTAGAATGGATTTGTATTCATGAGGCATTTTTTCATATGGTAAAGTGCCTGTGTTCTGTGTTTTGTTGTTATTTTTTCATCCTTTTAAATTGTATTATGGATAAGTGAACACATTTAGCTGAGAAATTTCAACAACAAAGTTTAAACTTTTTGATATGGCATAACCCTCAAACCTGTCATATGGTCAGGTTTTATTTGGTCACTTGTTTATGTTTGTGGATGCCTTGTTGAAAATATCTGTGTCCCATGTGCTTCATCTTCTGCTGGTTAAACCAGAAATATAACCGTTGGATCATTTGCTAACAATTAGTAGATGATTAATTTCCCTTTTGTCGTAAATTATGGAACTTCCAGGAGTTTGAAGGGCTCTCAGGTCCAATGAGGAAGGATGTTTCACAAATTCGTAAGAAAGATCGATGAGATTAAGAAAGAGTTATAGCCACTAAGACATACCTGCCAGAAGAAGGTAACCCAACTTGGATTTTTACCACATTTTGGTGTTAATGTTTACTGCTATGCATATGCGATTATGGATAAATTCGTGTGGGTTCATGATGAATTTTGGGTTCGTAACTGGTCACAGGAAAAGGAATACAGAGATGCACTTGAGGCTTTCAATGAAAAGAACAGAGAGAAAGTGCAGCTTATGACAAAGCTAATGGAGGTTAGTTTGTTAAACAATTTTTTACTTGGCATGGATGGTTTGAACTCGAGCCAGTCTGGCCAGTTTGGAGTTAGAGTGGGGGCGGTTGAGCCTGCTTTGACAAACTACCAATCCTACAAAATTTGGGCTTACCTCAGGTTAGGAGTTCAACCCATCCAAACTCTCAACCGATTCAATGTTTTGAGATTGTTTTGTTGTGTTGTTACATTTGATGCAGCTGGTGAGCGAAAGTGAGAAGACGAGGATGAAGAAGCTGGAGGAGCTGAGCAAGAACATAGAATCTTTAAAGTGAAGAAATAGGAGCCTATGTGGGTAACTGATGATCTGATTAGGTTTGTGTGATGATGTATTTAAGGTGAGTTTTTTCAATGTTTACATATATGGGTGGTGATTGGCATTTGGTGTAATTTCTAAGTTGGTTTGTTTCATTAATTAGTGTTTGGTAAAAACATTTGGCTGATTTAGGCAGGAAAATACCCTTTAAATTTATACAGGTTTGTAACTAAAAGCATCTGGCCTTGCATTTTCCTTGTCATTTTTCCTTGTATCCAAACACTGTACTACACTACTTCCTAGTGTAATGTGGGGTTCTTTGAATTTATTCCTATTCTTTGTTTTAATTTGTCATGGATTGCAAAGGCCATGATATTTATGTAATAATGTGAAGTTTTATGAGTGATTTTGGGACAAATGGAGTGTATTTTGTTCAATTTTTCTTTAGTACTCCGCTCTATACGGAACGATTGCTTTTTCTATACGAAAGCCCACTTCATAAATCTTTCTAGATTACAAGATTTTAAAGTAGGAAATATAAATCGACCCATGTCCTTCATTTTCGACGGGGCTTCTGATTCAGTTCCTCCTTTCAAGCTCAAACTGAACTGTCTGATGTTATTCTTAGAGGTAATGGAATCTCAGATTCCATACCAGAGGAATGGTTGTTGAAGATATCTTCCCAACTAACCCGACTATACTTGCCTTATAATCAATTTCGTGGAAACTTTACATCTCATTTGAAATGGCCAAATCTAACGTTAATTAATTTGAGTCATAATCAGTAGGAGGGCCTATTCCCACTTCGGTGGGCCGCTAATGTACTTGCCCTTTATCTTAAAAGTAACTTACTTTCCAGGCCAATCCCTTCAAATATCGACCAAATGATGCTCGAGTTGCAAATATTGTCACTTGATGAAAATCATTTGAATGACACTATTCCTCCCTCTATCTGTAACATGCATGAGTTGCAAATGCTGTCTCTAAGGAGCAATCAATTTTCTGGAGAACTCCCTCATGCATGGAGTGTGGAGAGCATAATGGCGTTTCTAGATGTTGGTCAAAACAATCTCTCTGGTAAGATTCCCACTTCATTGGGGGTACTAAGTATGCTGGAACTATTAAAGCTCAACGACAACAATTTTGATGGTGAAATTCATGATGCCTTGCAAAATTGTTCATGGTTGAGAAGTATTGATCTTGGAGACAAGTTATCTGGGAAAATACCTCTATGGATAGGAGGGTCAAACGTATCTAAGTTGTCTAGGCTATGATTACGGTCTAACTATTTTAGTGGATATATTTCCCAACAACTGTGCAATCTTCATGGCTTTGGCATCCTCGACCTTAGTCACAACAACCTTTTGGGTATTATTCCAATGTGTGTGGGTAACTTAAAATCTCTGGTCAATGATAGTTATGATCAATACTCTTATGATGGGGTTGAGCAAGCCACACTAACCGTAAAATGAGAAGAACTTGTGTATAATAGCACTCTATATCTTGTAAAGAGCATTGATCGTTCATCAAATAATTTACAAGGTGAAATCCCTGAAGAAATAAACAGCCTCATTCTATTGGGCACCATGAATTTGTCCATGAATAAATTGAGTGGAAAGATCCCCTCCAAGGTTGGAAACTTGCGTTGGCTCGAAACTCTTAATCTCTCACACAACCACCTTTTGGGATAGATTCCTCAAAGCTTGTCATCTTTAACCTTTTTGGCCCACTTGAAATTGTCTTACAACAACTTGTCCGGTAGAATTCCTTCTGGAAACCAACTTCAAACACTCAATGTTTCATCCATTTATATGGGCAATACATGGCTATGCAGCGTTCCTCTCTCAACTAAGTGCCCTGAAGATGACTCTTTTGCTGCTAAGGATGCAAAGGACAAGAATGAAGATGGAAAGGATAAGTTGTGGTTTTATGTCAGCATGATACTTGGCTTTATCGTAGGCTTCTGGAACGTTTGCGGCACATTGATCTTAAAGACATCGTGGAGGTATGCCTATTTTCAATTCTTCAATGACATCAAAGATAAAGTAGCATTAGCAATTGCGTTGAAAGTGACTCATTTCAAAAGGTTTTTATTCTGAAGTTTGATTGTGCTAATATATAATGTAATGTTTTTCCCTTTCTACTTTGTGTTTTGGTACCTGCAACTTATGTATTAAATAAAAGAATCTTTCAGTAAGTGTTCCCACAAACAATTATGTAACGGCTGTCCATTTAATACTAGAATTCTATCTAGTTTGTACGTATCAATTGCATAATACAAAATATACATGCAACGTTTATCTGTGTAATGAGATGTGTGAATAGCACATCCTTTAATAAACTAACATTATGAACTAGATAAGCACATGTATGTATTCTTTCCTTTTACACTTGATGTCGTTGAAAACGGCTAATGGTGCGTAGAATTATCAAAGAGACGAGCCATACGGCCCACTTCCAACAACATCAATATTGTCCCCAACTTGGTAATTACCACCTGCACAATCCATCAGGTGTGAGGTTTTATCACAAAAGGTCTCAGTATTAGTTGGAGTGGGGTTAAGATATTTAAACTCTTATTTTCTTATTGATACAGTCGACGTGGAACATAATTAGCGGGTCACACGTGGGAGATCCACACAACGACAACCACGTAGAGCCAAGGGAACTCACCCTACATGCGGGGCCAAAGGACCCACCATCATCGCGTGGGGCCAAGGGGACCCACCCATCACGTGGCAGTACAGTATGGGCCGGCTCTCCCGCTCTAATACCATGTAGAATTATCAGAGAGACGATCCATACGGCTCATTTTCAACAATACCGATATTATCCCTAACTTGGTAATTATCACATGCACAATCCGTAAGATATAAAGTTTTATCACAAAAAACTTCGGTATTAGTTAGAATGAGATGAAGATATGTAAACTCTTATTTTCTCGTTAATACGATCAAATGTGAAACATTTCCACGTCTCGATGCTGCAAAAGCATACAAAAATGGAAGGGAGACAAGGAGGAAGAATCGGTGGTTCGATATCGTCGAGGGTTTTCTGGGATTCCTGTTCCTTGCAGAGAGAGAGGTGGGAGAATTCGATGGCGTCTTCTGGGTTCCTGTCCCATGCCGAGAGAGAGATGGGAGATGTATGGGGTAAAGGAGAGGCTTTTCTTCCATTTCTGCGATGCTGCAAAACCATACAAAATAGGAGGGAGACAAAGAGGAAGAAGAAGGAGAAGAAGTTGAACCCTTGAACTGGGAAAAGGAACGAACTTGTAGAGGCGATTGAATTGGGTTTGAAGATTTGAGGGTTTTTTTGGCGTCTGTTGCAGAGAGAGATTAGGGGATGGGTCTAGGGTTTGCAGAGAGCGATTCAAGTGAGGGGCTAGGGCTAGAGGGATGGGATCTCCATCTCTGTTCTCGCTTGCAGAAACTTTCCGCTCTTCAGGTAATCTCTCGGTTGAAAGCTTCTAATTAATTTTTTTCATTTGGGTATTTTTTTTTTCTATGGATTTATGTATTTTTTTCCCCATTGAATTCGAAATGAAATCAGAAAAACGGATTTAGTAAACAAATTGATGAAATTTTTATTTGCGTGCCCTGTTTTTGATTTGTTTGGTTTGGCTTTTAGAGAATAAAGTAGCTTGCTGCTTCCCTTGATTTTCCAGTGACATATGATGATTTATTAAGCTTTTTCTTTGCTCTCTTTTTTCGCATCTTTCTAATTGTTTATGTGCAAATGGGGTTGAACGTATTAATGAGTGGTTGTGTTGTTTGCAGCGAGCTCCGTTCAACGTAATTTCAGTTCTTAAAGACAATTTTTTCAAGATTTCTGGGTTTCTTTTTGCTTCTTCTCTGTTAAATTACTCATCTGGAAGTTAATTTTGTTGAAAGACCAAGTATTGTTCTTTAATTAAGATTTCTGGGTTCTTTTTGTTGCTTCTTTTCTGTTAAATTACTCATCTGGATGTTAATTTAGTTAAAAAACTAAGTACTGTTCTTCAATTAATCTTACAAGAAAGCATATGAGAACGTGGCACACTAGTGTTCGATGAAATGTGTCTGAGAATCTATCAATATGATATATTATAATTCTGACTCTCCTCTTCAGCTCCGGCCGCAGGTGCATGAAGGCGACTAGGTCCTGGTCGACGGTGTCTTCCTTCACAGTTCCGGACGACGGTTCTGAACCTCTGGCGATTCCGACTGTGAGAGAGGTCAATAACAACAAGGTAACGGAATTGAATGTTTTGTGTTTGTTATAGAGTCATATTTGCAACAGTATATCAGAGAATATTTCTAGATAGTCTGTCCAAATAGCTTAGAATGTGTTTCATGATGCATATGGCTGAAGCGGTTTTGGCTACTTTTTGGATTGCTCATTAATAGAATGCATTTGTACTCATGAGGCATTGGGGTAAAGTGCCTGTGTTCTGTGTTTTGTTGTTATTTTTTCATCCTTTTAAATTTTGTTATGGATAAGTGATCACATTTATGAGTGTCAACCATTTATCCTCATTCATATTCAAATGTAATATAATATCGATTTTGTAAGAATTTTTTTGTCAATAATTTATGAATTTTTGTCAGTGAAACAATTTTCTAGCAGCATTTGGTCGGACGCTAATAATTTTTGTACTGCTGGATAATTATTTGTTTGTCTCTGCTAACAGAGTAAATCTGGGGTTCTGTACACAATAAAATATGGAATTTAGCCGAGAAATTTCAACAACAAAGTTTAAACTTTTTGATATGGCAAAAAACAGATTCTCTTGTTTCTCAAATCCCTCAAATTTGTCAGATGGTCAGGTTAGGTTTTATTTGATCACTTGTTTATGTTTGCAACAAGAATATAATTCAGTATGATATATTATCATTCTGAATCTCCTCTTCAGCTCCGGCCACAGTTGTGTGAAGGTGACATGGTCCTGGTCGACGGTTCGGAAGCTGTGGCGATTCTGACTGAGAAAGAGGTCAATAACAACAAGGTAATGAAATTCAATGTTTTGTGTTTGATATAGAGGCATATTTGCAACTTTGTATCAGATAATATTTCTGGATGGTCTGTCCAGATAGCTTAGAATGTTTCTGCTCTTCTGCTTGGTGGGTTTTGTTTGTTTTTTTCAGAAGATATGTGCAATTCTGTCTATTGTTCCTGAAATGTTTGTGTCTCAATGATGATTTCCTGATTCAGAAGGCTTACCTGCATAACAAAAGAGTTCATTTTTGATAAAAATGTAAATATTTAGCGTTTTAAAGGCTCATGAATTTTCTAAATAATCTCACACAACCCTAAACACTAGAAAGTAGAAGCACCATACCTCTCTCTTTGTTTGGGCGAACGTTCACATCAACATGTTCAGGTGGTAACATAATTGACATGTATATGAAGGGTTTTGATGCTTTTGGCAATGTTGCAGCATAAACAACTTCTAGAGCTCTCTTCAGATCACTGCAATCTACCGATCTATCTGTGGTTTGAAAGAAAAACGAATAAGAAAACATATCAATGATGTAATTCTGACATCAGTATGTTAAAACAAAATTAGGGGACTACTTATATAAATAGCCTCCAAGGCGTGAAATTAGAGAACTGTCACCTACGATTCACTATAATTTTCTCGTGTTGATATGGCATTGCATGAATACTTCATACCATTTATAAAAAGCACCATGGTCATCTTCTTCGCAACATAATTGGAATCGGAGATAAAGCCGTCCATCTGAAAAACTGAGCTAGAAGGATCTTTATCTGAAGCTTCCATTTCATCAGACTGCGAGCAACAGACACCCCCGTACACCGATCGAATTGCATCAATCCTTGATGCTGTGGAAACAGAATTAACATCTGCTCCAGCAGCTCCATGCTGACAGTTATAGCATACAAAAAGATTTTAATCGGGATTTTGAATTTCTAGCCATGAAAAAGATCGGTGAAGTCGATAGACAAGTTCCGTAGTGAATGAAACAGCAACCTACCTTTCTGCAGGAGGAGCTAACATTCATATGATGAATTGCAAACCGGCTTAGCAAATCTACAATCTTTGAATAATCATCAGCAGAATCTGATAACAATACCACCACTTAATTCACCGGTAAAGATAATTTCATCCCATTAAACCAAAACATAGAAAGTAATTCATCACATTCATTGGGAAAATTTTAAAGTTAAACTGCTCTAATTGTTACCCTGAACCCACAAAATTCTAATTATTTCAAAACTAAATCATAAATTACAAGCATAACACAATAATTATCACTCAGATTAAAATGAAAAGGCCATTTCTTTCTATGAACAAATCATATAATTTTCTTGGAATTTCATCAAACAGGTAATGGGCACGCACCTATGGCCATGCAACTGGCCTTTGGCAATGGTGGTGACGGTGACGTGAGCTACGTATGTCATGCTGGCAAGTGCTTCTCCTCTGAACCCCATCGACTTTATCGACTACAAGTCCTCAAACGCCGAGAGTTGCCGCTCAGACGGTATCGGCAGGTCCTCATGCTGCAATGAACCGTAATTCGTAAATAAATTTAGAAATAATTCAAAATTTAATAAAATGGAATAAATGAGTGCAGAAGGGACTGACGCGTATGCCTTGGCCGTCGTCGGAGACTTGGATGAGTTTGAGGCCGCCGTCCTTGACGACGACGTTGATGGAGAAGGAGCGGGCGTCGAGGCTTTTCTCGACGAACTCTTTGACGGCGGAGACAGGGCGTTGGATGACCTCGCCGGCAGCGATTCGGTTCACCACAGACTCTTCTAGGAGGTGAATTTTGGGGGGCTCCGTCGCGACTTGCTCTTCTTCTTCTGCTTCAATTTCCATTTCCGTTGCGCTGCCAAAATTTCCCTTTTCGTTTGGAAGCGCCAAATTTTCACGGCACCGTCAAAATGAAGAAGCAACGTGTTATTTATTATTATTATTTTTTATATTTTTTTGGTTCAATAGAGTAGGGTAAAATTAGGTTAAGAATTGCGTTATCACTTAAAAGTAAAACTATGATGAATAGTATTTTTTTATTATTATTTATAAGTAAGAAGTTTTATGTTTGATTATTACCAATGAAAAATTTTAAGTAGATTATTATGGCTAAACCAGTGTGAGACTTCATTCTTCTACTCGTTTGTTCAAAAATGAAAGAATCACATTACGAAAATATACATAAGCGTACTAACAATGAAAGAGGTATAATTGAGATATAAAAATTATATTTGCATTTCATAAGTTTTTGGTAATAAAGGCTTCAAGTTTTTAATAGCATCTATGGTAGATAAAAAGAACACTAAAAAATGTCGACAAGAGACAAGAGTTTGGTCGAGATAACCTACAAAACACGATAAACTCGAGTTAATCTATTCATTAGCCACAAAATTTCATCTTAGAATAAACACGACAAAGTTCACAACTTTAAATTATGTGTAAAAATTCATCAAAAGTATGCACTAATTCACCAAGAGTGTAGTTGTTGCTCGCACCTACAATTCTAAGATATCTAAATGTGAATTTTCTCCCCTTCTATCACTACAAAACAAAGCGTCATTAACGAGGGTCAAATGCCGTCGAAAAAAGCATTTTTCCGTCACAAATACTTATTGCCGCAAATAGTAAGTCATACTCACTTGGATTGCCAATCGCCTCTCTATTGTCTCTTCCAATCCCTTTCATCAAGTATGATATATGAATTTCCACGGCTAGCCATAAGGATTTTCTACCAAAGACTAATTGGTGTGCCAAGACTTCCATGGCTAGCCATCTCATTCATGCATTCACTATATCTGCTCCTACACGGCTTCATTAAAATTTGGAAAAGTCCATAGGAAATCTCGTGTATTCCTTATTAGTGAAAAACAAATAAGAAAGCAACGAGTGTAACAATGACTATTTTAGACTGTTAACAACAATTTCACCGTTTAGAACATTTGTAAATAATGACACAATAGTCATATCCAAGTAGTGACTACCAATCTACCAGCATGTGTGGTGTACGCAATGGACTTGCAAACTTGTTCAACCCGACACAGCTAAATCCGTTTTCGTAATTTACCATAAGAAAAGAACAGTAAATAAGATGATAAGTTGTGAATTGTGATGGAATATGAAGACCCTTAATTCAAAGTCTCTGCTACATATGGATTTCTACAACCTGTCACAACCAGGTACCAGCTGTGTTGACAAAGGACTTGCAAACTTGAAAAAGGGGCTGTGAACATCCGCCACTCATCTTGTTTTCCAATAAATCGGTTTTTTAACATAGGGAATTTAGGCCACTTAGTACTACAGTCTATTGGTATTCCTGTTCACTTGTAAGTGAGAGGTCTTAGGTTCAATTCTCTTCCAAGGTGAGTTTGAACTACATTATTACTAGTTCATTGTGAGGCTAAGCCCACCCCCTCTCTTTAGTGTAAATAATATCAATTGTTAAAAAAAATAATAATAAAAAAAAAGGACATAGGGAATTTGGAATTTAAAGGAAAACAAGAAACAAGACTAAATTCAAAACAGGAAATAAAGCAAATTCTAATTGAAAGATGCAAACCTAAATCCATAAGAGCAAGGAAAGCTAAATATGTTCTCACACTTTCCGCTTTTATTATTCTCCAACAGGGTCCAAAACTAGGGTTTACATGGCATATGTTAAATCAGGAAGAAACCAAAGTGGTGTTAATTAGGATTATATTTCATAAAGATGATCATTGTAATCCTAGGAATAGTATGATTACTTGTGTAAGAAGGAATCACAATTCTTGAGTGAAACTAATTTTAGTCAGACTAGTACATGGATATACCATGATAATCACTATATATAAAAAGGAAAAGTAATTTATTTTTTTAAGTACAACGATATATTTTATACTAAGAGGATGGTGGAGTTCGGCTAAATCAGACAATGGGCAACCTAATTTAGTATCAAATTTGTCATTCACGAGATTCGAACCTAAAACTTCTCACTTACAAGTGAAGAGGAATACAACCAGACCGTAGTACTTCAATGGTAAAAGAAAATATACTTAACAGCTATATATATATATATATCTCACAATTAGCAAAACCTTTTCACATCTCTCTCCCTCTCGTGCGTACCATAGTCAATACCGACAACGCTTACACAGTATATGTTATACATACTATTTGGATATGTTCTAGTTTGTTTCAGTAATTTTTCCTTGATGAAGAGTCTTTGGTTTGCTTTCTATTATGTTACTAGTTGCATGGAAGAGTGAATTTTGCTCGCTATCCTTCAATGGTCATGACCATTATCATTTACCACTTATATTAATTGCAATTGAATTAGTTTAAGTTTTGAGATTTAAGTAGTAAATAAATCTGATCACATTCGTCAACAATAATTCATGTGGCGGTAAATGCACACAAAAATACACTTTGAGTGGAAAAACTAGGGTTAGAAGAAAACCATTTCATTGAATCTCGTGCAATCATTAAAACCAGTGGCGAAGCTAGCATGGGGTCATTGGTTACCATTGACCCTAATAACTTAAAAAACGTTATGTAAATTTGTTTGTGTATTGTATATGACCCTTATAAACAGCTAATGAAAACTAAATTACAATCTCCTTCTTCTGCTTGTTCTATCACATTTGTCTTCATTTTCTCTTTTCTTGTGCAATCTAATGTGCGCACCATGTGCTCGATGAAATACCTTAGTTAAAAAGCCTTGGCAACCTTCAATATTACTCCACAGTATCATGCACCCACCCTCTAAAAGCTACAAACAAGAGTAGTTGTTGACATATGTTGACATAAACTTTCAACATATGTTGACAGGAATTGGCAAGTACCTACTAGGTGCTCGATGAAATAGCTCAATGAAGCTTTTTTTAGTTGATATTATGACCCTATTATTTAAAAATCCTAACTTCGCCACTGATTGCAACACAATGCAATTGTTAAAAATTCTATACTTTATCGATGTATCGGATAACTGATTACAACATATGGATTTTCCACCAAAGACTAATCGGTGCGCAGAGACTTCCACTGATTACAACATATGGATTTTCCACCAAAGACTAATCGTTATGCAAAGACTTCCACAAGTAGCTAGCCATCTCATTCATGCATTCATAATATCTGCTCCTACACGGCTTGCAAACTTGTAAATATCCAATTAGTGACTACCAGTCTACCAGCATGTGTGGCGTAAAATATAAGAACATATTCATATGGGTTTTCGTAAGTAAGTTGATAAGTTGTGAATTGTGATGGAACATGAAGACCCTTAATTCAAAGTTTTTGCTGCATATGGATTTCCACAACCCATCACAACCAGCTGTGTCGACCAGGGACTTGAAGACTTGTGATGGAACATGAGGACCCTTAATTTTTTTCATTTGGGTGATTTTTTTTCAAATTGTGAATTGTGATGGAACATGAAGACCTGAAGTCTTGCAAACTTGTAAATATCCAAGTTGTGAATTGTGATAGAACCTGAAGACTTGCAAATTTTTTTGCATTGTACGCATACATAATGAAATTTATGTTATAATTTTTTTTTTTTTGATAAGAAACAGATGTAAATTAGAATCATACTACTATAGGTATGCTATATACATTAATTTGATAGTACCATAAATTCAGAATTAATCTTTAGTGTCATTAAAAAATATACATAAATTTAGGGGACTGTTATTTACTACAGCCAATATGGTGTTGTTCAGGTGCTTTTGACTAATCTCTGCAGTTTTTCAATTCGTATGGGGTATTTGTGATTTTGAACGACACTAGAAAAATTTGTATCAAAATTCAGAGCTGCGTTCTTCTTCCCTCAAAATAAGAAGAAAACGTTTCCTCAACTCCATATTTTGGCACCTCAGGTATATTTGTGTTCTAAAGCCTTTTACTTCTTCTGATTTCTTTAGAGCTATTATTTTACCCATATTTGATTTGTAAAGTGGAAGATTGGATATCATATGTCTGAGTATTTAGGATTTTGTACCATGCAAACTTGAGCTTATTGATCCAAATGCTAGAACAGTGTACTCAACCAATTTCATATCCTTTTGGGCTAAGGAGAGTATATTACTTGCCAATGAGAAATATACTTCATATAATAGCAATGTGATGATGTGTGGTATGCTTTAATTAGAGATTTTTGTGTAGTAAGAAAGCCATAGAGAGAGAATCACATTTTTGTTTTTTTTTTTTTTTTGGATTTGGTTACTGTAGTGATTACGCAATGAAAGCCGAGGACAAACAAATGACACATGTAGTTGGGAATTTGTGAGTTACATGCAAAGCTCATGGAAAGTAAGCTTTTGTAATGTGTCTAATGGCATAGTCAAAGAGTTGTCCACCTAAGAGCAACTCCAGCGTTGGAGCCCTCCTCCTAGGCTATGCACTATTCAATCCACCTTATGAACAGTAACTACCCTTAATGACCAGTAATAGCCCGGGCAATAGCATTTGCATCTCCACCGTTACACTTCAATAGCCCTGGCAATAGGCAATAAAATATTAGTATTTTTTTATTTATAAAATAATACAAAATAATTTTAATTGTAATATCGGATAAGATTTTTAATCGTTCTCGTTGCGCCACGTGTCATTATCCGAAGTATTATTAAATAATACAAAATAATTTTATTTGTAATTTCGGATAAGATTTTTAATCGTTGTTGTTGCGCCACTTGTCATAAAATCCGAAAAGACAATTATTGGGGATGAATTTCCGATAAATTTTTTAATCGTACTCGTTATGCCACGTCTCATTATCCGAAAATACAATTATTGGTGATGGATTTCTGATAAGATTATTAACCAATCACGTCACGCCATATGTCATAATCTGTTTACAATCTTTGAGGATAGATTTCCTTCAGATTTTTAACGAATGACGGCATGCCACGTCACATTATGTACAACTTAATCCTTTCTGAATCCTACATATAATCCACCATCCATCCTCACAAATCTCACAACAATTTTCTCAAGATCTCTATCATTATTCATAGTTTATGCTTCCTTCTTCACAAAAAATCTGTATCATTATTCATAGTTTCTGCTTCTTTCTTACAATGTTTTCTTCTTCCTCAAGGATGATGTGGGAACTCGATCAGGAAGAGGAAGAATTGTTTAACCAATCAGAAGCAATGTTCAATCACCAGGGGGCATAAAATGAGAGGGAAAAGGATGAAGAGCGTAGAAGGAGAGATGACGAAGTAAGAATGGGCAGAGCCTCACATTCCCGTCGAGTCATCCAAGCTGTGGCTCAGATCTGCAGGCCGAGCCATTCCGAAAACCTTGATAGAAGTAGGCAACGACAAGGTATGGAACTCTTGGATGATTATTTTGTCCCTAATAGTGCATTCCCTGATACGTACTTTAGACGTCGTTTTAGAATGGAACGACATTTGTTCAACAAAATCATGATTGCTGTTTGCAACCATGATTCTTACTTTGTGCAAAAGAAGGATGCTTTTGGTGCTATGGGTCTACTGCCTGAGCAAAAAATTACTGCTGCCTTACGGATGCTTGCATATGAAGCATCTGCAGACCAAGTGGATGAGATAACGAGGATGGGGAAATCAACCATTCTTGAGTCCCTGATGAGGTTTTGCGGAGCAATTGAATCTATCTACACCGCTGAGTACCTCCGCAAACCTACAAACATGGACTTGGAATGACTGTTAAAGAAGGCCGAGATGCGTAGTTTTCCTGGGATGATTGGAAGCATTGATTGTATGCACTGGACGTGGAAAAACTATCCAAGTGCATGGCAAGGCGCTTATGGGGACAAAAAATGAGCAAAAAATATCATTCTAGAGGCGGTGGCATATTTTGATACATGGATTTGGCACGCCTTTTTCGGGGTCCCGGGAGCTCAAAATGACATCAACGTCCTTGCCCAATTCCCAGTGTTCAACGATGTCCTGCAAGGAAAGGCACAAAAAATCACGTATGAGGTCAACGAACGTATGTACGACGGGCCATACTACCTAGCTGACGGCATTTACCTGCGATAGTCAACATTTGTCAAAACAGTGCCACGTCCGCGAAGTGCAAAGGAAAAACACTTTGCAAGCTGTCAAGAGAGGTGCAGGAAGGATGTGGAGCGTTGTTTCGGTATCCTCCAAGCTCGTTGGGCGATCGTCAAGGTTGCTACCAGATTGTTTGATGTAGAGTTGCTTCAATCCATCATGATGACGTGCATCATTCTTCACAACATGATTGTGGAAGATGAGTATGATTATGAAGCTGTTGATGAATATGAGCCAGACACGATGAACAATTCAAGAACACGTATATATTGTGCTTATGACGCCATCGATGAGCCTGTGCAACATGAGCCATTACAAAAGGGATGAACATTACAATGAAAGGCTCATTCAACGATATACTGCATTTCAAATGCCAGACATGCACAATGCCCGGCAAATTGACTTGATAAAGCACCAGTGGGCATTGAAACAAGCTGAAGATAATTAAGTTCATTTGGTGTGTTTTATTATTTGGTATGTTTATGTTATTTTATTTGGTGTGTTTTATTATTTGGTATGTTTATGTAATTCTATTTGCTGTGTTTTATTATTTGGTATGTTTATGTAATTTTTTTAGTGAGTTTTTTATTATTCGGTATGCTTATGTAATTTTATTTGGTGTGTTTTTGTCATTTCAATAAATATTCTCTTAGTATAAATAACTTACCAAATTAATTTGAATAAATATTCAATAAATCGGAAACAACATAAATAATACAAACAATAAATAATAAATTACAACCCAAAGTGATTGGAAAATTATGGGCTCCGATTACAAAAACTACTCTATTCATCATCACTTAACCAATTTGTGGTGCTAGGATGATCTTCTCTTGTGGTGCTAGGATCATCTTGGCTTGCTATCGCTTCTCTTGCACGCCTCCTTTGCACCACGTCCGCTTTCTCTGACTTCCAAAAAAATTTAGAATTTAGAGACTTCCCTTCTAAAGGCGTGTTCATAATCTCACGATCTCGTTGAGCCCGTCTTTCTTCTCTAACATGTTCCCTTTCTTGCCTAAGTAGCTCTCTTTCTCTCTCATTAGCCTGAAATTCTCGCTCAATAGCTGCAGCTTTTGCGTCCTCTCTAGCCTTATCAGCCTCATATTTTGTCAGTTCCGTTGCCAAAGTCAATTCACCTTGGCGAGTAAGTTCTTCCATGAACTTTGCATAATCATTCTTGGAAGCACTCCTTTTTCTCTTTGAAGTCTTCTTACCTTGAGGCCTAATTGGATAACGGGTCGAACCCGACGCTTTTTCAGGGAGGGGCGTTTCGGGCACTTCTTTTGCATCATCTTCATGAACATGCGAGACATGATCGGGTGTAAAGTGTAGAGGGGTGTTGTTCATATGCACTTCTGGACCGACTGGCACAACTCTAAATTTAGGACAATCTTTGACAATATTCCAACATTCCCACCGGTTGAATGATTTATTTTTGCTTTTGGTTTTGGCAGGGTACCAAGCTTGTGCTTAAAGTTCCTACACAATGCGGGAGAAGAAATAATTATAATAAAAATAAGTAACAAATAAATAATACAAACAACATAATTATAATGTAAGTAGGTAACAAATAAATAATACAAACAATAAATAATAAATTATGTAGGTAACAAATAAATAATACAAACAAATAATTATAATGTAAGTACGTAACAAATAAATAACACAAACAAATAATTATAATGTAAGTATGTAACAAATAAATAATACAAACAAATAATTATAATGTAAATTTGGGTATCAAATAAATAATATACTGTTACCTGATCCGAGTAATTTTCCCCACTTCGAATATTACTACTAGCTTGTGCCAAGGCGTCACTCCACGTACTAAACGATTGGCTAAGTAATTTCCAACGACTGGATATCGATTCTTTGGTTCTTTTCCCACCAATTTTCTCAAGATAATTGGTATGAATAAGACTCCACATTTCTCGCAACTGCATCTCATTACCCGTAAGCAAACTATGAGTAACTTCAACCCAGCTAGTACACAACGCAACATCTTCAAGAAGCGACCAATTCGTACCTGCACCAGTGGTCATTTTGTTGAAAAAAAATGGATTGAAACTTTGAGACAAAGAAAGGAATGTGATTGAAAGTAGTTGAGAAAATATGAAATTGTTGTGTAAGGTAGATGATAATGAAAAGGTATTTATAGAAAAGTAAAAACAACTTTTTTAAAAAAAATTTCAGATTTTTTTTGATTTTTTTACAATTTTTTTAAAATTTTTATTCAACTAATTAATTTTTTTACAATTTTTTTTAATTTTTATTCAACTAATTAATCTCTGCCGTTGGATATAAAAAAATTTGAATTCCAACACTCCAGATTGTGCCACGTGTCACAACAGTAACTTTTCTTAATTTTAAAACTATTTTTTCTTTTATTTTTTTATTTATAAAGCATATTAATATCCACCGTTGATCTCAGATCGAACGGTGGATATTAAATAAGACTTTTTTTTTTGACCGTTGAGATCGAACGGTCCAAATTAAAGATCCGTTGAGAGCCAACGGTAACTGAAAAAGCAATTTTTTTTTTCTGATTTTGTGTCGGCGACGCGCGCCCACGCGCGAGTGGGGTGCACGCGCCTGACAGAAAAAAAAAATTAAAAAAGGCCTGACGCCAGCACTGGCATCACAGGGCCTTAGGCTCTCGGGCTGGCAATTCTCCACGGGCCTGGAGCTCGGGCCTCCACCTCCACTCGGGCTCTCCAACGCTGGAGCCGGTCCACAGGGCCTCGGGCCCCTTTTCTCTTCCCCCGTCCCCCGAGCAACCAGCAACGCTGGGCTTGCTTTAATGTCTACTCTACGACGATCGTAGAGTAGATCTGTTTGTGTTGAGCAAAACTATGATCAATTTACATGAAATGAAGATAAATTGGGTTTTTTTTCAACTTAATATATATATATATATTTTTTTTTTTTTTCTTTTGGATTTTTGTTTTTGAATTTTTGGTTTATGTATTTTACAAGGGCCATGAACTCTGATGGAAATAATTCCCTTTTTTTTAACTAATTTCCAGAATTTTTGTAAATCCCTTTCTGTACACAACAAAATATGGAATTTCAATAACGAAGTTTAAACTTTTTGACATGGCCAAAAACAGATTCTTCTTCTTTCTCAAAACCCTCAAATTTGTCATATGGTCAGGTTTTATTTGGTCACTCGTTTATGTTTGCGACAAGAATATAAGTCCACGGATGCCTTGTTGAAAACATCTGTGTCCCATATGTTTCATCTTCTGCTGGTTAAACCAGAAATATAGCCGTTGAATCGGTTGCGAGCAATTAGTAGATGATTAATTTTCTTTTTGTCGTAAATTATGGAACTTCCAGGAGCTTGAAGGGCTCTCAGATCAGATGAGGAAGGATGTTTCACAAGTTCGTAGAAGATCGATGCAATTAGCAAAGAGTTAAAGCCACTAGGACAAACCTGCCAGAAGAAGGTAACACAACTGGGGTTTTACCCTATTCTGATGTTAATGCTTACTGCTATGCATATGCAATTATGGATCAATTCGTGTGTGTTTTTGATGAATTTTGGGTTTTTAACTTGTCACAGGAAAAGGAGTACCGAGATGCACTTGAGTTTTTCAATGAAAAGAACAGAGAAAAAGTGCAGCTTATCACAAAGCTAATGGAGGTTAGTTTGTTAAACAATTGTTTACTTGGCATATCTAGGGTTGCAATTTCATGGACGGGTGGAACCCGAACCAGTCTGGCCAGTCCGGAGTTAGAGTGAGCATGGTTGAGCCTGCTTTGACAAATTACCAATCCTACAAAATTTGGGCTTACCGCCAGTTAGGAGTTCAACCTGTCCAAACTCTCAACCGATGCTGGTTATCTCTCATTCTATTTAGTAAAAGTGTAGAAAGTGTTTATATAATTCAACGTTTTGAGATTGTTTTGTTACAGTGAAAGTGAGAAGACGAGGATGAAGAAGCTGAGAGCAAGAACATGGATTTGTTACAGTGAAGAAGTAGCAGCTTATGTGGGTAACTGATGATCCGATTAGGTTTGTGTGATGATGTGTATAAGGTGATGTTTTTCAATGTTTACATATATGGATGGTGGTGATTGGCATTTGGTGTAATTTCTAAGTTGGTTTGTTTCATTAATTAGTGTTTGGTAAAAACATTTGGCTGATTTAGGCAGGAAAAGACCCTTTAAGTTTAAACAGGTTTGTAACTAAAAGCATGTGGCCATGCATTTTCCTTCTGATTTTTCCATGTATCCAATGATATTTATGTAATAATGTTAAGTTTTATGAGGGATTTTGGGACAAATGGAGTGTATTTTGTTCATTTTTTTTTTCAGTATTGCGCACTATATACGGAATGATTACATTTTCTACCCTTTCGTGGATTCTTCACCTAACACCAAAAAGTAATGAGTGCTATTATGTCCACAATGTCGTCTAATTTTTCACCCACTTTTTAATGAAAGTTTTAGTGACAAGTTTATTCTATTGCAAGACTACATGGAAGGACATAAGCAAAATATAAAGAAAGTGTTTTTATTTGGGAACTGAAGTGGATTTAAGGAACATTTCTTGGTATAGATGCAAATAGTGGGAAAAAGGGAACGAATCACATCCCTTCCTCTAGTCGGGTCAAACGATAAGAACCCCCTAAAAGATGCAAATAGAGTAAGGGATTAGAGCTTCTGTCTCTGTCCATCTCTTTTGCAATTTCGTAAATGCGTGCGAATCAGTGAACATATTAATAGATAAATTAGTTGATAATATAGCTAGTATTTAAAAAAAAAAAAATACCGCAAATATTAATTCATGCTCACTTGCATTGCCAATTACCACTCTCTTTTCTCTTCCAATCCCCTTCATCAATTATATTTATGAATTTCCACCGCTAGCCATATGAATTTTCCACCAAAGGCTAATCGGTGTGCAAAGACTTCCACATGCAGACCCTCAATTCCAGTCTACCAGCATGTGTGGTGTAAAATATAACAACATATCCAAATCTGTTTTTTGTAAGCAAGTTGATAAGTTGTGAATTGTGATGGAACATGAAGACCCTTAATTCAACAACCCATCACAATCAAGTACCAGCTGTGTTGACAAGGGACCTGCAAACTTGTAAAAGGGGTTGTGAACACTCACCACTCATTTCAGTTACCCTTTTTTATTTTCTCCATCCGACGACTTTCGTTTTCAGCTCTCCTACCTACATCGATAATCTTTTCCTATAAATTCGATATCGTACTAATTTTAGTAGCTAAACATCTCACCAACAAAGCAAAGAAAAATTGTGTGTCATAATGGATAGCCATTGTCACCGCAGTATTGCTCACTATTTGCTTCTTTTGCTTTTGTTCTCTTCCTGCATGCAGAGTACTACTAAACTCTGTTTCTGTTTGGCTGGTGAAGAAATTTCAAGCAGTGTGAAGACAAATTCATGCATTGACGAAGAAAGACAAGCGCTTCTCGTCTTTAAACATCTTGTTGATCATTCTGGTAGGCTTTCGTCTTGGGTGGGTCATGATTGCTGCCAATGGGAAGGTATTTCATGCAACAACAGCACTGGTCACGTCGTGAAGATGGACCTCCGGAATCCATATGACGGTGAGTATGAAGAGTGGAGAAATGCTTCTTTGGGAGGTAAGATAAATGCTTCTCTGTTGAGCTTGAAACATTTAAATTACCTGGACTTGAGCCTGAATTGGTTTGATAGTAATCAAATTCCTAAGTTCATTGGGGAGCTTAAAAGTTTGCAATATCTCAATCTCTCCTTTGCGCATGTTGGAGGAGAGATTCCCTCTTCTCTTGCTAACCTGTCAAGCCTAAATTTTCTTGATCTCGGGGGCAATTTTGACATATCTTCCAAAAATTTGAATTGGCTTTCTCACCTCACTTCCCTGAAATACATTAATCTCAATGGCATTAACCTTAACAACACAGGAGTCAGTTGGGCATATGATATTAACATGCTTCCTTCATTGTTAGAGTTACATTTATCTTCGTGCCAAATTGAAAGCATTCCAATCTCACTGCAGAGCATTAATTTCCTTCCACTTTCACTACAGAGGATTAACTTCACATCACTGTTGGTCCTTGATATGTCGTCTAATGGCATTAAAAGTTCTTCATTTCCCGGCTGGTTTTTTAATCTTACCAACCTCGTAACACTTGATCTATCCGGGAATGATTTCAGGGATTCTTTTCCAAGTGAATTTTCAAACTTCAAATCTCTGGAAAACCTTCATTTATCTGATACAGGCTTAAAAGGTCAAATTCCAAAAGTCAGTCGAAATTTGTGCAAGCTAAAAGCCTTAAGTCTTTCAGAGAACAAATTTGATGCGGGGATTGAAGAGTTCTGGAGGAGTCTCTCAAATTGTCCAAGTAATACATTAGAGTCACTAGATTTGTCTAATTGCCAGCTTGAAAGCCAATTGCCGGTCTTTTTAGGAATGTTTAAAAGTTTGCAGAATCTCAACCTTAGAGAAAACAATTTGTGGGGCTCAATTCCAGATTCCATCGGAAACTTGTCGTCCTTGAGAACACTAGACCTCTATTATAATAATTTGTCGGGCTCAATTCCAGATTCCATCAGAAACTTGTCGTCCTTAAGAACACTAGACCTCAGTTATAATAAGATGAACGGCTCAATTCCAGAAGGTATTGGACAGCTTTGTGAGCTAGTTTCCTACTTCTGTTTGCTAATTCATGGGAAGGCATTCTAACGGAAGCCCATTTCATAAATCTTATCAGATTAGAAGATTTTGAAGTAGGAAATAGAAACCAACCCATGTCCCTCATTCTCGACGGGGCTTATGACAGGGTTCCCCCTTTCAAGCTCTTCAATATTTTGATCATGAATTGTCGGATAAGTCCTGGTTTTTGGGTATGGCTTCAAACTCAAACTGAACTGTCTAATGTTATCCTTCTGGGTAATGGAATCTCGGATTCCATACCTGAGGAATGGTTGTTGAAGATATCTTCCCAATCTAGCTGTCTAGACTTGTCTTACAACCACTTTTATGGAAACTTTCCATCCCATTTGAAATTTCCAAATTTAACGTTTATTGATTTGAGTCATAATCAGTTGGAGGGCCCTCTACCACTTTGGTGTTTCCCTAATGTCGATTCCCTTTATCAAGAAGGCAATTTATTTTCTGGGCCAATCCCCTCAAATATTGACCAAATGATGCCCAAATTGCAAGAATTGTTACTTCATGAGAATCATTTGAATGGCACTATTCCTCCCTCTATTTGTAAGATGCAGAAGTTACAAATCCTGTCTCTAAGGAGCAATCAGTTTTCTGGAGAACTCCCTCATGCATGGAATATGGAAAGCACTATGGTGTTTTTAGATGTTGGTCAAAACAATCTGTCTGGTAAGATTCCCACTTCATTGGGGGTACTACGTTCCTTGGAAATTTTAAAGCTCAACGACAACAATTTTGGTGGTGAAATTCCTGATGCCTTGCAAAATTGTTCAAGTTTGAGGAGTATTGATCTTGGAGACAACAAGTTATCTGGGAAAATACCTCTATGGATAGGAGGGTCAAACGTATCTAAGTTGTCTAGGCTACGATTACGGTCCAACTATTTTAGTGGATGTATTTCCCATCAATTGTGCAATCTTCAAGGCCTTCACATCCTCGACCTTAGTCACAACAGCCTTTCAGGTATTATTCCAATGTGTTTGGATAACTTAACTTCGCTAGTCAATGATGATTCTTATGAATACTATTATAATGGATATGAGCAAGCCACACTAACACTAAAAGGAGAAGAACTTGTGTACAACACAACTCTATATCTTGTAAAGAGCATTGATCTTTCATCAAATAATTTAAAAGGTGAAATCCCTGAAGAAATAAGCGGCCTCATTATGTTGGGCACCTTGAATTTGTCCATGAATCAATTAATTGGAAAGATCCCTTCCAAGGTCGGAAACTTGCGTTGGCTTGAAACTCTTGATCTCTCACACAACCACCTTTCGGGACAGATTCCTCAAAGCTTGTCATCTTTAACCTCTTTGTCCCACCTGGACTTGTCTTACAACAACTTGTCTGGAAGAATTCCTACTGGAAACCAGCTTCAAACGCTCAATTTTTCATCCATTTATGTGGGCAATCAATGGTTATGTGGCGTTCCTCTCTCAACTAAGTGCCCTGAAGATGACCCTTTTACTGCTAAGGATGCAAAGGAGGAGAATGAAGATGGAAAGGATAAGTTGTGGCTCTATGTTAGTGTGGTACTTGGCTTTATCGTAGGCTTTTGGGGTGTTTGCGGCACATTGATCGTAAAAACATCGTGGAGGTATGCCTATTTTCAATTCTTCGATGACATCAAAGATAAAGTAGCACTAGCAATTGCATTGAAAGTGGCTCGTTTGAAAAAGTTTTTATTCTGAAGTTTAATTGTACTAATATATAATGTGATGCTTTTCCCTTTCAACTTTGTGTTTTGGCCAACTTATGTATTAAATAAAATAATATGTCAGTAAGTGTTTCCACAAACAATTATGTAACCGCTGTCCGTTTAATACAAGAATTCTATCTAGTTTGTACTTATGAATCGCATAATACAATCTGCCTATGTAATGTTGCAATTTAACAAAATAACATTACGAAGTAGATAAGCACACGTGTGTATTCTTCTCTTTTACACTTGAATGTCGTCCAACTCGGGGCGTGGTAGTCCACCTCTACCGCCTTCTCGATGCTGCCAAAACCATACAAAAATGGGGGGAAGAATTGGTGGTTCGATATCGTCGAGGGTTTTCTGGGATTCCTGTTCCTTGCAGAGAGGGAGGTGGGAGAATTCGATGGCGTCTTCCGGGTTCCTGTCCCTTGCCGAGAGAGAGATGGGAGAGGTATTTTGGCGTCTGTTGCAGAGAGAGATTAGGGGGTGGGTCTAGGGTTTGCACAGGGGGTGGGTGGGCGATTCAATTGAGGGGCTAGGGCTAGAGGGATGGGGGCTCCATCTCTATTCTCGCTTGCTGAAACTTTCCCCTGTGTTGCGATTCAATGGGTAATCTCTCAGTTGAAAGCTTCTAATTTTTTTTTTTTTTTCATTTGGTATTTTTTTTCTTTGGATTTATGTATTTTTTCCCCTGTGTTCTGTGTTTTGTTGTTATTTTTTCATCCTTTTAAATTGTATTATGGATAAGTGAACACATTTAGCTGCGAAATTTCAACAACAAAGTTTAAACTTTTTGATATGGCATAACCCTCAAACTTGTCATATGGTCAGGTTTTATTTGGTCACTTGTTTATGTTTGTGGATGCCTTGTTGAAAATATCTGTGTCCCATGTGCTTCATCTTCTGCTGGTTAAACCAGAAATATAACCGTTGGATCATTTGCTAGCAATTAGTAGATGATTAATTTCCTTTTTGTTGTAAATTATGGAACTTCCAGGAGCTTGAAGGGCTCTCGGGTCCAATGAGGAAGGATTTTTCACAAGTTCGAAAGAAAGATCACTGCGATTAACAAAGAGTTAGAGCCACTAGGACGTACGTGCCAGAAGAAGGTAACACAACTTGGATTTTTACCACATTTTGGTGTTAATGTTTACTGCTATGCATATGCAATCATGGATCAATTCGTGCGGGTTCGTAATGAATTTTGGGTTCGTAACTTGTCACAGGAAAAGGAATACAGAGATGCACTTGAAGCTTTCAATGAAAAGAACAGAGAGAAATATAACCAGAAATATAACCGTTGTGCTTCATCTTCTGCTGGTTAAACCAGAAATATAACCGTTGGATCATTTGCTAGCAATTAGTAGAGGGATGGGGGCTTCATCTCTATTCTCGCTTGCTGAAATTTTCTGCTCTTCAGGTAATCTCTCAGTTGAAAGCTTCTAATTAATTTTTTTTTCATTTGGGTTTTTATTTTTTTTTATTTTTTATGGATTTATGTATTTTTTGTTTCAGTGAATTCGAAATGAAATCAGAAAAACGGATTTAGTAACAAATATATGAAATTTTTATTTGCGTGTCCTGTTTTTGATTTGTTTGGTTTGGAATTATATTATTTTTTGCTTTTTTTGGCAAGGGCTTTTAGAGAATAAAGTTGCTTGCTGCTACCCTTGATTTTCCAGTGACATTTGTGTAGCCTGCATTTAGTCATATAATGGATGGTGGTGTAAATTCAGTTCTTATAGACAATTTTTTTTTACAAAGATATCTGGGTTTCTTTTTGCTTCTTCTCTGTTAAATTACTCATCTGGAAGTTAATTTTGTTCAAAGACTAAGTATTGTTCTTCAATTAAAGATTTCTGGGTTTTTTTTTTGTTGCTTCTTTTCTGTTAAATTACTCATCTGGAAGTTAATTTTGTTCAAAAACTATATATTGTTCTTCAATTAATCTTACAAGAAAGCATATGGGAACGTGGCACACTAGGTGTTCGATGAAATGTGTCTTAGAATCCGTCAATATGATATATTATAATTTTGATCCTCCGCTTCAGCTCCAGGCCTCAGGTGCGTGAAGGCGAAGTGGTCCTGGTCGACTGTCTCTTCCTCCACACTTCTGGACGATGGTTCCGAAGCTCTGGCGATTCCGACTGAGAAAGAGGTCAGTAACAACAAGGTAATGGAATTCAATGTTTTGTGTATTTAGACGTAGGCATTATACATTTTAATTGATGCACATACTTCTAGAGGCATACTTCAAGGCACAGAAATTACGTAGTTTGTAGTCCTGTTAATTTTGAATACTATTATGTATTTCAACATAATAGTGTTCCATTGCCCAAAAAGAACACAGAAAGGAATTGTATGAGTTTCCGATTTTCTTGCAGTTAAAGAGGATCCTGCTGATGCTGAACCTAAATTTAACCCTTTTACTGGATCTGGAAGACGCTTGGATGGGAAGCCTTTGAAATATAAGCCAGCACCAGCTTCTTCCTCAGGATCCAAAGACAAGAAACCTGCAGTCACCAATGGAAATGCACAACCTTCTACAGGATCTAGTTCACAAGCTACCAGTTGTCAGGCTCAGGGAAAACTTGTTTTCGGATCAAATGCCAGTCGCTCTCCAAAGGAGACAAAAAAGGTACTCTTGCTTCTCTTGTTTCATGACTTCCATCAACTGACTTTGGAATTATTTTACAAACGTTGCCAGTTTGATGTGATGCTGATCGTAAATCACTCTTTATCTATTCAATTCTGCAGGAAGCTGCAAAAGAGACTAAGAAAGAGAAGCAGCCGGAAGTGAAAGAAGACCCGAAATTCCAGCCTTTTATCAACTTTTAGTGAGGTTCAAATTTAGAATGCATTTGTACTCATGAGGCATTGGGGTAAAATAGCTAGGGGATAACGTTTTAGTCAGGTACAAATAGCAACTGTTTTTTTTGTTTTTGGTTATTTTTTCATCTAGGGGATAACTTTTTGTTGTTTATTGAAAGGAATATTAGAACACATCCACACCCTATTTTGTCAAATTGTTCTAAAGTGTCTGATGCTGATTTTAGAATTTTCCTGACTTTCTAACTCAAATCTGTGCCAAGAGAACCCAACTAAAGTGGTTTGCCGCTCCATGTATGAAGTATTAGTGAATTATTTGTAATTTACAAAACGAAATGAAAATTTTTGCGTTTTAAGCATAAATGGTGAAATTTATGTTATAAATTTTTTGATAAGAAGCAGGTGTAAATTAGAATCATACTAATATAGGTATGCTATATACATAAATTTGATGGTACCATAAGTTCAGAATTAATCTTTAGTGTCATTAAAAAATGTATGTAAATTTATGTACATAAATTTGATAGCACCATAAATTTGGGGTACTGCTGTTAGGTTTTTCCAGCCCATGATAAGTTGTCCTAAGAGTATAAGGAATTATAGTCTTAGAGGATTAAATTGTTTTCCGAATTGGAGTTGTTTTCCCAATTGGAGTTAGTTTCTCAATTGGAGTAGGTTTTATAACTAGATTCCAATTAGGATTAATAATCCTTATTGAAGAAGACCTTTATTATGTCTATATAAAGGGGCTATTGTACTAGTTTTGAATTGGGGGGAGCAAAACAATAAATTGTATACCACTCAAGCGATTAATAATCCTTATTGAGCATTACTACTACATTAATTATGATTGGTTCAGTTTAGGTTTTGAGATATAAGTAGTAAACAAATCTGATCATATTCATTGATAACAATTCATGTGGTGGAAGTGCTCATTAAAATGCACATTGAGTGGAAAAGCTAGGGTTAGAAGACAACCATTTCACTGAATCTCTTGCAATCTTTAAAACCCAATGCAATTGTCGAATTTTCTGTACTGTGTCGATGTATCGGATTACATCGAATAATTGGGGTTAAACATTTTGCCCTTGAACTAACTTTGGAATTATATTATAAATGTTGCCAGTTTGATGTGATGCTGATCGTAAATCACTCTTTCTCTATTCAATTCTGCAGGAAGCTGCAAAAGATATAGTCCGGTACAAATAGCAACTGTTTTTTTTTTTTTTTTTTGGTTATTTTTTCATTTAGGGGATAACTTTTTGTTGTTTTTTGAAAGGAATATTAGAACACATCCACACCCTATTTTGTCAAATTGTTCTAAAGTGTCTAATGCTGATTTTAGAATTCTCCTGACTTTCTAACTCAAATCTGTGCCAAGAGAACCCATGTATGAAGTATTAGTGAATTATTTGTAATTTACGAAACGACACGAAAATTTTTGCGTTGTAAGCATACATATTGAAATTTATGTTATAAATTTTTTTGATAAGAAGCAGATGTAAATTAGAATCATACTAATATAGGTATGCTATATACATAAATTTGATAGTACCATCAGTTCAGAATTAATCTTTAGTGTCATTAAAAAATATACGCAAATTTATATACATAAATTTGATAACACCATGAATTTGGGTACTGTTATATTTAGTACAGCCAATATGGCGCCGCTCAGGTGTTTTTGACGTTGAGAAAGTCAAGGATCATCATCAAGATACTTGCCATATATTGTAATTAATTATATTCCTATTTTGTATTATGAACTGTCTATTAGTATCTAGTTTGTAGGAACTGATTGAAAATATATGACTACATATAGTAGTATTGTAAAGACAATTTCAATTAATGAGAATCGGTGAATTACCACCTTCCAAAATTTACATGGTACCAGAGCCCTTCCTGGGTTCTTAGTTCTTTTTTTTCTTGGATTATGGTGGAGGATTCAACGTCAGCAATGGCAAAACTTGAACCATTTAGTGATCCTGCTAGTCCTTTCTTCGTTCATCATTCTGATCACCCGGGAATGATGCTCGTTTCAACCAAACTTACTGGTGAAAATTATGGTACTTGGTGTTGGTCCATGTCAATTGCACTCAGTGCAAAGAACAAATTAGGGTTTGTTGATGGAAGTGTTGAATAGCCATCTGCGAAGACAAAGCCCACAGAATCTGCTCTTTGGCAACGGTGCAACGACATGATCCTTATGTGGATTATCAATACACTTTCCAGTGACCTGGCCACTAATGTCTACTCTACAACGATCGTAGAGTAGATCTGTTTGTGTTGAGGAAAACTATGATCAATTTGATCAATTTACATGAAATGAAGATAAATTGGGTTTTTTTTCAACTTAATTTTTTATTTTATTTTTGTTTTTGAATTTTTGGTTTATGTATTTACATAGGCCATGAACTCTGATGGAAGTAATTTTTTTTTTTTTTTTTATAACTAATTTCCAGAATTTTTGTAAATCTGGGGTTCTGTACACAACAAAATATGGAACCCTCAAATTTGTCATATGGTCTGGTTTTATTTGGTCACTTGTTTATGTTTGCGAGAAGAATACAAGTCCAAGGATGCCTTGTTGAAAATATCTATGTCCCATGTGCTTCATCTACTGCTGGTTAAACCAGAAATATAGCCGTTGAATCGGTTGCGAGCAATTAGTGGATATTAATTTCGTTTTTGTCGGAAATTATGGAACTTCCAGGAGCTTGAAGGGCTCTCAGATCCGATGAGGAAGGATGTTTCACAAGTTTGTAAGAAGATCGATGCCATTAACAAAGAGTTAAAGCCACAAGGACATACCTGCCGGAAGAAGGTAACACAACTGGGGTTTTACCACATTCTGATATTAATGTTTACTGCTATGTATGTGCAATTATGGATCAATTCGTGCGTGTTCGTGATGAATTTTGGGTTTGTAACTTGTCACAGGAAAAGGAGTACAGAGATGCACTTGAGTTTTTCAATGAAAAGAACAGAGAAAAAGTGCAGCTTATCACAAAGCTAATGGAGGTTAGTTTGTCACAGGAAAGGGAGTAGTTGTCCGCTAATTCACCAAGAGTGTAGTTGTTGCTCGCATCTACAATTCTAAGATATCTAAATGTGAATTTTCTCATTTATAGGTTAAATAAATGATTCGAAGCTCGCCTTCACGGTAAATAAATAAATGAGTAATTATCCTTTTATTATTTTAAAATTTTTAAAAATTTGATCATTTTTACAAGTTTAAATTTTTTTGGCACTTTTGTACTTCCATTGATTTGTTTCGTCAAATGCTTTGTTAATTAATAAAGTGGCATGACTTTAGTCGACAACGCTGTCACGTCATCAATTAACAAAAATATTAATGATTAGGTTAACAAAAGTTAGGTTTTTACCTAAAACTTGTAACCTCGCAAAGAAATTTCTTTATATCCTACACTAAATGAGATTCTGTTAATGTACGTATTAAATTATGGACATGGCCTGTGAGATTTTATCTTCAAAGGTATCGGTTTGCGTAATAGTAAAACCACCTTCTTCTTTTTGCAAGTAATAGTGGATTACTCACACTACTACAAAATTAGCTTAATGTGTTGGAGAGTGGTGACGGTTTATACGATATACTGTCGAATAAAAGGTAAAGAAAAGTTTTTTTTTTTTTTTTTTGGGAGGGGGGGTGTTGATAAATAAGGTTGAGATTGATGAAATTACCAGTTTTCCAAGTGCTCCAAGGGCATGTCAATGGATGGGAGTAGGATTCTCCCCCCTTCTAACGTTACAAAACAAAGTGTCATTAACGAGGGTCAAATGCCGTTGAAAAAGGCATATTTCCGTCACAAATACTTATTTCCGCAAATAGTAAGTCATCCTCACTTGGATTGCCAATCGCCTCTCTCTTGTCTCTTCCAATCCCTTTCATCGAGTATGCTATATGAATTTCCACGGCTAGCTATAAGGATTTTCCACCAAAGACTAATTGGTGTGCCAAGACTTCCACGGCTAGCCATCTCATTCATGCATTCACTATATCTACACCTACACGGCTTCATTAAAATTTGGAAAAGTCCATAGGAAATCTCGTGTATTCCTTATTAGTGGAACAAAAAAAAAAAAAACAAACAGCAACGAGTGTAACAATGAATATTTTAGACTGTTAACAACAATTTTGCTATTTAGAAAATTTGTAAATAACGATACAACAGTCATATCCAAATAGTGACTACCAGTATACCAATGTGGTGTAGGCGATGGACTTGCAAACTGTTCAACCCGACACAGCAAAATCCATTTTCGTAATTTACCATAAGAAAAAAACAGTAAATAAGATGATAAGTTGTGAATTGTGATGGAACATGAAGACCCTTAATTCAAAGTCTGTGCTACATTTGGATTTCTACAAACTGTCACAACCAGGTACCAGTTGTGTCGACAAAGGACTTGCAAACTTGTAAAAGGGGTTGTGAACACTTGCCACTCATTTTGCTTTCCAATAAATCGGTTTTTCAACATAGGGAATTTAGGCCACTTAGTACTACGGTCTAGTGGTATTCCTCTTCACTTGTAAGTGAGAGGTCTTAGGTTCAATTCTCACCCAAGGTGAGTTTGAACCACATTATTACTAGCCCATTGTGAGGCTAAACCCACCCCCCTCCCCTTAGTGTAGATAATATCACTTGTTAAAAAATAAAAAAAACAAAAAAAAAACATAGGGAGTTTGGAATTTAAAGGAAAACAAGAAACAAGACTAAATTCAAAACAGGAAATAAGGCAAATCCTAATTGAAAGATGCAAACCTAAATCCATAAGAGCAAGGAAACCTAAATATATTCTCACACTAGGGTTTACATGGCATATGTTAAATCAGGAAGAAACCGAAGTGGTGTTAATTAGGATTATATTTCATAAAGATGATCATTGTAATCCTAGGAATAGTATGATTACTTGTGTAAGAAGGAATCACAATTCTGGGGTGAAACTAATTTTAGTCAGACTAGTACACGGATATACCATGATAATCACTATATATAAAAAGGAAAAGTAATTTATTTTTTTAAGTACAACGATATATTTTACATTAAGAGGATGGCGGAGTTCGGCTAAACCAGATAATGTGCAACCTAATTTAGTATCAAATTTTTCATTCACGAGATTCGAAACCTAAAACTTCTGACTTACAAATGAAGAGCAATATAACCAGATCGTAGTACTTCAGTGGCAAAAAAAAAAAAAAAAAAAACT